CATGTCATTGATCCCAATTGCGTGGATCGATGCTCATGATATCAATCACTGGATCGTCTGGTCGATACTCGATTATTTACAGACCGCCGTCATAAAGCTGGAATATTGCTGAGTGCGGCGTTAAACAACAAACAATCCACTGGCTATCTGCTGACTTAAATGCCACGTGCCGATCGATACTGGTGGTTGTAAAATTTAATGCAAGGTTGTTACAACACAACGTTTGTGTTTTGGATTGAGACATAAACAGCTGGTTGAGAGGTGGTGAACAGAATGACGTCACTGGTGTTTACAACAATGGCACGACTCTTCGACTGGCTGGGCAAAGCCGCAAGATACGTCAAGAAGAGCCTGTGGATAAAGAATGCACCCGACAGAGATGGGGGAGAAGACAAAGGGAAGAGGGGTTAGATTAGATCATATACTTACATTTCTCTTAGTATGACAGTAAATATGTTATTAAGGTCACTTTTGGAATAATTTTTTGACCATCTTTAGATTACACAAATTACGGGTATGTGTATTAATTTTATTTTTTTAATTCTTAGAACTATTCCTTTCTACGTGCCATAATGGCTGTATGATAAATATTGTGCCAGTCCAAAAAGCATCTGACATGTTTTAATATAACAGTATATAACATGTTTTGCATATATAGTCATTTTGGAAGTACTTGGCAGTGGTGTTCAATAACAACCATGAAATGAAAGATACTTTGAAAAGGTATGTTGTGCTGCTCTTACCTAATTTAACAGCAACTTTTAGCTCAGTCTGTATTTATATTCTCTATTTTCAGAGAGGGAGACTCAAGCCAAGAAAAGTGTTGCCCGAGCAAGGACCATTCTCCACGACTCTTCTGATTCAGATTAAGATAAACAATTGACTCAAAATTAAAACATAATTTTACTGTATATAAGCGTATTATGTTGTTGATGATGTATTTGTCTGTTGTTTTACACCGCAATCGGCAATATTCCAGCTATGTGACGGCGGTGTTGGTTTAAAATTTACAATGACGTGCATCAACCAAGTGACGATTATAGTTACCGATCGAGCATATCTGCCCGATATCGTAAGTCACCTCTTACAACAAGCATGAGTAGCTGAAGATGAATTCTAACCAGGATCCAAGGTAAGAACTAAACACACTAGCTTTACTAGCCCGGGTAAGGGAATGCCGATGTGATGTTAAAATAATTGGGAAATGAGTACCAGCCGACAGGAATTTGTACAAGCCCCGGGCTGGCAGGCTAGCCCTGAATTATTCATCAATTCGATCGCCTCATACGACCTGCAGTCGCATTGCATCCCGAGTCCCGACGGATTATGGTGTGATGGCATGCCACGAGTATGCCACTGGCTTACCACCGTTCGTGCATGCCACCGTTGGGCCATCAAATATTTGCTGGACACGCCATAGATGGCCCACCAGCGGATGCCACTGGGAGTCTCATGATATTAATAGACCCGCGAAGAGCCGGGAAAGAATAGGTCTTTAGCAACCCATGCTTGCCGTTAAAGGCGACTAACGGGATCGAGTGGTCAGGCTCGCTGACTTGGCTGATGAATGTCATCGATCCCAATTACGTGGAACGATGCTCATGATATCAATCACTGGATTGTCTGGTCCCGACTCGATTATTTACAGACCGCCGTCATATAGCTGGAATATTGCTGAGTGCGGCGTTTAATCAACAAACCTACCAGCCACCCAAACAACCTGAGCATGTTTAGTCCTCCAAAGATTGAATAACGTGTGATGCGTGTGACGGGACACAAAACAGTGCGATTCCCAAATTGATATAATATGTTAACCGAGAAATATGTACGTTAAATAACTTAGTATGAAACCAACAAACATACAACAAATGATATAGAATTAACACTTGCATTACAAAATGATCGATGCTCGTGATGTCGATTATTTACAGATCGCCGTCATACGTACGGATGGAATATTGCTGAGTGCGGCTCTAAACAAGAAACATACAAAACAAAACGATGGAGTATATCAATGAGTCAACTATCAATACTACTTTAAGGTTTAATCTTTGTCCACAAGCATTTAATGAATGACGTGACACAACTCATTATTGCTCTCAGGACCCGTGAAGTCCGGGGTAGAATAGGTATTTGGCAAACTATGCTTGCCGTAAAGGGCTACTATACTTGTCATAAGAGGCGACTAACGGAATCGGGTGGTCAGGCTAACTGACTTGGTTGATGCATTTCACCGATCCCAATTGCGTGGATCATGCTCATGATGTAAATCACTGGATTGTCTGGTCCACTCTCGAATATTTACAGACCGCCGTCAAACGACAAAGCAACCAACTCATGGGTGTAAAAAAAGTATTCCATGTTTACAGCATATGCCCTTCATTGCCACGATACTTCTCAATTCTTGTCATCTATGAAAATTTGTTGTCATCGGATCCCTCATATAAGCACGTCCTGTTATGTGCTATTTAACTCGCGACTTGAGGTCGTTGTAAGCCGAGACAGGACATGCACATATCCATCGTACAAATTGCCCGCTACACCTTTTTTAACAGTAGTACGCGCCAGTTGGCAGACCTCGTGTTTAAGTCATACGGGGTTAACTGTCAGGTCACAACTCAACTTATTCTGGCTTACCAGTAAATGGTGATGCTTACGGAAAGGCCTATTTCGTATTCGGAGCAGATATCCTTGAACATTAGGAATATATGATGACAGAATAATTTGAGTTTGTCCAAAAGGTAAAATATTGGTATTATAGGGTCTCTAGGGCATTTTATTATTTATATTCAACAGGAGAATAGACAGTTTTTAAAGTTAAATGTATGCGGCTGAGCTCATATCAGTGAATCGTGCTATTTAATTTGGATGTGATGTTCACAACGGTGATAATAGGTTAATGTGTTGGCGAGATATATTTCTAAATTCACGAGTCTGAGCCAGTGACTGATATCAGAAACCTCCCACACCGTCGTGGTTCGAGGTTTACGCAATCAAGTAAGTCAGACCAACGGATTCAATACAGTCCACACCATTTCATATTGTGTAAAGGCCTACGATTTGTGTTCGAGACAAAGTTTTTTTCAATCAATGGCCCCGAATATCAGATGGTCGGCCCTTGACGAAAAGATCAGGTTACTATGGACTAAGTCTAACTCGGACTCCAAACGTGCAATAAGCATACACTGTCCAGAGGATGGTTCTGTTGTTAAGTATGCATTTGATATAATGATCATTCGTACGTCCACACCGTTTGTTTTACCAATGTAGTTAACTCTACAGGCAAATTACATTTGATTGAGAAACTTATTTTGTCGATGCAAAGCAACTTTATTGAACTAGGAAACAACAATATTCTCCATCACACACATAAAGGTAATTAAACCAAAAACACTGATTAAGACAGACAAACAATAAAATATACAACCAGGACCCACTTGCACAAAGCGATCTTAGCGCTAAGACTATTGTAAGCCTATGTTAAAGTATGGGAGTTATGATCATCTTAGCGCTAAGATCGCTTTGTGCAAGTGGGTCCTGGTGCTATTTAAACAATATCAGCAGAACATTTGTAGACAAAACACATAAGAAACGGGGAAAGCTGTATGTTTTGGTAAAGTAATATAACAATGGAAAAAGCTCTCTGTACATTCATCTCCAGATTAGGGAAATACGTGAGATCTTTCAAATAGAATAACTACATCTGATCTTCATCACACACTTCAAGTAGTACTGCTCAGTAGTTTGACTTTGGAGTCTGATACATATAGGGAACAATAGATGGCATTATATATGTTGTCGACTGGCATTGTTTTGAATTTATTATTACATGTAAATCTTTCATTCGTCAATTAATATATACATGAAGTGTTCGTAAATAACACTTGTAACTGTGTATGACGAAGTTGTGAACAAACTGTGTAACATTGTAATATTTGAAAAAACCCTCATAATTGAGGCTTATATTGTCAAACAAAAACAAGGTAAAATAAGATTATACTCTCAGACAGAATAACAGGCATGGGCGAGCTATCCCGATTGATTTCTTAGATATTTACTATAATATCTATACATGGGAGGAGTAACGTAAATTACATCACAGGGGATCACGGTTTAAGACTAAGATGGATCTGATTAAATGGCATCGATTGAAGTACTGTGCTCACGTGTCACAATATGACTGAAATACTGCCGTTGTGAGGTTGAATATTAACTCACTATATAGATATGCCTGTCCTTGGTGTCACGAGCCGAAAAGAGACAACTCTCATTTATTTTAGTATATTTCAGTTTTAGTATATCCCAAATTGCTTATACTCCAGAAGATTGATTGTATACCCTATACCATAGATATAATTGTTGAGTTGATGGCCTCTAAAGGGTCATTTATGTAATGTTAACGTTATTGATTGGCAAATTAAATATGTAGTTTAAATGTTCTGTATAAATACAAGAATAGGTAGTGGTTTATGCATATTTTAGCATCATCCTTGTTGAGAGCGCATTAATAGTGCAGTTATCATACGATACATGACATCTTCCCGAGGCAAGAGAGTTAACTGACTTTAAAAGTCCAGTTTCCACCCTTGCCGAACTAGACTGGAATTATTAGGCTCGATCGTAGTGCCACCAGTGGCTCTTACCAGTTATATCCCATCTAGGCCTTTCCTATCGACCAATCAGATTCAACCTCTCGTCTCACTTGCGTTTGCTTCATACAAAATGGTGGCGCCAAGTCAGGACGATTTTGATCGATAACCAAGATCTATATTGTGATAAAACGGGTCTTACATCGCGAAAAACATCAAATCACGTGAGCACCATGATTAAAAACATGAAAAGATTTGGAAAATATCTGCTGACAACAAGTTGGTGGTGCACATGCTTTGCCAATCCTGCAATCGACCGAAATCTGCGCGACAGTTTACAAACCGGATTTCGATTTCGGTGCGCGATTTTTACTGGACTATGCATAGACTCGTTAGTCCAGCCAACATGTAACTCCATAATACCAGCCAAGTTCGGCAAGGGTTGACACTGGGCTTTTATAGTCAGTATATATATATACTTTCATATTTCTCAAGGTATGACGTATCGTCTTTCCAAAATCTCAGCGTATTATAGGCTGGTTTTTTTATAAGAATTGATTGTATTTTCTGTGTCTTGTGTGGGAAAAATTATAATGGTGATGTGTTCAGTGTCTGTTGTTCTGTGTGGTTGGATTGTTGGTGGTAGTCTGTAGTTTGTCTCATAATCCTCTGCCCGTGGTAAATAGCAGGATCTAATAAATTGTTTTTAGACTTATGGTAGACATCTGCAGATATAGCCGGGGCTTTACTTGTCTGCTTCACAGGTGCCTTGAAACACGGTTAGCATTCAGGTAATCCTTCACTATTGCAAAGCAAAACCTCAATTGGACCTGTAGAGAAAGAAAGCACACATAAGGAACTTTCATGTGCTTACTGCCACACTCGTTGAATTGTTGAATTCAAGCTATTGGAGCATGATTGTCAGCGATCCATTCATATGATTTTCACCGCTTTGTTGCCGTTTACGCCAAATGGAATAATCGGCGGATAATCAAGACTGGTTATTCTCTCGAGTTGACCTTTATATATACATGCACAAAAGATAAGCGCCACCCACCATATTTGTGACCTGTTGCTTTGCCACTTAATGATGACTAATACAACGAGATGAACGATTGTTATAAGCCGTATATGTAAACCTCATGTGATGCAAAAGTTGTTCCAAAGCAAGTTTATCTTGTGTTCCAAAAGAATATGAGCAGAAAGGAATTTTACCGAAATTGAAGGATTAGAAGACATTGAAAAACTTTTTTTGTCATGTAACTGTAATGATATCAGCAGACCATATCAGGTGTCACATAGACACCCTAGGGAGTGCAGGGTCTATTGCAAGACAGAAACGTCAGTAACGTGTGTATGATCCACGGACATTGACCACAGCTTCAACCCTACGCCTCATACTCAATGCAAATCGTTGAATTTTTCTCTGAGGCAAACGGATACATTCTTCATGAAGTGCGGCTTGAAGTCCAGCGAGATTTTGAACTGGGGTATCAAGATGTCTGATTTTCAAGCCAAGAATGTCCCAGAGATGCTCAATTGGATTAAGATCCGGACTACAGGCCAGCCAAGGAAGAGTGGCAATAACTTCTTGCTGCAAATAAGCTAAAACTGTCCGAGATCTGTGTGGTCTAGCATTGTCGTCCATGTAAACAGGTCTTGTCTGAAGAGGATGGTTGTCAAAATGAGGGACTACCACTGGACGAAGAACGGCATCTTGGTATTGTTGGCCATTCAGGTTTCAACGAATTGTCGCCAGCGGAAGTTTGCAGCCTAAGGAAACACAACCCCATATCATGACAGACCCCCCGCCACATGCTAAGGTCTTCTGGATGTTCCTTGGTGCAAAACGAGTGTTACGTTGCCTCCAAACATGTATTCGACCATCAACAGTTCGTAGCAGCATTCGACACTCGTCAGACCAATGGATCCTTCTCCAGTTGGCAAAGTTCCATCGACTACGGGCACGACACTATATCAGACGATTCCGCATGTGCCTCTCAGTTAGTTGAGGACGTTTTACTGGTCTTCTGGCGTTATAACCAGCCGCTCTGAGGCGACGCCTTACGGTCAACGTCGAGAGCCTCTGATTGGTAATCCACTGCAGTCTTAAATCTGTTGAAGTGGCATATGGATTTCGTCTGACTATCTTGAAAAGACGTCTATCCTCTCTGTTAGAGGTCTTTCTTGGCCTACCAGACTTATGCCTGTCATTGACATCATTGGTTTTACCATGTTTAACAATCAAACGAGTGATAGCACTGTGATGACGACCCATTTGTCTTGCAGTGTCCCTGCATGACAGGCCAGCATTTTTCATGCCAATCACTTGCCATCTTTCAGCGTTTGTTAACTTTCTCCTCACCATGGCGGAATTTCAACCTCTATTGGAAGGGGAATCTCACGAAGGAGCAAAATGCAACCACGTGTCTGAAACTTGAATTTCACTTTTTATAGGGTAGGGGAACTGCAGCAACACGTAAAGCACGCTTTCCTTGTGGTATCTGGACAAATTTGGGTTCATGAAACTATGGAAGCCTAATTCAGTCATACATCATCTTATTTCGTATTTCTGATTCCCACACGTGAAATCAAGAGACTATGAATATGGTGGCGCTTAACATTTGAGCATGTGTATATATTGACTCGTCCCAATGGTCTGATGCAAAAATGTAGTTGACAAGAAACTTTCAAAAACCTGTACGAATGCAGGCTCTTGAAAACAAATGGCAAGGCTATATTGTGTACTGATACAAACATCACCGTCCGAATGTGCTTATTTAAAGAAATGCCAGAGAATAGTCACGTGACGGAAAAATTAGGTTGTTCGTCTTTCAAAAGTTAACGTTCTTATTTCCACCTACCTTTTAATGCCTTTAGACAACCAATACATTAAATAATACTTATCAATAACCAGAGACACGTATGTTTCTTTACTATTACCTACATAAAAAGTGATTAAATGCTTCGTTGAATTTCGTACAAGAGCTTAAGAACTTACGGAACTAGGTATGAACTGACGTCTCCGCTGCTTCAATTCCCTCACAGACAGATGGATGTCGATTTCTTTGTCCAACTTCAGGCGACTCATGATGTTCATCAGACAACAGATCAAACCGCTCCGAGTAGCACCATCACTGAAGGTGAGCATTTTGATTTTGAGCATAATATGTAAATATCTGATAGAAGACAGAGAGAATTGCAGTTACGTTGATGTTCATGAATAACCGTGGAATAGTGTTATGTACTTAAAACCAATACATTATGAGCATTAAATGTACATAAGAAGCAACAATAAAATACGATAATAATAAATTCGAATCCTTTTATATCATACATTGAGTGTCAAAAGAAAAACACCAACAGTTATGAAAACCAACAGTACTGTCAGATTACTCCAACAATGGAGCCCCGTTATATCGTACATGTGCATGCAGGGATTAGAATCTTCTTTCCAGCGCGTGACCCCTTCGTTACCATCCCGTTATCATCACTGCCATCAGTATGCAAGCGGTCATTACAAGAATCTTAAAAGTATTCTCTCTAACCCAAACATATGGGTCTGGTCCAGACAATCCAGTGATTGATATCATGAGCATCGCTCCTAGCAATTGGGATCGATGACATGTATCAACCAAGTCAGCGAGCCTGACCACCCGATCCCGTTAGTCGCCTCTTACGTCAAGCATAGTCGCCTTTTACGGCAAGTATGGGTTGCTGAAGACCTATTCTATCCCGGAATCTTCACGGGTCGCCAAAGATTATAACATAGCAATTGAGCTGTATGGCAAAACTACTTGAGCACTCACTCTTCACAAAGAACACTTACAAGCAGTGAACTACAACAGGCTTGCTTGCCAAGTTCATCATCCTCTGGTCAAGGTTGTTGAGGAACCTGATGACAGTCTTCGTATGAGGTGGGACTTCCTGATCTTTCGGCCAGTCATTGAACGTCAGCAAACTAACAGATGTGATATCCTAGAAAAGATACCGATTAAGGACTCTAATTTGACCAGAAGCATAAGTATGAAAAACATCATGTCGTTTTATTGACCCATTTAAATTTATCCCAACAACGTACGCAGGTCTTCATTAACCCATGTTTGCTGTAAAAAAAGGCGACTAAGCTTGTCGTAAGAGGTGAGAGATCCCGTTAAGCCCCTATCTCACATACACGATTAAGAAATTGCGAACACGATTTAAGAAAAGTTGAAAAATCGTGTTGATTCGTGCTCGACCTTGTGGTTTATGCAATTTGTTTTAACCAAACACGACCCTCCTACGACCAAAAACAATCCTCATATGCATACGACTTTCATACGACTGAACACGACACTCATACGACCGTCATAAGATACAATAGATATAAGATACGATACAGCACGATTTAACCTCATTTAACGTTAAACGGCCCAAATACGACTGTCATACGACGCCCATTCGACTTAAAACGAATCAACACGACCGCCATACGATTAAACCCGAATCATTACGATGTCCACACGACTACAAAAATATAAACGATCTCCATACGACTGAGCAAGACCTTCATACGACATATATTTGTTTATATTGGTCACGTGGGTCATGTAGTATATAGCTGCATTGCAACAGCATTTCTGTGTCAGTCTTCACCATGTTCAACAACGAACAAGACCTGCAAGAAGCAGGTTTGGAGGAGGGTGTCAGTTTCAGTTGTTGTTTTTGATGTTGTTGGCAATTTTGGTGGTAGTACAGAGGTTTCAGCTGGCTAATCCTGTCCCTGGGTACGGGTGGATGTTCAATCATGGTTGGTGGTGAAGGATGTTTCTCTTTCGAAGGTTTTGCTTGGGGTAGCTTCCGTTTCGGCCGCCTGACGTTTGTCATGGCTGTAGAATGAGCTTTCACTTTCAGGGGGTTTCCCACGTTCTCACTCAGTCACGTGATGGGCGCTTCCGGTCGTATGACAAACGTATGGATTTCGTGTTCAGGCGTATGGGAGTCGTATGAAAGGCGTATGAAAGTCTTGTTGAATCGTGTTAAAACGTATGAAGGTCGTATGAGTTTCTTCCCACGCTACCCAACACGAGTGAACGCGATTGAACACGATCTTCACACGATTGAACACGACTGTCATACGACCTTCAAACGACTGAACACGATTTAGGCCGAGCTGCGACGTCCATACGACCGCGCGCGACCGACCACGACTTAACACGAATGAAAGAGAATGAGTGCGCGACGATTAAAAACGTTAAATCGTGTTCAGATTCGTGAATAGATAGGGCCTTTAGTCGCCTCTTACGACAAGCATTGGTTGCTGAAGACCTATTCTGTACTTGGATCTTCGGGTGCCGAAAGCAACAAATGGTCACATTATGAAACAAAGGAGCATGGATACAGTACTATCAAGTCAAGAACCTCGTGAAGACCCGGGATAGAATTGTTCTTCAGCAACCTTTGCTAGTTGTAAGAGACGACTAACGCGATAGGATGGTCAGGCTCGCTGACTTGATTGATGCGTGCCATCGTCTCCCAATTGCATCTATAGATGTCAATCCTTGGATTATCTGATCACGACTCGATTTACAGACCATCGTCACACAGCTGCGATATGGCTAACTACAGCTTTAAACAACAATCAAACAACCATACTCCTTTCACAATTTGAATTATATATGTACTCTTGTACATTGCACCACACAACATTAAGGTTGTGGTATATTCATTTCCAAACGACCCGTGAAGATTCCAGGGTAGAATTGGTCTTCAGCAACCCATGCTTGCCGTAATAGGTGACTATGCTTGTCGTAAAAGGAAACTAATGGGATCGGGTGGTCAGGCTCACTGACTTGGTTGGTGCATATCATCGATCCCAATTGTGTGGATCGATGCTCATGACATTAATCACCGGATTGTCTGGACTCGATTATTTTACAGACCGCCGCCATATAACTGGAATATTGCTGAGTGTGGCGTTAAACAACAAACGAACGAATCATATTACTGTAGTTAATCTGCTATGCCATAGTTAATGTGTCTTGTAATGCGTAAAACAACCAACCAACCAACCAAATCATTTCCAAACATCACATTGACCAAATTGGAGTGTTGTGTTTGTTGGTTGACACATTGTTTTGTCATACACGTTTTGTTTGGTTACATGATATACTGACAATGTTAGGCCAGAGATAAAAAATGCTCTGTTACAATCTTAAATTAAGACAATCTAACTTTTTGGAATGATCTCTCTTTTTCTTATACATTCCTTATTCAGTATAGGAGAATGTCCGAAATCTCGCGATTGTTTTCGCACGTGAAGCTTGTTCGAGGCCGATAGGCCTACTACAAAGTTCGATCGAGTTAATGCCTCAAACTAATTTTCAAGTGATGTTCACTATACTATGCTAGACTATGGGAGGGTGACTGCTCGTGTGTAACTATGGGAGGGGAACCCTTTCAAGGAAGACTATGGGACGATGTAGTACCCATACTCAAACTATTGGAGTCTCAGCAAATTGATCGCGTCTATCCAACTGTCATTAAAGTTCACGCAACTTTGTTTTAATATTGATTACTGTCGGTTTAAGTAATTTGCACGAAAGACAAGGACGTGTTAAAACAAGAAGCTGAATCGTCATTCAAAGCAAAGCCAAGGCGTGAATATTTGATGTGCACACGCAATCGACCCAGGACACTCGGTACAGCTGCAGGAGCAGTAAAGGCACATTCACTCATCATAGTATTGTTTGAAATGCTTGGAATCTACAGTACCTCGTTGGCGTATAAGCCTTCCCTCTTGACAGTAAGGAAGGTCTCTGTGACACCTTCACATGGAGTATTCACTCCATTGTGAAGAACAATGAATGGACTGCAGGTGATGGGCTCATTACTCCTCGGCAAGTAGACACCAACATCCTAGAAACACAAACCGAAATAAGACGGCGAATTATACCACAAAAGGCCCATCATGAACTATTACAATTCCACGTTTAATGCCATTTTGGAGTTTGCTACCCGTGCCACAGCTGCTAATGAGGGCATTCTATTATATTTTTACTTGAAGAATAGGTATTTTGTTAAGATAGATGCTGTATGTATGAGAATTATGTAGGAGAACCCTATATGTTAGGTGCTACATACTGGATTGAGAGATTGTCTGGTCCAGACTCGAATATTTACAGAGCGCTGTCATATAGATGGGATATTGCTGAGTGCGGCGCTAAACAACTAACAAACAAACAAACTGCTGGTTTCTCCAGTATTACGTTATATCATATATCGTTATATCATATGTTGCAAAGACGTAGGACCCGTGAAGATCCGGGGTAGAATAAGTCTTCAACAACCCATGCTTGTCGTAACGGGTGGTCAGGCTCGCTGACTTGGTTGATGAATGTCATCAATCCCAAATGCGTGGATCGATGATCATGCTTTCAATCACTGGATAGTCTGGTCAAGACTCGATTAGTTATACAGACAGCCGTCATATAGCTGGAATATTGCTGAGTGCGGCGTTAAAAAACAAACAAACAACAAAGCAGAGACGTAGAGGAAACAACAGCGGGTAATCATGTAGGGACTTCCATGGAAGTTATAATTACAAACATTGGATGTCTCTTCTACATGGAAGTATTCATTAAGTGTAGGATAAATACTAAGTGTCTCTTTGATTGCTTCGAAGCTCGGAACAAAGAACAATTTCCCTCTTATGTCTCTGCTAACCTCGTCTGATGACACACTGTCTGGTGCATCAAGCGTTACAATGAGGTTGCAGCCTCGCTCTACTACCATCCTCCAAAAATCCACCACTGTTTTCTTCAGTGGCATCTGAGTGACCAAAAACTCGCCCTTGTGTGCAAAGAACTGTAAACAAACTGAGTCAGTGAAAGGCAGCTTTCAACATGTGCGTACATCTAAAAGTACATGTTAATTGCCAAAGCAAGAGAATAATCAGTGTCGATTATCTGCGGAAACATATTCCACTGGACATAAAGGGCGAAACAATGCTGGACATTATATGAATCAATCACTGAGAATCAAGAACCATGAACAACAGATGTCCGAACGAATTCCAAGGTGACAAAAGTTGAAATCCTGACGATTCCGTCTACATTGAAGTCAAAACTCTCTGAAATCGTTGCATAAGACGATGTAACTATGTGGTCCCTGTATTAGGGATTAAAGATACTCCGCTTGTCTCCAACTATTGATAAATCGATACATTGTCAAGGATGGCGACTTCAGGTGTCATGATATGTAAATAACAAAGCATTTTACTGCTGGACGACCAGATGCCGGAAAAAATAAAATATTCTGTATTGCCCAAACATTTACAAAAATTGAAATTTGAATAAGAACGTTTAATGTTTTACTGCATGATTCTGATCGCCCAATTCGATGGTGATGTCCCGAACTAACCCAAAACTATGTTTTCAAAGCTAGGTTTTGAAACAAGATTTCACTGTATCTAATATGGGACTCAACTTATACATTTCAACTTCTCACCGGTAGAGACACAGCATTGATGTAGTCATTGGTGCCTGGAGCTGGGGACGATAACATTACCCTGTGTCTGTCAGCTGTTGAAATATATTCACATACTGTTAACACCCCTAGTAAAGGTATTAATGCACTGACCTCACATGTTGTTTAAGATGGTAAATTATACTTTAAAAGTTGTCCACATTCCCATTTCGTGCGTAGACTTTACTTTTATTCTCTGGTCTCTGGACCAGACACCAGTTCTTTTATTACCAATGACAGTGCTGAGATTGAACATTATAATACGTAGAAGGGCACCACATACACACGTACTTTGTATGTAAAACCTGCTGGGCACAGTCACCAGACACTAAGTGAAAGCATAATTCCATCTGGGGTGTCGTGCATGATGCACATATGCCCTAAGTGCCAATGGTCCATGGTATGGTGGTCTGATTTTGGTTTGCTGTCGACTAATCTTGTCTGTACACATATCGTCAAAACTCTTTCCATATCCAATATAAATATCTGCATAAAGCAGAGTCGATTGCACGATTCCGACTATATCATGAGCATGTGTTTATGAATCACTTTCAAGTAGTGATGATACCAGGTGTTCGGGAAAAGGTGAGCGTTGTACTGCCACACCGACTTACATGTAGCCGAGAGTTTTATGATCATGGACATGTGTTTTGTCGCTTTTATTTATATCATAAAATCAGTTCATAATCAATTCATCCACCTACCGGGAATTACTGCTCGTGATCTGTTCTTTGTTCTATTTTCCGAAAACGAGGCTGCTTTAGTCTCCTTTTCTCCAGGTGTTCGTCGAAGCGCATTCAATGACTTAAAGAAAATATGATTGTAAGTCCATTATATTGGATAATACACGTAATAGAGCACATTCAAAATGTGTAAATTACATACGCATTAGTCACCTGATTTTCCTACTCTCCCAAATGTCAAAAGCCATACATATTAATAATTAGCGTTCATTATATCATACCCAAGGCTATGTTTACAACTGTAACAGTCTCAGGTATGTGTACATGTATGCTTAACAAATATCAATAAAACATCAATTTATCGTGTTTCATCACGTGTACAAGTCATATGCCAGGAAGGAAGGGTTCATAACAAGTGTATATATCCTCATTTGAAGCTGACACTTTCTGTCATCTGGCACACTCATATAATGATTGGCTGATTACAATATGACAACCCATGCTTGCCGTACCAGGCGACTATGCTTGTCGTAAGAGGTGACTAATTATAACGGGATCGGGTGGTCAGTCTCGCTGACTTTGTTGATGCATGTTATCGTATCCCAATTGTGTGGATCGATGCTCTTGATGTCACTCATTGAATTGTCTGTTTGCAGACTCGATTATTTACAGACCGCCTCCATGTGGCTGGAAGATTGCTAAGTGCGGCGTTAAACAAAAGAAATAATCAAACAAACAAAAAAACTGAAAACTCTCACCTCCAGGCACTGATAATTAAAACTAGATCTATTATTGTGATTGAAATTAATACTACCGGGACTGCACGTTTTTTTATATAATTAAGCTCCCTCGTTTCTTAAGTAGCGCGTGGGCTTAGAAACGGAAATTATAACGCCCATATGCTTACATTAAACTGAAAACTTGATTGATCTCGTTTACCGAATGTTCTTAAACATGTGTTGTAGCACGCTTCTATACGGACAATTTGCACCAACACTGCACCTTAAGGGCTGTTGGAGTGTTTCCATATTTACAAGAACCATTGGACCCCGAACGTAGTTTATCTTCTGGAAACTCAGTCTGACATGTTAATCGCATATGACAGACACGCATAACAGCGATATCGTTTTGTTATTACTTATTTGTCATTTTAATTGTGAACGTGTTCTTGACTTATAATGTCTAATTTAAAAAAAGATTCATGCCTTACATTTTATATATATTATATATAGTGAGTGAGTGAGCTTGGTTTTACGCCGCTTTTAGCAATATTCCAGCAATATCACGGCGGGGGACAGCAGAAATGGGCTTCACACATTGTACCCATACATATGTATGTATGTATGTATGTATGTATGTATGTATGTATTATGTATGTATGTATGTATGTATGTATGTATGTATGTATGTATGTATGTATGTATGTATGTATGTATGTCTTGACTATTAATCCGTAATTAAACCCGGGGCCTAATAACGTGCAGTCACGGTACACTTTTAACTTATCCGACCATTTTGTCAAAAGATCTATTTTTTACGATTAGGTTTACATTCATTTCTTTAAAGATAAGTTCATTTTCCTCTTCGTCAGCAAAATGACTGGTCTGAAAGGCTCTTTCAAATGTATCCTCTGTGTAGAATGTAGAGTCGCTCTGTGTGGCTTCAAACACAGCTTCATGGAGGAATCGGTACTGTTCCTGGGGATATAATGTAAACATAGTGCCGTAAAGGGTAGAACGATGGAGCTTAATAACTATACTATATTTGCACATATTTCTTGGTCCAGCAAATGTACCCCAAATCCCTGTCTCAATGACAAACCATAATCCTTAACAGAACCAAGGAAAGGCTTTCTTTATATTCACAGAAAGTGGAATTAATACCTTGTGAATTCTGAAAACTCAACCTCAGAAAAAAGTTCAATAATGCCAACTTTGTACACCACTATAACACAAAACACTTGGGCATTTGCTTCCACACGTCGCGACGATAAACATGTTTAACCTCTTCCTTCAAAGCTTCAGGACAATTTAAAAAAAATAATCTCTACTTCTTGGGGATTCTAAGTATTTATATTGCCGATTGGGGCCGGGCGTACTAACTTTCCCATATGTGTCTTATATCGCTGGGTTCAGCAAATGTACCACCGAATCCCTGCCTCAAAGATTAACCATATTCCTTATTTCAAGGAATGACTTTATTTATATTTGAGAGAATTAAATACCACGAGGATTCTCAATAACTCAGATGACTTGCTTTGAGTTTTTTCCAATTGGGTCAGTAATCAGTAATTCGTCCAGGGCTCTTAATTATGCTTTAATAAAACGTATAAAAATACCTTATGCTTAAATAATATATCGTGTTGTGTATCACTGTATATACAAACTTAAGGGAGAAAACGCAACACTTTAACGTACGTTTGTGATGTCCGTGCCGCTACGACCGTGTAACCCTTACATTATAACTTAGTTTTTTTGTTTAGATGCAAACATGTCATTGTTTTGTCAAACAGTTATATGATGCAGCTTTACTACTAGTAGTTATGATGTATTCATCATGTGGGATCCAGGTATCCTGTATTTTGGGCTGATGTCACATGTTTTGGATTTATATATTCCTTACTGCTGTCTGGATCATATTGACTCTGTTTTCCCTCATCTTCTGTATACAATGGTAGAAGTCTACCCGACCCTCAGCCTTAGCTTGGTCAAACAGGAAATCCAGGCCAATGAATGTCCCAGTGCGTCCAATACCAGCGCTGCAGGAAATACATTTACGATTATAGACAAACATTTTATCTACATTTCTGAAGTCCAAAGGCCAATAATACAGGCATGATGTTTGCATGCAACATTCTATACTGTACTCGGTAAAAAGAAACAGAGGTGGCAATAAGTTTGTTTGTTGTTTAACGCCGTCCTCAGCGATTTTCCAGCTATATAAAGCGGTCTATAAACAATCGAGTCTGGGCCAGTGATTGAGTCATGAGCATCGATCCACGCTATTGGGATACGAGGACATGCATCAATAAGCATTGGTCGGACGGCAAGATGTGAAAAATAGAAACAATATACAGCAAGGTCACAGTAAACCATTGTTCATAGTGAATCGCAAAAAGGCAGCCATCATGAAGCTCTGTATCTACGCATGCCGATGCCTATGTTGGTTGGGTATGAAAGGCAACAACGGTGGTTCACACACAGCACATAGAGCATAGACGACAGAACAATTCCAGTTCAACGCAAAAACGTCTTTGGCCGATAGCGGGCAGGGGCAACACAACAAGATGTGGCAAGGCAAGACCTAAGCACGCTTTACAACACCACAGGAAGTGCCAATGACAGCCGAAGCATGGGTTGCTGAAGACCTCTTCCCAGGATCTTCATGGTCTGAAGAACCACTACTCAAAAGAAGACCCGTGAAGATCCGGGGTGGAATAGGTCTTCAGCAACCCATAATTGCCGTAAAAGGCGACTATGCTTGTCGTAAAAGGCGACTAACGGGAACGGGACTAACAAACCGAAAGTAACTACCGCCTCAACATCGTTACGAAAATCAACCTCAACAGCAAACCAAATCCCTGGGCTACGCAGGATCTCTTATCAGAGAAAGAAAGATGTTACCATTGCTTGCTCGACCACCTGATTTATCCCCCCCTGTTGAGTGTCGAGTGAATGCTTTGCATCGCAGTCCCCCTTCACTGCACTCTAAGCACAGCTTAGTGGCACTTAATCAACAGTAGCAGAACATTCCTCAAAGCGCTATTGAGGATCTAATTGCCTCCACAGGTGGCCGATGTTAAGCTGTCATCAGTGTTAGTGCTTGCCACAATAGTTTCCGACAATTTGATTTATCCTATTGTCTTTATCGAGCTTTTGTTAGTTTTTTTGTTTTTATTCAAAGGTGTCTGGGACATTTCAAATATGATCCTGTGTGGGTGTTTAAGTTATATTGTTCTGTTTGTATCAATCATATTCGCTATGTTCATAAACTCATAAAACCTGTGTCAGGTTTCTTTCGTTGAAGTGTATTTAATGGGTATTCTAAAATATGGTATTGTTAGGTTTCCTTACTGTATTCTATTTGCTAACAAGTTGGCATTGTACACAACACACCATGAGCATGAGAACATTAACAATATGTTGCATATTGTAACATAGCTCAAACAAATGAATACAACATCGACTTCAATATCTAGTTGGGGGCACGGGTGGCCCAGTCGTCTATGGCGCCGCGATTCGCTGTGCAGAGTTGCGTCCCTTGGGCACGACAGAAACCTATGATTGTGGGTTCGAAACCCGGTTCGCCCCGATTATGTTTCTAGGTTTGTCAGCACCATACCCGTGCTCGTTGGTTTCACCGAAGTGACAAACGTCTGAGACTCGCATCACGTCGGGCTTTCCTCCCACATTAAGCTGACACGCCGTGATATAACTGGAATACTGTTAAAAGCGGCGTTAAACCCAACTCACTCACTCACTCACTCAATATCTAGTTAGACACCAGAGTTCCATAATGGACACAAACTGTGTGAATATTCAGTCCAGTGTATCTTTCAGTTTCTTTGCTTTCAAATAGGTAAAGTAAATAAACAAATTTGATTGTGAACTCGTCTCTGAATGATACCTCAATTTAGATAAACTTGAAATGTCATTTATCAAGACATATTAGCTATTGTGTGTCTAACATAAGTCGTCACATTTTGATATACAATTTAACAAGTAGTGATTTCATGCCTTTTATAAACGTTTCGCTTACCTGCAATGGACGACCAATGGCGACTCCTCGCTACGTCCGTCATGACAGACTTTCTTCCAGAAGGTGACAATGGCTGGTGCTGATGGTACGCCATGATCAGGCCACGTGACGAAGTGGTACTGGGATACTGTCTTCTTCTCTCCTGTCTAAAGTTCAAACATTTTTTTCAGATGTAGCTGAAGTAGTGTTAAATTTGGCGTTAAACCCATCTTGCGTTAAAACTGAACTTGAAACTAAATCCCGAGAAATGAAGTGACACTTCATTACCGTTGGCTTAAGAAGTTGCAACCTGCTTGGTCCTAGCAACATCATTGTCTATGAATATATACTCACACGCAAAAGAAACGCAAGTGGTTTTAGCATGTAGTGAAGCCCGATGGTGTTATCAATATTTTTGGTTGCATTTTGGAAGCCCCGAGTAAAAACGCAACATAAAAAACGAATCGCCGAAACGCACCATTTCAATGAATATGTGGGTATCATGCACCCATTTCTCGCGAAATCGAAAATGCACGAACTGTCACGAACTGTAGTGGGTATAAAACTATGGCCTATTCTTGGACCTACCACTCCTTGGTCAACAATGCCACGCCTAACACTAATTCAGAGAAACCAGGCTATCGGACGTTTGCAAGCTGGAGAGTCTGTCCAAGATGTTGCCCCTCATTTCAACGTTAACATAACCACAATTTACCGTCTCCTGCATCGATACAATATTACACAGACCACAGATGACCTTCCTCGGAGCGGTCGTCCTAGGATCACCACACCTCGACAAGATCGGCAGATTACCCGTCAACACCAGCGACATCCGTTCCTTACTGCAAGTGAAAGTGCTCGACAGACCATAGGAACACATAATGGACATAATAGCCGACGTCTCCGTTACAACAACCTCAGATGTCGCCGACCAGCACGTCGTCCTGTTCTCCAACCACAGCATCGACAAGCACGACTTCAGTGGGCACAGGGTCATCGCAATTCGCGTCATCGTGAGTGGAGGCGTGTCATCTTCTCTCGCTTTTGTGTCTCCCATGCAGACGGAAGAGTCAGAATTTGGCGGCGTCGAGGTGATCGTTTCGCTGACAGAAACGTTATGGAAAGGGATCCATGGGGCGGATCTAGCGTCATGATATGGGCAGGGATTGGACTTAATGCGCGATTTGGACCCATGTGCTTTCTGAATGTTGTTCAAGGTCTGGGACACGGCGTCACTGCTCAGCGGTATATCGACCAAGTGATCAGACCCCACGTTGTTCCATTTTTTGCACAACATCGACAACATATTTTCCAGCAGGACAACGCTCGTCCCCATGTTGCCAGAGCTACCATGGCCTTTCTGCAACAACACAACATCCGTGTTCTACCGTGGCAAGCCCTCAGCCTTGATCTGAACCCCATCGAACACTTGTGGGATGAGGTTCAAAGGCGTCTGCACAACGTGCGCCCAGTCCCTCCAACTGCCGATGAACTTCGCACAGCTGCTCTGGGTGTGTGCAGGAGGATCCCTAGAGCCTTCACAAATCGTCTGATCCACTCAATGTACAGGAGATGTGTGGCAGTGATCAATGCTAATGGTGGTGACACCAGGTATTGACTGACATTTTGGGTATTGACCCGAAACTGTGTCAGCCCTGAACATTTGAAAAAAACAATTATGTCATCTGCCTTTTAATCCATTAAACTGTCTTCAGTCAATCTTTTGTCAGTCTTGCCCTATTAGTATTTCTTGTCTTTACTGTTGAAAATAAATAACATGTATACTTCATACTCCACTTGCGTTTCTTTTGCGTGTGAGTATATTAAGATAGTTTAATATCAAACTATGGATAGTGGATGTTGTCGTTGATCCCAGGTACGTCGAGTTAAAGAGGGTTCTTAGTGTTCTTAAATTTGCTACAAGTAAAACCGAAGAGAAACATGACATGAGTATCCTATTAAAAATATCAACAACGAAGTAAGATGAATAACCTTCTTATGTTTAAGTTCCATGTTTCTGATGACCCAGTCGGCTCGTGCTGTCTCTCCGTTGTTCACGACAAGGATGTTCTCAAACGGTTTACGTTTCCCAGCTTCAGGCCAGTATTCTTCACACTTTTTCTGTTCAAAACATTATGTGACTCGTTTACAATACCTCCGGAGTGAATAATATATAATTCAAACATTTTATGATTGTCCTTCAAATATTTTGCACTTTTCGAAGGTTAACATTATCGTAGCGTAGCGGAGATATTATGCTAAATTGTGATTATCACACATACGGGATTTTCGTATTAATATTGGTTTTATGTATCTAAATAGATAGGTTGGTCCAATAAATCTGTAAGCATGTTGTGTCATAGTGTCGTGTTTTGGTAGCAGCATGGTACCTTCGCTGTTTCATACACGTTGGTCAGCATAACGATCTGCTTGATGTCGTGTTCCCATATCATTCTCCAGAAGTCAGGAAGTGTGACAGGATTCGGACCTTCAGAAACAATGTAAACTCGGCATGATTAATAGATATTTGTCTCCTGCATAACCTCACTGGTACACGTATTACAATGTTTTAACGCATATGTGCGCATGATTTATATAGCCGGGGAAAACATATCCCAAAGGGGGGAACATTGGTTAATGGAACGACCTACGTATCAAAGCGTAACTGCATTTCTTCTATTTCTAGAAACGTACCCTGGGTTGCTATGTATGCGTTCTCGGTGTTGTATCCCTGCAATATAAATTAAAAGTAAATGGTTTGTACCTGTATCATTAGATTTCAGTAAACTGCAATCATCAAAATCCTAACAGAAAACAATAATTCTTGATGAAATTTATATGCAATCTGCTAAAAAGAATCTGTACATACCTAATGCTCAATCTTATCGTGATCGTGAGAATTGATTGAAGATACAGATAACTGTCAATGATTTCTGACGTGGTTACATTTATTCGTTTGTTTATTTCTTGTTTGATGCCGCACTCTGCACAAGCCGAGATATGTTACAATGGCCTGTTAATAATGGAGTCTCGACCAGACAAGCCAGTGATCGATATGGTGAGCAACGATTCACGCCATTGGGATACGATGATGCTTAATCTACCAAGTCCCCAAGCTGGACTTACTGTTCCTTTAGGTCGCGATTTCGCGAAGTATAGGTCCTTTTCGACCTTTTCTAAAATGGCATCCTCACAGGGTGTCTAAGTTGAAGTGAATGACATAATGTGTCACCAGGCGATCTTCAAGGCAGAAACACTTTTTTTAAATTTTACATTCTGATACATCGTGTAATTATATTTTCGTTTCCGAAATCAGAACCGTAAACTATTTCCCTAACGGCACCTACACTAGATCTTCTGAGATATTTTACGGTGACCAAATTATGCATAATAAGCTACATCATATCACAAATGAATTCATACATGCACATAATTGGCATTAATGTAGTCTGAGTGATCTTTCCCTGGGAGTTTCTTCAGTAAAACTCTGGAGTGGTCATCTGAAATGTATATGAATAATATATTCAGAAGGAAACACTACGTTTGGATCATGTTTATAATGGAAACTTTGTAATATTGACATTACATCGATGCTTCGTTACATGGGTTCACTGGGGTACATAATCATTTTATAGACGTAAATATTTACACATCTTTGTTTTATGGTTCAATACTCACAAGGGTATATTCCAATGAATCTGTTCTTTCCCTTGTTTCCGGAACTGTTGCCAATATCACAGGGGTGTTGCTTTCCGGGTGGGAACATCTTCAAAATAACATGAGGTAGTGAATGTCTTACAATACTGTTTTTAGGTGTAGTATAGCCCTGGGTCCTGGGAAAACAATATCCTATCTAACGTCAATGTTAAAACATCCTGAGAAGGAAGTTAGTATTCGACAAACAGTTATATGCGAATGTTGAACTTATTCCCGGTTTTGTGTCAGGGCTGAAGTGAACGCCATATACCTGAACATGTGCAGACCTTAAGTCGATTCTTTGGATATGGTCGTACTTACATTGTATTCGTTTTCAAATCCCTTATCGATGCCATATCGTTCATGAATGTACTGTTGAAGTTCTGAGACACGGACGGCCCGAGACCGGATGTTGGCATACACTGCCCCAGGGTCATCCACGTGTGGAGCTGCAGCTGCAAGGATATACAGAACTGTAATTAATGTATGGCTCTTGTACAATGTTGATGTAGCACTGTATATCTAAACATGGCTGAAGATCCGGTTTAGAATTGCTGTAAAGCTATTCACGCTTGTAAGAGCCAACTAACGGAATAATAACGATCGAGTGGTCAGAAATGCAGACTTTATTGCATGTCATTGTATGCCAAGTGCACAGACCGATGCTCCTGACATCAATTATTGGACTGCCATCAAACAGATGTAACATTGCTAAGTGCGGCAACAAACAAACAACAATTTATTTATATGCATAGAAGAAAGATGGTTCCACTTTCTTAATTTTCTTAGTTTCTTGATTGGCTGCATGCCACCTAGTTGACGCAAACAGCCGGAAAATCAATATAGAGATGACATTTACAGAATATTTTCGGTAATTGCTTCAGTACTGTTATCACCAGCTAGTCAATAGAGCTATTTAATCGGTTCGTAGTTTCCGGTAGTTTTCCGATCACGACTCTAACAAGAGTTCATTGTCTGATATAGTTCTTAACGAATCAAAACAATCGAATAGGACATGTAATAAAGACAGGTCAAGCTCGAACACGTTAAAAAGATACCTTTAACATTAGCAGAGTAGTGCGCAGGTTTTACAGTTAACTGGCCCAGTCGAACGTTGGCTATGCTAATTCCCCGCTCTGTGAGGAGCCTACTAAGTTTTACCTTCTGAGATGGACTGAAGTTTAGGAAATTTATGTGAGTATCGAACCTTGTGTTCATCCTTGTATGTGTGTATGCCGGTACATGAATGTATATGGGGATAGTTAGGAGTAATGGCCGTCGGACCACTCACTCCTTGACATAGCGAAGCTCTTATGGGCAGAGGAGTTACAGAGTCATGGCTTAACTGATCATGATGGTACTGAAAGGCAATACGGTAAGGTAACTGTTGTAGAGCCGCCCCATAACGCAGTAACGAAACTATGTCACGTGTGTAATGTGTTATTCACCATCTATTAAAGGAAATGAAAAAGACTGATCACTGTTTTAAAGTGTTTGCTGTTGCAAAGAATGTTGAAAAATATGTGTTTTGCAAGTGTTTGAGAAAGCATAATCTTGATTTTTTTCATCTAAAGTACCAAAGCGAGGTACAGATCTATGTTTTTGCATGCCTTGTTCAGGAACTATTAATATATCTAAATAACATGTTATGCATTAAATAGGTTTGAGTGTTCCATTACCTGGTTGTGATTGTTTTCTCATCTCAATCTCAGGCATATTAAGTCCTCCTTCATCCTTTGTTTCAGATGTATTATTCTCAGAGCTTAGATCTCTTTTTCTTGAAATAAAAGGGGTAACAAGATGAGGTGAAAATGGGGGTTGGCATTGCATTCAAGATTATAACACTTAAATAGCAAAGCATGTGTGTGTGTGTGTGTGTGTGTGTGTGTGTGTGTGTGTGTGTGTGTGTGTGTGTGTGTGTGTGTGTGTGTGTGTGTGTGTGTGTGTGTGTGCGTGAGTGTGTGTGTACTAGTATGGATGCATGCAGTTTCACCGTGCTAGCCCGCTGAGATGCCAGTATATACTGGCACCAACAAGGACAAACCAAGGGTTATACCAAGTGTCTTTCAATAACGTCTCTTGGTATGACGTGGCCAAGTGATAGAACAAAGGATAAATGAATGCAGATTTGTGGACGATATGAGTCAGTGGTTTAATTCTTTCGTAAATAATACATGGACGTACATATAATTACGACACGTACATTAATGACATTATTTGCGTGACGGTGTGTTTAGCATGATAGTATTGAAAATTATTAAAACATGCATTTCCTCACTTGTAAATAATTATCCCAGCAATCACTACCAAAATAGCAACAGCTCCTCCGACACCCCCTCCTATAACTGCCGGGTTAAGACCAGTCTCCGCTAAAACACAAGACAGATTCCTACGTTAATTTATATTAATGGTACTGGGCGAAGATACAAATGCGTTTGCTTCAAGACAATGATTACTGCACTGGAAATATGCATTAGATACTCTTGATTCTAATGTAGTATATGGATTACAAGTGTTATCAGCCAGTGTCTGTAATCAGCGAAATAACTTACGTCATTACTGTAACCTGGCAACATGAAGTTTTGAAATCCTCGGAATATGATTGAAGAACCCGATGATAGGTAAATGCGCACTCTAACAATGTGACGTGGGACTCAAAATGTTACAGAAAACTGTGGTGCTTGTTGTAGGTGGTTCTGTATGATCTACTTACGTTTTTGACAACTTTCTCCTGTCCACCCATCTGCACATCCACTCTCACAGTGTCCGGTTGTCTTCTCACAAACACCACTGCTCTTACAGTGGCATTGGTTGATACAGTTGATACCATATGTGGAGTTACTGCACACTGAAAATCGAAAGAGAAACTATATAGGACGAGGCAACCGGTTTACTCTCGGGAAACAAATAAGGATTTATGTGAAGACGTGATCGGTTCTTTAAGAGGATAACTTGTAACATTCATACCAGGTGAGCTGAAATGGGGTTTATCGTCGCATTCAAGATTATTGCACTTATATAATGTGTGTTGCTGCGGACTAATGTCGATTATTTAGTGCTAGCACACTGAGATACCATGCCGCATTTCAACATGAATAACCCAATCAGACACCAGTCCTTGTCTCAGCCCCTCAATGCTGAGAGCAAGGCAGGGTAACAACAAGTACTATCTTTTAACGTCTTTTGGTATGACACGGCCGGGGATTAAACCCCGATCTTTCGCTCTCCGGGCGAAAACCCTAGTACCACTTATTTAATGAAAATTAGATACTCCACAAACCTTTGGATGCACATGAAACTAACATTTCAAATGTCAGACTTTGTTGACAGACTAAACTCAAACTTCAAACGAAGAACATTAATTCACATTGCAATCAGCTGATTCTACGTCATTAGAACCCATATTGTTATTTAGGCTTGGTATGTGACAGATCCTGACTGTGACTGTAATCCAGGTGACAAGCAATTGTACATGTACATATGAACATTACCTCAAATATAAATCAGATAACATTTTTCCCGAGTGTAATACAGTGGATGTAAGTATCGAAATTGGATCATGGTATTGACAATGGTCCAGGTCATCAGGGCAGTACGACACACTTCTAATCAAGATACTGATCACTCGGTCACCATGTTTGAGGACCTAGTGACATGCATTAGTAAGAATCACTGGAAAGGCAAAGGAAGAAATGAAATCAAGAGAAATATGCTCATTCTCTCTCGTGTTGGTGCACGTGCTGCACTATGTCAACAGATAAAAATAGCCACTATGAAATATCAATCTCCTACTATTAATGTTTGAATTGTGGAAAAGTGAGAAAAGTGACATTTCTGGGAGAGATCATACGTGTTGTCATTGTACCGTAGGGGGAACGGGTGGCCCAGTCGTCTAAGGCGCCGCAATGAGCTGTGCAGAGTTGCGTCCTTTGGGCACGCCAGATACTTATGATTGTGGTTTCGAATCCGGGTTCGTCCCGTTGATGTTTCTAGGTTTGTCAGTACCTGCATCATTTTGGGCTTTCCTCCCACATCAAGCTGACACGCCATGATATAACTAGAATACTGTTAAAAGCGGCGTCACACCCAACTCACTCTCTCACTGCATTCTGAATATTTAGGTAATTAAACATTAAATACTATATTCATATTTACGTATGTATGCATGTTTGTTTCTTTGTTGTTTAACGCAGCACGCAGACATTTTCCAGCTATATGACGTGGTCTGTAAATCATCGTGTCTGGACCAGACATTCCAATCATTGATGTCATGAGCATCGATCCACGCAATTGGGATACGATGGCATGCATCAACTAAGTCAGCGAGCCTGACCACCCGATCCCGTGAGTCGCCTCTTATGACAAGCATAGTCGCCTTTTACGGCAAACATGGGTTGCTGAAAACCTATTCTACCCCCGATTTTCATGCATGGGCGCATTGTACATCATGCATAAGTCTCAATATTAAAACTGCGGTTTCATCACCTTTTACCTGCATGTCATACTCATGTATATCGCATCATAATGAATGTATTCAAATGTGTGAGTACATTAAATGTCGTTTGTTGTTCTTTCTTGACAAAAGTAATTTCAAATCCATACCACAAAGTACCTGTCTGGCATCCATCACCAACCCACCCTGCTGCACATCCACCCTGACAGTAGCCTGTTGTCTTGTTACATGTAGTGTTATCCTTACAGTGACACGTCTGGGAACAGTTGTCACCATACTTGTAGTTACTGCATTCTGTGAAATATCAATTTGCTTCTATTAATGTTTGAGGAGGTTAAATAAAGTGACAAAACCCTTTCCATATCCAATAGATTGTCCCCCTGTGTGACACGTCATTCCTAGCATAATTGATGTAACTGTCATCCCTCAGTGTTTTAAGCTAACTCGCTGCTGAGTATTCTTTTAATATCGGCTAGTATTGTGCAAAACCACCAGTAGCTAAAGTGATTTCGTAAATCCTGATATATACATATATCAACTTGTTCTTCGTCGCTATATGGCTGAAATAATGCCGACGCGACGCTAAATTTTAACTCACTCACTCACTCAATAATGTTGGAATTGAGATACTGTGAGCAAAGTGACTCTTCTGGGAGAGACCATACGTGTGGTCAATGCACAACGAATATTTAGGCATTTTAATATTTATTAGTATATTCATATGTACGTATGGATGCATGTGAGCATTGTACACAATAAATAAGTCTGAATATTACATCTGTGGTTTACTCACCTTTTACCTGTATGTCTTTCTTGTTAAATCAATGGCATTAAAGAGCACACAGTTTGTCGTATCATAATCAAAGAAGGGTCAATCATAATGCCTTCCTTGTCCTTTTTTCAGATAAAAACTATCAATAGACGTACAACTTTTCCGTTGTTAGGTTTATGTAATTGTGACGTGTTGACATCCATATTATCAAATTAGATTGTCATGTATTAATATGTATGTAAGATCAAATTCATTGTGCTGCTTGGTTTGAATACCAATTTCGAATACGCAGTAGTATGACTTAAATACTCTTCAAAGAGGCGTGAAACCAAACACTCTCGGTCATTCATTGTGCTGCACTGAATATGTTTTTCGCAAACCCTTCTTCTACATATATGTATGCATAACGTTAAAAAGTTCAGTTTTTTCCAAAAACATAATTACTAACATTATGCAATTTTCTTTCTCCTATATATGAAAAACACTTGTTTACAAACAAAACAATTACATAAAACTTTAAGGCATGACAATGAACATTCGGCTCTAACCTGTATGGCAGTCGCCACCCGTCCACCCTGCTGCACACCCGCTCTGACAGTAGCCTGTTGCCTTATCACAGATAGTGTTTTTGTCACAGTGACACTTCTGGGAACAGTTGACACCAAACGTGTAATTGTTGCACTCTGTGAAAAGAAAATAGTAGTCACAATGATGTATCAATATCCGACCATTTATGTTACAGTTAATATAGTGTAACAAAGGTGACACTTCCGGTACCATCTGAGACCATACGTGTTGTCACTGCACCTAAATAACAAGTAATTTTAACATTACTATGTTCATAATTAAGCATAATTACTGAAAAAAATGTCAATCGTGCAAATACAGCCTGATGTATTTTCATATAAAAAATATCCATAGATGTGACGCTTTCCGTTTAAAAAGATTTACATGCAATAGGGCCGTTTGACATGAAAATTATCGTGTTAGATTATCATAAGTTTGTGTGTAAGATCCATCTCTATGCGCTGCTGGGTTCGAACACCAGGGTCGACCTGACTATGTTTCTAGGTTGGTCAGCATCATACACTCATCCTCGTGGGTTTCTACGCGCATGATTATGCATATTACAAAGTTAAGTTTTTCCTGGAAAGATATCCACTAACATGTTCCCTTTCAAATGTACCAATACACTTGTTTTCAAACGAAACAATCACATAAAAGAAGATTTGACAATGAACATTAGGCTGTAACCGACCCATGAAGATCCGGGTTTGAATATATCTTCAGCAACCCATGCTTGTCGTACGAGGCGACTAACGAGATCGGATGGTCAGGCTCGCTGACTTCCATGATGCATGTCATCACATCCCAAATCGCGTGGATCGATGATCATGTCATCAGTAACTGGATTCTCTGGTCCACACTAGATTTATTTACAGACGGCTGTCATATAGCTGGAATAGTGTTGTGTGCAGCGTGAAACAACAAACAAAGACTGTTACGTGTCTGGCAGCCGCAACCCGTCCACCCTGCTGCACACCCGTTCTCGCAGAAGCCAGTTGTCTTATCACAAGTAGTGTTTTTATCACAATGACAATTCTGGGAACAGTTGACACCAAACGTGTAAGTATTGCACTCTGTAAACAGAAAATAGTAATCACTATGAAACATAAATATCCTAATATTAATGTTGAAACTGAGATGCTGGATAGGAACAGGCAACACCAAACGTGTGGTCCTTGCTTTCTGGAATTGTGTTCAAATATGCATAAGCAATGCTGTTGTGTTGCTATTTTCATGTGTATAGTTTGAAAAAGAATAATATCAAAGACAGATATGTTTTAATTATTTAAATGAAGAATTGATGCTGAGTTTGACTGAAAACATTGTTTTCTTTTCCTTGTTTTCTTCTTTTGTGTCATTTAGCACTAATCACACTCGACAGTTAATGTAGATATTGTTACCAGATAAACAATGTCTATTTGGTTATTTCACACGATCACTGGAAATGATGTTTTGAATTTCTGGCTTTGGCCAAGGCTTATAAACAAGTACCTGTCTGGCAGACATTCCCGGTCCACCCTGCTGAACATCTGTTCTGGCAGTAGCCTGTTGTCTTGTCACATTTAGTGTTGTTCATACAGTGACACTGGTGTGTGCAGTTTAGGCCAAACGTGTTGTTCTGGCACGCTGAAAAGAGTACAAAACATGACTGCGAGATCATGTACTCAACGATGTCTGCGGGTAGGTTTTATTATTGCTGGTAAGTATTATATTCGAACTATCATTCATTGAAATTCTTTTACAACATATTTGAAGACGGACTATTGGTGACCGGACGCGGTGCAGCCGAGAAGGTACGACTAGCGGTGAAACCATCAAATTACGGCGTGTTAATAGGTCGCTTTTCTTATTAAGGCCAAAAGGAACCTAAATATATCCAAAAAGTTTCAAACTATTAAAATCTCATAGTAAAATTAGCCTGAGTAAAAGATTAAAAATTCTTCCTGAAAGACTCCAAAATCAGCCTCTTGACATATGTTATCTTAACGTATACCTTAAGTGTCACATCAAGTACAATACATGTTTGCGTTGAAAGCTGAATCTTCATTGAAAGGACGATATCTGATAGCGGTTAAAACAATTTGAGAAAACCTTTCCCATTTCTTAAAACGTGCATGTCATGTGGGCCAAAAGGACGCTTGTCACACCTTGTCTTTTGTCAAGGAACCAGTTAGACAAAATGATATACCCCAAATAGTGACAAGTTGGCACCTCTAACGAGGCCAATTATTCCATTAACTCACTCAGTACAGGTTATGTATCCTTTGCTGATAAATGAGATCGTCACATTGTCTTCCGTTACAATTTACTTGATAGACCATCCGTAATTCTGAGTAGATCGTACATATATGTCCAAATATCGCCTTGCCAATTACATGTATTACCTGTCTGACAGCTATTTCCGATCCATCCCGCCGCACATCCATTCTTGCAGTAGCCAGTTGTCTTGGCACATGTACTGTTTTGATCACAGTGACAATTCTCGGAACAGTTGACACCAAACGTGTAGTTATTACACTCTGTGAACAGAAAATAGCAGCCACTATGAAATATGAATATCCTATTATTTATGTTGGAAATGAGATACTGGATGAGAACAGGCGACACCACACGTGTGGTCACTGCATTCTCGAATTGTGTTCAAATATGTGATTACAAGCAATGCTGTTTGTTGCTATTTGTATGTGTATATATGGTATGGAAAAATAATAATTATAAGGACGAACATGTTTATTTACATTATTTTTTATGCTGATTGTGATTGAAAACATTGTTTTTCTTTTCGTTTTTGTGTTTTTCCTTTGTGTCATCTAACACTAATCACAATCATAGTCACTCGACAGTTTATCTAGAAATGTGACTAGCTATTTGTTACCAGATAAACAGTATCTATTTTGTTATTTCACACAATCACTGGAAATTATGTACCGTTTTAAATATCAGTCTTGGCTAAAATAGTACCTGTCTGGCAGACATTCCCGGTCCACCCTGCTGCACATCCGTTCTGGCAGCAGCCTGTTGTCTTTTCACATCTAGTGTTGTTCATACAGTGACACTGGTGGGTGCAGTTTAGGCCAAACGTGTTGTTCTGGCACGCTGAAAATAGTACAAAACATGACTGCGAGATCATCTACTCAACGATGTCCACGGGTAGGTTTTAATGTTACTGGTAAGTTTTATAGTCGAACTATCGTGCATTGAAATTCTTTCACAACATATTTGAAGTCGGACTATTGGTGACAGGACGCGGTGCAGCCGAGAAGGTATGACTAGCGGTCAAACCATCAAATTACGGCGTGTTAATAGGTCGTTTTTCTTATTAAGGCCAAAAGGAACCTAAATATATCCAAAACGTTTCAAACTATCAAAATCTCATATGGAAATTAGCCTGAGTAAAAGATTAAAAATTCTTCCTGAAAGACTCCAAAATCAGCCTCTTGACACATGTTTTCTTAACGTATACCTTAAGTGTCACATCAAGTACAATACATGATTGCGTTGAAAGCTGAATCTTCATTGAAAGGACGATATCTGATAACGGTTCAAACAATTTAAAAACCTTTCCCGTTTCTTAAAGCGTGCATGTCATGTGGGCCAAAAGGACGCTTGTCACACCTTGTCTTTTGTCAAGGAACCAGTTGGACAAAATGATATACCCTAAATACTGACAAGTTGGCACCTCTAACGAGGCCAATTATTCCATCAACTCACTCAGTACAGGTTATGTATCCTTTGCTAATAAATTAGATCGTCAAATTGTCCGTTACAATTCACTGTAAAGATCACCCGTTATTCGGATTAGATCGTACCTATGTGTCCACATATAGCCTTACCAGTTGCATATATTACCTGTCTGACACCCAGTCCCGATCCACCCAGCCGCACACCCGGTCTTGCAGTAGCCAGTTATCTTGGCACATGTAGTGTTTTGATCACAGTGACAATTCTTGGAACAGTTAACACCAAACGTGAAGTTATTGCACTCTGTGAACAGAAAATAGCAGTCATTATGAAACATGAATATGTTGGCACATGTAATATTATTCTTACAGTGACATCGCTGGATGCAGTTGGCACCATATGTTTATTTACCGCACACTGCAGAAAATGACATCAATGTGTATCTATCCATAATAGCCCATTATCGTGATTTCTTTTTTCTATAGTACTGATGCAAAACTGATCAGATAGTATGTTGGAATGGGTTTATATTAGGTGTTGTAATACACACTACTGAAAAAGGTACATGAGTATCAGAAATTATGCATAACATAGGTTGGGTAGGTTATTACGAGTGTCTTTGTATGAGTATGTCGGTTAAGTTGAATGAACTCTTCGGCGTGTAGGGGGTTACATAAAATTACTTGGGATAATCTTCAGTGTACAGAATCCTTCCCGATCTAAAGTCGATGTACTGTAATCAATCCGAACATTTAGTGCCAACAATTACTCAAAATACCTGTCTGACAGTCATTTCCAGTCCAGCCATCCCCACACCCCTTGCCACAGTATCCGGTAGTCTTGTCACAGGTGGCGTTGTTCATACAGTGGCACTGGTTCGAGCAGTTGGGTCCAAACCAATGGTCGTCACATACTGCAGGGATAGGCACCATGGGTAATATGAAGGTTATACACAAGTCCCTTCCGGACTACTGGTTTGTGTAACACAACCAACTGTTTAAAGAGGAAACACGTCACAAACAGCTGTATCTCATTGAAGTACATACATTTAAACATAATAAGTCTTGAGCGCGAAACACAAGGCACTTATAACCTTCTGTACATTTGTAAAGAAATGTTTGGAGGTGCCTTATCAAAAAAGCACTTTGTTAAGCAACACTTTTTTTCAAATGATTTATAAACGAAATATAAAGTTTTCCATGTTTTTCAAAACCCCAAAAACTACAGGGATCCCTTGTAAATTAGACGCACGGCCACTTATTCTGAAATTGAAAAGCAACATAGAACGTGAAGAATCTTCCAAAACCTCACGTTAAGGGAAGCCAAATCTTTTTCTTATGCATGAAGAGACAGCTTGTTTGGGGAATTAGAATGATTGGAAGTGCTTCATGGTGAAACTAAACATACGTTTTTCACATGTATCCAAGATTGTAAGATAATGTTGTTCTTTTAGAAAAAAATCATTCGAAAATTATTTGAGACATAATAATATGTCAGTATGAATGAATCTATAGTTGGCATCTCAGCATTACATGCTTTATTCTGATAGTCTGTTGCAATGTACATCAGTTGTTGGCTTATGCCTCCGGAAATACAGTTGAGGTACACACCGTGTGGTGGTGTAACTGGAGCCGATGTGTAACATTTATCACAGATTGAGATGTGACGCATTTGTTTGTCGCCTTATATTGGCAACGCAAAATTGTCTATGTTAAGGCTCTGTTCATGACATGTAAATTTAAGTCATTGATAATATACACTAATTGTACGTCACGCCCTTCGCTGTAAGGGGCCTGATTTGCAAATTACAGAGATCGATCTCAGATCAGCAGAATATTTGTTGTTATGATGGCGTGGTATGTTGTTTCCATTTGTACATATCTGCATCCCGGTCTTGGACATTTATCAAAACGCCCTTGACTAATGAACACTTTTACATGAAAGGTAAATAAAAGCAGCAAGAGTCCATCGTACGGTTCCGGCTAAGCATGAGTTTATGAATCACCACCAAACAGTGATGATACCAGGTGTTCGCGAAAAGTCGAGCACATCCTGCCCCACCGGTGGCACCGTCACAAACACATGTAAAGAAAGGCAAGTCAATTGTTGTCCTGAAAAACAACACGGGAACATATGTTACAAATAAAAACAAGAATGGCATCGGAAATCATTCTTGTCACTGATGCGTCATAATTTGATTCGTCCTCCACACGTAATCCATAAATACTGTTTGATGGCTTTACTGAGGCGTTGAATGCTGTAAGGAGAATTTATAGTTTACAGTAGACTGTACCTTGTCAGTCTTGCGATGATTGAGTTCATAGTTTGGTTGTGCATTTATTCGTCTTGTTCGTCTTTGCAATTACAAGGGAGTCATATTATCAAACAATAAATCTGAAAGCTCTCTTTTCCCGTGTAAGCGGGCATCTCATTTTCAGCTACTTGATCTGTGTTGTAATTTCATAATTTTGACATATGTACTTTTTGAATAATTAATTGTTGTTTTTAAATTTGGTGTGATGCTTTTATCAACAAAGATTATCGAAGGGTCTGTTCAGGAGGTTAACGTACTCTAAAATTATTGTACCCCCTGTGTGACACATAATTCCTATCATAATCGATGTAAATCTCATCAACCAGTGTTTTTAAACCAACTCATTGCTGAGCATGTTTTTCATATTGGCTAGTATTGTGCACAACCACCCGTAGCTAAAGTGATGACGTAAATCCTGCTTGGCTATCATGCAGGAAGCCGAGGTACTGTTCGTCCCCATGATCCCCAGCGAGCTTTGGTTACTGGTGGCTCATAGCCCGTGTTTTAAACTTTCATTGTAATATTGTTATGCCCAAACATTTGTTTGTAAATATAACTTTATATTCATGACTAAACTCTGTATATATGAACTTGTTCTCGTCGCTATATGGCTGACATAATGCTGATGCGACGTTAAATTTTAACTCACTCACTTTTCGTGTCCTTTTTTCTGATTTATCCCAAAGCTTACTAAAAACGCTAACTTCAAGATTAAACACTGTAAATGATCAGAAACAACGCTTCTGTATTTATTCATGCTGGACAAAGTGGAAGTAGTCAGTTAATTTTTACTATATGTTCCTGTATTGTTTTTGTTTTAGTTTGCATGTGTTTGTGACGGGTGCCACCGGTTTGGCAGGATAAGCTCACCTTTTCGCGAACACCTGGCATCATCATATTTGATAGTGATTCATAAACACATGCTCATGTTATAAGGTACAGCAGACTCTGTTTTTGGTTGAGGTTTGTTAAGAATATGGATATGGTTTTACTGCTTTTATTTACTTCATTTCAAGACTACAATGTCGTGAAAAACGTATTAAGGGCAAATTGTGTTGTTCGTACACTTAGGAACGAAAGATTCGCAGTCGGGCGGTCAATGGAAAACTCCGTATATCGTTTAAACTTTACACATTTAAAAAAGATATTGCAACATTATCAACTACAACGACACTATTCAGAGGATACACGTGATGAAATTACTCCTATACTCACCCAGTACTTGTACTTCACACAGACTCAGCTTTTGACCAGACGTCAGACTCACATTAAGTAGCCGGCCTTGCGTCACGTTATCACATCTGATGTCCATCGTGGTAGTCGCATTTATCGATGAATTGTGTGTATAACAGGTCGTGTTCCCCACTGTTACTTTCATCGAGTTTACTCGGTCCTCACCTGGATTATATACGACATACATAAAACATCTATCAAACCACAACGTAAATACACTTGGTTGAGGTGTTGTAAAATAGTTTCAAACAGTGTTATGTTATATCGCAGTCAATACAATTCTACCTAAGTCTGGGCGAGTTTTTTCAAACAGGAAAACAGCGATTAACTGGATGCGCTTGTTTCTGGTGCAGGGTGCAGACCAAAAGTTTACACTCTCGGTCCGTGAGCTCTCATTCTCATTTCCATGGGGAGTACACACTGCTGATATGTGTAACGTGCTGAATCAACCCACTGGTGGATTCTCACAACGTCACATCTATTATAAATCTGGATCCGTGTACACTCAAATTTGATTTATTTCTCATCTCCCCGAAGGTGTACAGTCACATCTCATCCTTCTGTACGGGTGCACGGGTGGCCCAGACGTCTAAGGCGCCGCGATTCGCTGTGCAGAGTTGCGTCCCTTGGGCACGCCAGAAACCTATGATTGTGGGTTCGAATCCCGGTTTGCCCCGATTATGTTTCTAGGTTTGTCAGCACCATACCCGTGCTCGTGGGTTTCACCGAAGTGGTAAACGTCTGAGACCGGCATCACTTCGGGCTTTCCTCCCGCATTAAGCTGACACGCCGTGATATAACTGGAATACCTAATAGCGGCGTTAAACCCAACTCACTCACTCACTCATCCTGGTGTACTCATTCACTGAACAAAGTGATATTTATAATAAACGTCTCACAAAGTCATGTAGAGCACATCAGTAAAACATTCATTGTTATCATGATCTTGTGTGATTACAAGTAAAGACATATGTATAACATAAGCTCGTTTAACTTCACATCTGTCATAGGAATCATAATACACTCTTTTATAACATTTAATGTAATCTGCACAATTATATGAAGTATCCTTCCTTAAATGGGTATATAGTAAATATTTATTCATCTGCAAAGCATGTGCACTTTCATGCTATTATCAAAGACTAAACCAGTGCTCCGTTTGGTCCACATGAAATTAAAGGCAATACATGTCTGCTTTTATTGACGATAATTTTCTCAACGGCCGACGGTTTTTGCGAAGTACATGTAGGGAATCGCAATAATAATATGTAAATCTTACACGTGAGATATGTCAACCATTATACACAACAATCCGATGTTAAACCCAATGTATACAAAAGCATTATGTCTTTAATATGCTGATTCAAAGGGAACGCAATAGTTAAGGTCCAAAGAACTAATGTTTTACATTGGTTAGTTAAAATGTCCATGACCATCCTTTCAAGACTAAGAGCAAAAATCATGCACAAGATTCAATATATATTTTCCCCATTAACTCGATGGGTTAAACTGCATAGTCATATCCTCTATTTATTCTCACTTCGTGCTCTGTTGTATATCTTGATCCAGGAGATGTTATACACCTGCCCCAGGTCCACCTGCCACCAGGGATTGTCTTGTATAGCGACGTGAGAGCAGGAACCTTTCCAGTATTGTGTGTCTATATTCCCATCCACGGACAGGTTTGCCTTTTTGACACCACAGACTGCACCAGTCTCTTTATGGCACCATTGTGTATCGTCTAAGTTTCCCGGTTGAGTTGCAGGCTTGTTTAGTGCCACATTTACTGAAACATTGTGCGTGAAAGATCGGAAAGGGCTTAAAAGATTCTCTTCTGATTGAATGTTGTTCCACGTGTTTCAGTGCACGCACTCACAAACGTTTGGCTCATTCGGCGTATTAATAATGAATTTCAAATATAGTGTCCATAAAACACTTCACCCGATCATTACTGTTCAATAAAATTGAAAGTACGAGTCGTAAGTTGCAAAATTTAATCACATTGCTTTCATTACGCTTTAAAATGCAAGTCCGGTAGGTATATACAGTTTTGCAGAATTGGAAAGATTATAACATCGTTAATACAAATATCGTATTCAAAACATGAAAAGCGGCGCGTAAATAAGATTTATTTTCACTTTAGTACAGTCTATCAAAGGCTGAAATAAATACGTCGGAGGCTCCACATACGGTCAGGTTGGAGGAGATGCACTCCAAACTTACACGCTTTATCACACAAGCCCGCCACTCCGTTTCCACCCTAGCACGCAAGCCTCCGTTCACGGACATAGTCGGCTCCACACGTCCTCGGCAAAACAGACCTATTCATCAGCTTCTTTAACCCACAGACAGTCTCCTATCCACAATTAAACAATGACTATTTGCACACTGTACTTTCCTTCGTATGAGTTAGGAGTAGAATATCTTCTTTCTTTGAACAACTGAGATGAGACAAAGACCATTTTGTCACAAATTGAGTTCACTTTTTGGTTGTTTTATTTGTTTTGTTGCGAGACCATTTGTTCTTTAAAATATTCGCTGATCTGTGCATAAAACGGTGAAACATCTATCTTACTTTTTTTTTCGGTATCGTTAGCTGAAATCGACTAACTTGTCAATATGTCCAACTCTGACAGTGACAGTAGTTTTCGAGTCATCATGGAATGTGAATGTTTGACGAAAGATGAAAGGGTGATTTCTGAGGAAGAAGTACAAGTGAACCCCTACATGTACGTGCATGTGACCGGCAATAGTGACGAAAATAACCAGGATTATCCCTAACTTGGACTCTGGGATCAGAAGTGATTGCAAAACACAAATTGGTCAGTTTGTTTAGCTTATTTTCTCCAAATCACAATATCCTGCTGCAGTCTTGAAAAAACACTACAAAGCCGAATCGACATGGACTGTGAATTGTGTCACTCGCTTCGTGTTACATTACACTTCACACATGGCTGAGGGGCATGTGACACCTCGACTGACTGCTGGCATACATTATGTAATAATCTACTGCAGGTGTAGCAGTTGTGAGATGAGAGTGACTAGAGGTGAGACAAAAACTATTCTGGTTAATTATCGCTAATTGGTCCCCAAAAGGGAGGTGTATTTCAGTTTACAGGTAAAAATTATATAATTGATGTAAAATCAAAGTTACTTGACCTGCCTCCACTAGCCATTCTCAGTCTGAGTCACATATCCACTGATGCCGGGAAAGATTAGTTTACGATGCCCGAAAAGGCTGAAAATCGCCGCTGGACGATCATCTGTGAGCATTGGCCATGTTTTTAACATCGGGAAGACCGTGGTGGACACATCGAAAGAAAAAAACTCTGAGTTATTTTCTTGCGGCGACCGGTGGTCCACACCCCCATCGGTAATGGATCTGTGACACATCTTCCGGCAGCCCACCAGTGACCCACCTGGCACCTGCCAGACCGCGTGGGAATCGGACGAATCTTGCAGTGCGCGTGTGTGGTATGGTCATCGGAGGATAGCCGAAAGGTCATCTGCCGGGAATTGGTCAATGTTCCCCTCCGGTGACCGGACGATTAAGCCAAGTCGTAAGGTGACCAACCGGAGTCCGGGCAAGCATCGAACAGGCGCCTATCGGGTATCATTCATCGGACACCGTAAATGTTGACGTGCCTGTTCCGGAGTGTATATAATGGGCTGAATGGGATGAACAGCATAGAATGTCTTCAGGATGCCAGGGTATCTCCACACACACAGAGACTGGCCTGGCTCCGTATGCAGTACGCTAGAGCCCGAAGCTCCCTTTGCCTTTCCACTCTTCATCTCCGAAGTTTCAGACACTACAAATTTACAAAATCAACTCAAATGTAATATAGTTCTTGCAGCAATTTCGACGGCGAACGCGAACTATGATCGACCGAGCATTGAGCGGACCCCTCCTATAACGAGCAGCAAACGGGCATCGACCGGTGCCCGGATGGTCACCGCACGACTTGGTTTACATCGGACGGGCACCGTCCGGGTATCGGGAGATTACCGTCCGATTCCCGCCAGATGACCGGTCAGTCACTGGACGGTATAAGCCTACCGTTTTTTTCCAAAATCCTTCGGACACCCTCCAGGAACCGGCCGATCATCTTTGGTTTCATGACTACTGCACTGATGTGTCACAGAGGTGGGCAAAAATCTGTGGAACGCCGGGGCATCGATGAAACCCACCGATGAGAGTGACTTATTTGACTTACATTGAATTCCGGTAATATATCTATTCAATACCCGGCTCGTGGTATTACACAAACAGCTTGGAGGCCTTATCGACCGTGTTAATTAAGCCACGCCTCCTCGTTATCGCACATAAGATTCGTTTGTGTTGTTACAAATACTGACTTAAAAATACGTACTTTTTATTAAACGCAATAGCGCTAAGTTTACATTTTTCACACTGTTTTTCTCAGCAATCGAACTGTACATCATACTGGCTACATAATGATGTAATATACATATATTACATGTTTTCATGATCCTTGCACTATAATCTATTCAAATAGTGGCTCGTTAGACATAAATAAATTGCTGTTCAAAGGTGCGATAAACTCCCTCCCTCTACTGCTATTTATCTTATCTTTGATTCTTTAGTATATTAGCACTCAGTTGACAGACGTGGTGATACGTGAAGACGAAGTAAACAGATTCAGTATCTTCTCAGACAAGCGATATGCCCATTGCTGAAGAGTTACACAGTTGATAAAGCACAAATACACAAATACGAATTCGTTGCACCCTGTATGTTATTCGTGCTCGTTGTGAAAATGGAAGATTAGTTGCACCTAGAATACAAGTTGAACCTCAACCGAAATGTAGCCATGTATAGATAGATACATGCTGTTCGTCTCTTGCTGATAATGCCAGGAATGTAACTGATGATCTCTGAAAAGTTGTAGCTGTTTTAGACGTTTATCTAATTTCAATATACAGGCAAAGTGAAACATGTGGGAGAATATTGTATTGTATTTTATTTTGGGTGTGGCGGCTGATGTACATGAAAATTGATTTGATTTATTAAATAGTTGCAGTAAAAGTTTCGGCTATAATGTTAAAACTCTCTTTTAAACGTGTACAACTGTGAGATAGAAATGACGTCACTGTGGAATGCAATGGCATAATCAAACAATGGATGAGATCCTACGTTTCCTGGTCCATAGCGCTTTCAAATATGCATTAACTTTAACTTTATCAACAATTTGTTCATACACTATGAATAGTCCAGAAGATTAACTACATTGAATCCTTTTCAAATTATTTAAAATAACAAAATTTGACGCACACCCGCAATGTTTGAAAATGTTATATGTATCACTAATCAAACATAGATAAAAGATAATACTCACCTGTATGCGGTGGCAATTGCTGATTGCATACAATGACTACAACGGGGAAAATCCACAGAAAGTACCATACGTTCTTCCGTCTGAACATTTTAAAACGCTAACGTGCCCTCATAGCTGTGGGTAAGCAGGAAGGTAAATAGGCGTTATCTTTGCAAAACCCACATTGCCCCCAACGAGTTGACGCGACCATCTTCACTATCAGTCTGTTATCGTGTGTTACTGTCGTGTAACTTCAACCAGTCCTTGTTATCGGTGTCAGATCGAGCTGGCCCCTGTCGTCGTGATTTTGTGTACTGTGGTATATAGGTTATATCATGCACGTTGTATGCACAATGTATACATCGTAATCCCATCACCTCAGGTGAATGTATGATGGTGGGGTTTAGATGGGTTTACGCCATATTTGGCAGTTCGCGTGGTATGTTAGGGAAAGGCCAAAGGGTGGGGCAAGTGGACATGTATCCCTTTGGTCTTCCTCGAATATTATCATAAACACCCTGGACCTTTTCGCCACAAAGCTTTCGGAAGTGGCGTATCCCTCTTCCGCTCTAGTATCGCCAGTTTCGCACAGAATTTCTCTCGCCCATGAGCGTTAATTCAACAACCAATCAAAACGTCTCTTCTTCCACATTCGTAAACGCGCCTTTGTTCGACTTCTGTTGAGAAGTTTTTTTTACATTTTGAAAAAGATGGCTGACAGTTTGAAAAAAAGCGGACCGTGCTGTTGCAAAGTGTGTTTAGGGGAAAAGCTCAGGAAGTTTATGCTGCCTTACCTATTGACAGGAGTTCTGATTAGCATACCTATTGACAGGAGTTCTGATTAGCAGGTTGTTGAGGCTAAAATGTTGAAGGCTTATGAATTGGTTCCTGAAGCTTACAGGCAAAAGTTTAGGTCTGCTAAGAAAAAGGTTGGTTCTACTTTTGTTGAGTTCGCAAGGGAGAAGGAAACTCTTTTTGATAGGAGGTTTACTTAAAAGGAGTGAGTGAGTGTGTGAGTTGGGTTTAACGCCACTTTTAACAGTATTCCAGTTATATCGCGGCGTGTCAGCTTAATATGGGAGGAAAGCTCGAAGTGATGCAGGTCTCAGACGTTAACCACTTCGGTGAAACCCACGAGCATGGGTATGGTGCTGACAAACCTAGAAACATAATCGGGGCGAACCGGGATTCGAACCCATAATCATAGGTTTCTGGCGTGCCCAAGGGACGCAACTCTGCACAGCGAATCGCGGCGCCTTAGACGACTGGGCTACCCGTGCCCCCACTTCAAAGGAGGTCCATGGTGAATTTGACAATTTTAGGTAGGCAGGGTGACTCTGAATAAAAGGAATGTGGAGATAAACTGCCAGACATAAGCAGACAGTCAATCACGATAACGTGCAGTGATAACAGACACGTGACAGTACTTGGGTGCGTTTTAGCAAATAGATTAGAAACTCAGAACCCAGAACATTGTAGTAATTAATCATATTCGTTTGTAACGATAACCCAATTACCGATAAGCTAAAACTGTAAACAAGGAAACAGACTGAATCATATAACGAGATAGCAAGGATCGAAACGAGGAGATTGATCCTGGGCCTCTGAGTTAGAGTAAGGTCGAAATCTGAATGTTGAGGAACATGAGCTCATGGATGACCAACAATTTCCAACGCTAGCGTTGACTGTTTGTTTTTTTTAATACGAAATGACTGGTAAATGAGACGCGTCTCACACGAACAGTCACGTCAAGCATGTAGCACCGGCCAGACCACATTCCTGAGAGAACCTCAGATTTGGTAGATATTTGAAGGAGGGTTTAACGGATCCAAACGCAAGTACAGCAATCGCTTCTCTCAACTGACATAGATTCATGCTGTTGCCTCATTGCAGATGGTCATGATTGCCCCCGTACAGTCGCAGAAAAGCGAAGCCATGACTTTGCCAACTAAGGTCTCGCGGCTTGGTTGGGGAGGCCAAAAGTGTCCTCTGTTTGCTCTGAAGTTTCACTCTTGATCAAAGTATTGGACCCAAGTCTCATCCTTGGTTACAATTCTCATACAAAACTGTCAGAATTCTGTTCTAGTCCAGAGGTTCCTGGAGAACTGCCCTGACACATGGTTAAGGGATATGCCTGTCTGAAGAAATTAGTTTCTAGCTGGGTCTTAAATGAATATAGTTCTTGCATACATCGGAGATGATCTGGAAACTTTTTCCACAGTACAGGGCCCACTTACACAAAGCGATCTTAGCGCTAAGATGATCGTAACTCCCATACTTATAGCATAGGCATACAATAGTCTTAGCGCTAAGATCGCTTTGTGCAAGTTGGCCCTGGTCCAGCTTTGGCTAAGGCTTGATCTTTGATGATTGGTGCGTGATTTTGGTATGATTTGGCTACCTAATGTTATTGACAGAGTTGGAATGTGCTCTTTTATGAGCTCACTGAACTATTTTGGTGCTAGTCATACTGTGCCTTTAAAACAAGAGTCCGAATGTAGAAATGGATTACGTGTGTTAGTATCAGCCAGTGAAGTTCTTTGAGCACAGGGATAATATGGCTATATTTACTTGCACGACTAATAACCCTGGCCATTCGAGTGAGTGAGGAATTTAGATTTTGCACCGCTTTTAGCAGTAACCCAGCAGAATCACGGTGGGCCTGTGAAGTAGTTTGGTGATCATTCGTTGAGGAGGTCCATATAAAAGAACGTAAAAGCAATGAAACTGATAGATTACTTTTGTGTTAGAAGTGTTGATGCTGAAACCATGTTGATGAAATGTCTTTTCAGGATATTGTTCCTGATGTTAATGTAGGCACGCTTACAAATACAACTGACCTGTGACTCTTAACTTCAGACTTTGTCAGGGGCGGTCGGGTAGCCTAGTGGTTAAAGCGTTCGCTCATCACGCCGAAGACCCGGGTTCGATTCCCGACATGGGTACAATGTGTGAAGCCCATTTCTGGTGTCCCCCGCCGTGATATTGCTGGAATATTGCTAAAAGCGGCGTAAAACCAAACTCACTCACTCACTCACTCAGACTTTGTCGAACATGACTCCTAGGTTTTGGGGTTCAGCTCCTGGCAGTTTGCTGATTCACCAATCACTAGGGCAGCAGGATATATTCCCGAATAAAAATGATTTGAACAAATAAGGAACAGCTCCGTTTTTCCTTCACTTGACACACAAGTGATATTGAAGATATTGAAGAAACAGTTTCATGAATGAATCTGCTGCTATTTGGTTTGAACGCAAAATACAGTTGTGTATCTCTATGTGGCGCTGTGTATATGATGAACAATATTGGACCTGGTACAGATCCTTGAAAGACACCAAATTATAGCAGAGTCTTCTCGGAAGTTACGTCATCTAACAGAACAGACTGTTATCATCATAAATTGTTCGATTTAAAGCAGTCATACCCAGACATTCAAAATATAATCAGTAATCTGTTCAGCAGATGGTCTATAGTGTCGAAGGAAGCCGATCTAACGCTGCGCTATATTTAGCCCAAGTCAGGACTCCAAAGCACATGTGTTCTGGAGTGAAGTAGAAGATAGACAATGTATGGTCACTAGGTATCACTATCTTCGGCGGATATTATGCTCTGGGATTGGCCCCAGAACATTGAATACACAGGACACTGGCAACTACGATGCCAGTATGTCTCGCAATATAATGCAAGAAACATAGGCATGTACTGCATATAGCCATGCAAAGTATGAAATTACTGGCTTCAAGGTGTGAAACATTACAATATATTGATTGTATCAGATGACGACGTAGCGACAAAGAACGTCATGTTATATTGCCAAGCATGGGGGAAACAAAACGTTTCAACGAAGAATGGAGAACTTTACAGCTTTGTACCATGTGTGTTGCATGGGCCCTTGCAAGAGCCGCCAATGCCTTCATGATGTGAGCAGTTAATGTCCAGAGATATTAGGTAAATGAGTCATTCATGTATGAATATTGACACTTTTCGTGTGTTGATTTACACAATGTATCGAAATTCCTACATATAATCTCGAAGCTGTAACTCTTTCATAAATAATCACATTTCTTTTAGAAGGTCCCCGTGAATCCCAATAAAAGAAGATCAACAGTTTTATTGAAACGATTGATTTTGGAAATTTAAGCTTCATTTAACAAACAATTTACAGGTAGCAACAGTTCGCCAAGACACTATTCAATAACATGTTTCAGTCAAAACTAAACTTTGGGGCACGGGTGGCGCCGCGATTCGTTGTGCAGAGTTGCGTCCCTTGGGCACGCCAGAAACCAATGATTGTGGGTTCCAATCCCGGTTCGCCCCGATTATGTTTCTAGGTTTATCAGCACTATACCCGTGCTTGTGGGTTTCACCGAAGTGGTAAACGTCTGAGACCTGCATCACTTAGGGCTTTCCTCCCACATTAAGCTGACACGCCTTGATACTCACTCAAAACTAAACTCAGGAAATGTTTCATTATATAAGGTTGTAGGACCTACTAACTGTATCAGTTATAACTCAACTGTACCTCAGTATTGCTTCATGTACATGGTGTACTTTCAGCTCGCCATGCAGGCCTTTAATATCTAAAACTTTTGTCAACTTGTCTTGATAATATTTTCTCTCTCTGCAGACATTCGAGTTAGATTTTCTGTAATTGGTCAATAGTCACTGAAGTGTACGTAAAATGTAATGCGCGGAACTGTCTGTGAGGAAAAAGATGCTTCCCTCTTATTATTGTATAGACTTTGTTCAGATAATAAACGTACATTTTTATGCAAATTACGAGTGACGTGTTGCTACCGGTAGGGCTGGAATATGTTTACTTTTTTCGCGAACACCTTGTGTCCCATTCACCGTTATTTTGCTTTTTACACCAAATGGGATCTTTTACGACGCGGGAAATATCTTTTCTCTGGATGTGTCGTTTCATATTCATAAACGAGTGGAATTCAATGCGTTTTTAAAATATGCTTGATATTTCTGTATGAATATACTCTATTGAAACCACCTATTTCACGTTAAACCAAAACATAAAAACAGAATTCGAAACATTTCCCATCCAATCACCAACATTAGCATCCCGTATAAACTCTACAATGTACATGTGAACCACCTCCGTGTATACGGTACACCATAATGGTGTCAACAGTATACAACTAGTGGTGAACAGTAGAACACATTGACTTTAAAACACTCAAGTCCCAGAAACACTTGTCTTGATCACCGACTTGTACCTATCTCATGCTGTAAAAGGACGATCGCCTTTACTCGAATTGTTGGTCGAAGCTGAAGTTAGATACAAACACATAATGTATCAATTAAGGAAATATTAAACGTCAACGCCAGAGAATAACAAGTCGCGATTATAAGGCGAGACTGATTCCATTACGTGTAAAAGGCAAACTAGAAGTGAAAATGATAAGAATAGATAACTGAAAACCAGTGATGACAGCAGGCGTTCGCGAAATGGATAATTACACAATTTGTGGTCATTTGTGAAGAGCTGGTACAGGACTGACTACATGCCCCTGACGTGCTTACCTAAAAACGATAACCACGACAAACGCTGTTCACGTTTGAATACTGGCTAAGCTGGCTAGCTATAGACAAAGAGACTTCGAATATCTGACAGTGGTGAGTGGTGAGACGGGTAGAACGCCGCTTTGAACAGCGATACAGTTGTAATATCAAATGTCGGCTTGAGGTTAGAGGGAAACCTGAAGCGATATAGGTTCATACGTTACCAAAAGCAAGGATATGATATCGGGCAAGGCGATTATGCGATTCTGAAACGCCTAATGGATGTAACTGTTCACAGTGAGATGTGCAGATTTCTTAGACGACTGGATCCACGCTTTACTCGACAACGCTAGCCAGATGTTACAATGACGTTATTATCGTATGTGACGTGCATAAGCAAACTTTACAATTCCTGTGCACCACCCAAGCTCTTGTTGAGCAATGAAAGCAATAATTCAGAATAAAAGATTAAACTGGAGTTAATTCACAACCGTGTATAGAATAGTCAAGTTCTAACTCACTGGAAAACTCGTATGTAATTAACCCACTTACTCTTACTCTTCACACACGAGAGCACACACACACACACACACACACACACACACACACACACACACACACACACACACACACACACACACACACACACACACACACACACACACACACACACCAACACACACACACACACACACCAACACACACACACACACCAACACACACACACACCAACACACACACACCAACACACACACACACACACACTGGTTATTCTCATGCATTGACTATTTCTAAGAGCGACATAACATTATATTCTATATTTCCGATACATATACAGTGCAGATCCGATTATTGATTCACTATTGTTGGGGATGTATGTGTTCCACAAGAGCACCGATGTAACTGTGACACACCCTTACACTGGACAAATTCATAAACATACTGTTTAGTCATACAGTTAATTATTCTACCAATCAACAATACATTCATACTCATGGGGAATAAAGGGTAAACATGATTACACAGCATAACAAATTACCGATATCAGTTTACCGTCGCAATTCACTATATTAATATGTAAGCAGGAAGCTTTCCTCATAAGATACATAGAAATATGACATTTTATTCTACACTCTATGAATCACAAATGTTTAATGGATATGAGCCTATATTGTACAGTTCGTAATTTGTATAACCCGAGATACTTTGACACAAAGATATCGCAGAGACTTTAATATAGCGTGCCTAGCAAATGCGATTAGGATCCGAAAAGGTAGTTACATTAAATTCGAACCCGGGAAATGGTATGTACTCGTCTGGGCACAAACTCGTTTCTTAATAAACTCGTCCTGATTTACACATCCCTCGAAGTTTATAAAGATGCTATTTTGGAGAATGTCCGAGTACCTCTCCATTCCCTGAAAATAACTAAGCGCTCAAACAATAGAAGCTATCACAGGTGTGTCATACTGGTGCGAAGTAGCATCAGTGTATATAAAGAAGTTATCATACATGCACATTCTAAGCAGAGCAACTGTGTGATCATGATGTACCCGGATATTCAAATTATACGCAGACTTGCCAGCTGAGCATTTTCTTCATATAACTGACCTCGTCAACATTTAAAACAGCACAAATGAAATTGTAATGTTGTCATTGTACAGGGTCTCGTCCAAAAAGGAAATCTTTGCACAATGAATATCTTAAAGGGCAAGTTCACACGAAAATAAACCCTTTTTTCTTGTACTTTTTCATCATGAAAAGTATTTACCTAGTAGTTTCGGAGGCAAAACAATAAAAATATCACAAGTATCTAACTTATTTGATTCATAAAATCGGTTCATATTTTACACATTTACAGAGAGTTCTATTTCCATAATAAACACACCATGGCGATGTTCGGGTTACAGCAGTAGTAAGACTAAGATTAACTTGTTGATCGAGGCCCTTTAATGTATACTACGCATGCATACTAAGCAAGCATACATAACTGTACACTTCCACGGCCTACTCTTTGTTGACAACGAGGAAACATTCGAAATGGATACATTTCATTACAAAGTCATAATTGTTGTTGTGATTGGATAGGTTCAATATAAAACCCTGTTTAGAATACTACATCCCTGTTTTATGGCAGTCCTGAGTGAAATGATGCAGATGTTGCATGGATCTGAATCCAACCAGTCATTGTTAAACCATGTGTGCTCGACGTGTCGTCTTTCTCGTAGCTCTGATGCTGGAACAGAACTACGTATACTGTGGTGAGATATTTATATTTGATACAACATATTACAACACGTATTGTTATGCAAAATCCCGACACATTACCTATGCCATTTTGGAACACGAGCAGCGAAATATAAAAAAAAAATATCATTATATATAAATGTAAGGTTTGGCGATATTCTGAGCTGAAGGATTATCAGCAATTTAAGGTGTTATCTTTTCTCTATTATCGAGCTAGGAATAACTCGTTATGTTTAGACGTAGTATTCATTGTATATGCAATAGTATTTGTGTGTTTAATTTGTTTGTTGGTTAACACCGCACTCAGCAATATTCCAGCCATGACGGCGGTCTGTAAATAATCGAATCTGGACCAGACAATCCAGTGATTGACATCATGAGCATCGATCCACGCAGTTGGGATGCGATGACATGCATCAACCAAGTCGGCAAGCCTGTCTACCCGATCCCGTTATTCGCCTCTTACGACAAGCGTAGTTAGCAACCTTTTACGGCAAGAATGGCGCAGGTCGCCATTACCGTTGTAACACACAGTATTAAAATAAGGTATCCAAAATATACTCTTCAAAATAAGAAACGCTGAAACTGATATTTGTGGCCTTAAAAGCAAAATTAGCGGACCAAGAGGTGCAAAATGAAGAGGTTTATTGGCGCATAGTGTCAGTGACAAATTTCCCGGATCAAAATGATCACAAGGACATGCAAACGATTAGTCGGGAAACACGTACGATTCAGAAAAACGCACACAGTGCATTAACAAAAGGGCCATGGATCTGCACGCACTGCACGTGCAGCAGCACTATGAACGGTATTAAAGTGCAGGGTTTTTGATTGCCTGGCATCTGCGTCTATCGAACAATGACAGTTCAACAACAAGATTAACAGAAGTGCAAAGAAACAATGTCATAGGCCGCTTGCAGGCAGGGGAATCCCGATCAGCTGTAGCCAGGGTTTTCTATGTAGCGCCAAGCACGATCACAAGGTTATGGGATCGGTTTCAACAGCATGGGTCAACATTGATCGGCCACGGTCGGGACGACCAAGAATAACCATCCCCGCCCTAGATCGCTCTATCCGACTGCGCCACCTGCGTGAAAGGACGATCACAGTCACCTCAACCGCGTCCCAAATACCCGGACTGCGCAGAATCTTAAATCAGACCGTACAAAACCATTTAAGAGCAGCAGGTCTACGAGCAAGACGTCCTGTTCGACACGTCACATTGAATCGACAACATCGTCACCAACGACTGCATTGGTGTCGTCATCACAACTGCAATGGAGAGATGTCGGGTTCAGAGACGAATCAAGATTCCTCCTCCTGTTGATGGGATGCAAGAGCACGGGCCTACAGACGTCGGGGAGAACGTTACGCCTGAAACTGCGTACAGGAAGTTGACAGGTTTGGTTGGGGTAGCGTTATGATGTGGGCGGCTTTCTCTCATCATGGCAAGACAGGTATGGTCCATATCCAGGGCAATCTTAGGGCTCAACGATACATCAACGAAATTCTCCTACCGCACGTCCCCTAAATTGCAGCCAACGGCAACGGTGTATTCAAGCAGGACAATGCTCGACTGCATACAGCACAGATGACACGAGCCTGTCCACGCAACAACAACGTTGATGTTCTCCCCTGGCCCTCCAGATCCCCGGATTTGAACACGATAGAACACCTGTGGGATGAATAGGATAGACGGCTACGCCGACGTAAACCACAACCCCAGACGTTGCAGCAGTTGGCTTTTGCGTTGCAGGCCGAGTGGGCTACCATTCCCCAGGATGTGATTCGCATACTCGTCTCTTCCATGGGCAGGAGATGTCAGGCCGCTATCGATTCCAACGGGGGACAGACGCGTTATTAATGGTAGCTGACCTTCACCTTGGACTTTTCCTATATACCGATAACTGAGATGCCTAGCTACAATCACCAAGTGTTCTCTCCACAACATTTTGGCTTAATACCTTGTACGGTTCCTCGCATAAATTCATTTTCCTGCCTAACACAAATATGGCTTTGTGTTTCTTTCTTTTTTTCGAAAAGTATAAATAAAATATGCACTATGCAATATGCAAAGTGTAATATGTTATTTACAACATTGGCTTCCATAAATGTTAGGTGACTCTAAGTGTAGATTACGCTACCCACATCCCCAGAAGGAACATAACGAAAAAAGCATTACGTGCACCAAATCACATTGAAATATTCAAAATACGCATCTATACATTAAGGATTGTGTTATTGTAATAGTTAATAAGTACTTTACAGAGGTCGTATTTCTTTCATTCTAACTTCCATTCATGCATTCTGTAACTCATTCAATTTGGCACCGATATTGGGATTTAACTAGTTGTAATGGGTGTGTCTTGATGTGTTTGCCATTCTTCTGTATCAACGAAATTGCATAAAGTACACAACGTTACGTGTATACAGTCCAACGACGGGATCATTAACTGAAATACCCTTTTATACTTTGTTACACAGCAAAAACAATAAACTAACATTAAGGTATCAGTGTACCTTTCGCTGAAACTTGAGATATGTTCCGTTTTAGGTGTTGTGCAATGGCTGACGCGCAAGTACTAGTTGGTATTTTGTAACAAGCCAGTCTAACACGATGGACAACATTGGTATCACCCCTAATGCCCGTAGACGATGAGACGAGGATCTAACAGTAACCGGAGGTTTACACTGAAAGATGATACAACTTGTGACGTTCTTAATTTACAACCAATAATGATCATGTTTATTATTACAGTGAATATAGCCCCACAAGCAACGAGTTACCTTACATCTGTGAACAACAATACCTACACCATCACCGGCCAGGGAGCCTGGATCACTGATGGTGTGACGTCAGGGCCGTGTGCATCAGTCTCGTCCCTACATCCGGCATGGAAGGCTGAGTTTGGACAGAATAGGACAGTCCACGGGATAAAGATATTCTGGGAAGGTACAGTAACAATACCAGTGTTGAAGAGGGCGCAAAATATCGAAAGGACATCAGCATAAGGGCATGAGTTACGAGAAAGTGACATATTTCAACATCAATATTGTAGGGTTGTACTTTATATGAATCATATAGTTAATAGAGCAAGCTTAGAAGTGTATTATTGTTAACAGTAATAGTATATTCACCTGAAACAGTATTTATTGCAAGCTGTTTTGTTCCCGTTCCATCAAAATGATGACATAATTGTGTCTGTAGGTGGCACAATATGTCACATCCCGGTCTTTCTGTATCAATATAGGTATTAAGTACAATACCGATGAAGTATTTACATGATAATATACTAGTTTCTTCACGTTCCTCAATACCTATTTCAGGTCCACAGAAGGATGTTATTGTGTCTGTAGGTGGCAGAATATGTCACACTGTGGACAGCTCCTACACATGGATGTCAGAGTACACCCTCAACTGTGGTGTACCAGTGACGGGAGACAACCTCCTGATGTATCGCCGACCTGATGGGGGGATGCTGAATCTAAGTCTCTGTGAGGTGGAAATCTTCGGTAAAAGAAGTACTGTACTAAACGCATCTACATATATTCATATCCAATCTATCGTGACAAGCACAACGTTTCAAAGTCTGGCTTCACTCCACTATGAATGAATCTTGAAAACATTTTCAATTGTCATACAGTATTTGGCATGTTTTAGTCATCATCGAGTGGTTTTTTATCTTGTTAATATACACAATAGATTGATTGATCGAACCTGAATGTGTGTAGATATTACAACAAGTCTCACAACACCTTTGACTTGATCATGATTACATTGACGTATTCGGATGGTTATCTAACTGCATCTACATTTTTCTTGAGAACAATATTTATTAAATACCCAGTAAATAAAGTCATAGTTGTTTTATGACGGCAAGGAGACCCTTAAACGGCCGTGGCCACCGGCTCGTCTACGATCGTTTGGTCTTAAAATGATTCGGCAACAGTTTATATAAAATATAATATTTGAGATATAAAACGATAGTTGTGATTGTCTATGTATTAATGATATGACTGTAACAGGGACACCAGTTACGACATCTAGAACGGCTTCATCTACCCTTACATCTACCATTGCAATGCCTCAAAACACCAAAACAAGAATTTCAACAAATACCCTAATGGAGTCAACGACCACATCTTCATCCTCAATTCGAACCTTGTCCAGTTCAACAATGGACAGTGGCGTATCACAAGTCGTTGATTCAGGTAAGACTATTTGTGTGATATACTGTAAAATATGTTTTCTATTCTCTTCTCATCTTTAGATATTCCTTTAAGGTCCCTCGTTTTGTAAATGAGCACAGGGCTTCAGACCTTACATCTAGTTGGTCCCATTTAGTGATTCATGACGTATATCAGGTACCTATTATCCGAGAACATGCTGTCGCGTCGACGGTGACGGGAACTGGTTGTGTAACGAAGAACACCATACTGGACTACAAATGTTTGACCGATAGAAGGAAGCGAACATGAACTGTTTCAAATTCCGAAAGCCTCTAGCGACTGCGCTGAACACCCGGCAATACTTGTAGTAAAATACGTTACGAAAACAATTATATCGCAGCTATTCTTAAATGACCGCCTCGGTCCCGTGGTGGAAAGAAAGTCTGCCCGGAGAGCGAAAAGTCTATATTTCGATCCTCGGTCACGTCATACCAAAAGACATTAACGGTGTCAGTATATTATGTGTGAGAGGGATGTCAATATTAAACTGCGGCATGATATGTCAATATTTCAAAATAAATTCGTCATTCATGCGGATTACCACGCACGCACGCGCGCGCGCGCGCGCACGCACGCACGCACGCACACACACACACACACACACACACACACACACACACACACACACACACACACACACACACACACACACACATGTAATATACAGTGATGATTTTAGGTGTTTCCTAAAGGGTGAGCGCATACTGTCCCAGCAGTAGCGCCTGTCAAAGGGAAGTCAACTGTTAACCTGATAAACCCGGGGACACATGGTACAAATACCTTTCTCAAAAGTATTCATTTGTAAATAATGTGTTTTCAAAGAAAGTAAAGTCTTTGTGTTGCATTTCTAATAGTTACATACCGTCGTCAATCTGAGCAGACTAGAGTGTAAGTTAGAGGATGGCCATGCAGGTGTTTCTGTCCCGTGAATTACACATGAAGACACCTTGCTTGCCCTACAGATTACACGTCAGGTGACACTTCACGGGTCAATTCACTCTACCGACGTCATTCTCTCATATCCTATTCCTTCGTCGATTTCTGCAACTTTAGAATAGGGAAAATATACCAACACATCGATATTGTTGAATGTACATGTACATGTGTCATACAAAATGAATAATTGATTTGTCTGGTTTCCACCCTCAAATACTGTTAAGTATGGCCAATATAATTATCTGAGAACATGCTGCCGTGTCCACAGTGACGGGAACTGGTTGTGTAACGAAGAGCACCATACTGGACTACAAATGTTTGACCGATAGAAGGAAGCGAACATGAACTGTTTCAAATTCCGAAAGCCTCTAGCGACTGCGCAGAACACCCGGCAATACTTGTAGTAAAATACGTACATGTTTCCGTTTGAATGGTACAGAAAACAATTATATCGCTGCTATTCTTAAATGACCGCCTCAGTCCCGTGGTGGAAAGAAAGTCTGCCCGGTATGGCCAATATAATGGCCAATGTTGCCATTTTTGAATAACTGAAAAACAAACATGTTAATACACGTTAAGCTTCATGACAATTAATTCAACAGCTACATGTACAACAACCACAGACAGAAAATTGCCAACCGTAACTGTGCCAGGTAAGCACATATTGTAGAATTAGCTGCATAACTACATTATCAGAAAGTAAGGGGTTCATTTATAATCATGGATAATATGGTATAGAATGATCAATTCTAAAATGTCACTGGAAGTAACTATCCAGCGAGTTACATAAAGGGTTTGTTAGACATAGTGATAATGGTCCAAACCTTTTCGTGTACACATTCGGTGATTATTCTCAGCATGCGTGAAATACTGTTCTGTTTATGAGAGTGAATGAGTGAGTTGGGTTTAACGCCGCTTTTAACAGTATTCCAGTTATATCACGGCGTGTCAGCTTGATGTGGGAGGAAAGCCAGAAGTGTTGCAGGTCTGAGACGTTTACCACTTCGGTGAAACCCACGAGCATGGGTATGGTGCTGACAAACCTAGAAACATAATCGGGGCGAACCCGGGTTCGAACCCACAATCATAGGTTTCTGTCGTGCCCAAGTGATGCAACTCTGAATAGCGAATCGCGGCGCCTTAGACAAATGGGCCACCCGTGTCCCCCTGTTTATGAAGGAGCAACATTGAATCTCACATACTGCAAGATGACAGGTGCAAAAGATGTTTGTATTTTGTCTGTTGAAATGTTTATACACTGAAGATGCATGCCATTTGCTCAAAACAAAGATCAATATGCCTAAAACTGGCTTTGCTTATAAATAATAGTTTGATATTTATCCGCCCTGTGTTAAAATGCATATTGTATTATTTTCTTGTATTTGGAATATTTACACTTTCAGGGGACCACGATGACAACTTCCCTTTACTGAACATCATTGTAGTAGCTGCTGGGACTGTTGGTGTGGTCGCTGTTGTTGCAGTTGTAACTGTTGTGAGTGTAAGGTATGGTTAAACTATCACACCATTCTTACACTATAGTATATGTCACACAGGTATTGAATAGGTTATGATAAAAGCATATTAGAGCCTTTGTCGACACAGTAGATATTACCTCTGGTCATTTAGACTATTACTTTTATGACCATATCTATTCGGTCAGAAATTAGGTTTTAACATTTAACCGGACTGAGATGTACGAATACATACTTGTTTGGACGCCCTGATGTAAGATCATAATCATAATGCGATCTTGCAGGAGGACGAAACGACGACGGTCTGCAGCTAAGGACGCTGAAGAAGCAGTTGTGGCATCTTATGAAGGATGTGTCGCGGAACCCCGGGAACACAAATACTCTGACCTGGATCCCACAAAGCCTCAGAACACCAATGGGATGATGTACGAGAATGTACAACACGGGTCTGATCACACATCCATGTATGTTAACACGACAGCTACTACCAGCTATGAGAACATACAGGATGACGTATGCACATATGTCAACATCGACTATGATATTGAACAAGATAGGTCAAATGGAAGATCATGTTATGTCAACACCGGTTATGATGTTCAACACATGAAGGATTCGGCACAAGCAAGCATGTATGTAAATACTACGGATTTGGGTCTGTATGAAAATACCCTAAATATCCGTACATAAGATTGGTAACTGTGACTCATTCGGGTAAACATATATACCCTATGAAGAGATTCATGTTGCAGTATCGTCAGTATAAACCATATAGTCGTTAATTACAGTGGATGACAATACCTTACACAAGTTTGAAATGAACGCTCAGAGTGACCAACATGCAATAATTTAATAACAGGTATTTTCAAAAGTGGAATGCTTTGGTGTTCATTTGATTGGTTAAGATTTGTACAAAGTATCCACAAGAATGAAAAGAGGAATAATTTAAACTTTCCAATGGTCAGATTTATTTTTCCCAATATGTCAGCAGCTCTACACTTTTGTTATTGTGGAAATTGGTTTGTCACTTTATTTATTAGTCTGGTACAGTCTGGCAAGATAGAATAGTGGTATGTTGCATTGGAGTTCCAGTTTTGTTTGTGTTGTGTGGTCTTTCTTCAAAATTTAAGTATTGTATCAATTGGCTTTGAGGTCTTTTAAATATGGTCCTCTTGGAGTTCAATGCACTGGTTCCGTCACATCTCAATGCCAGTTTTCCAAGTTTTGTATAGTGTCGAATCCTACTCTGTCAACCAACCTACCACAGCAGCAACAATTTCTTGATCTTCATCATATCTTGTGACCACGGTAGTGTCTATCTTTAAATTTTACATTCAGAAAAGTTTTAGTGGCTGTTTTAATGACTGTTTACTTCCAATAAAATTGGTAAATGCGCTATTGAGTGACCGGATGTCTGGTTTATCACTTATTTATCTGGTTTGTTTACATGTGAACACAACTCCCAGACCAGAAGTGTTTCCATGGACACCTTGTTTGCATCAGTGATGGATCCAGATCTCATCACCTCACACAAGCATAAAATGATTCACCTAATAAACACAAACCTTTGACTCATATATGTGCATGAACGATTGTATCTCTTGGCCCATACCAGACGCCTATGCTTTTCCTTTACAATTGGAGTGTAATGGGCCTACGGTATTTGTATTTGTGGACCGCACCAATGTTTTCCAGAAGAGAGGTCATCTTCGACACTTCTTTCCCACGCTGATGTTCCTTCACCCAACGTTCAATACTCATAAACAGCATGCAACCGTTCAGCAATATCCTTTGGAAATTGACCCTCTAGTACCTGGGAATAATAATCAAGATCCTGTTTCACTGAAAAAGAATTACATATACTTCGCGTTGTGGGAAAAAATAACGTACCCTTTTCATACAGACAGTGTGTATATAAATATTAGGACGTCATGACATGTGACCCGACCAAGACTGTTACCATGCTTCACGAGCTGATCAAACCAGAAAGCTGTCATGGCAAAAATGGAATGGAAAGAGTTCTGGCCCTCTGACTCATCACATCCGGGTGTACGTTCCTACCCTTCGTTCCACACTAAGGACGGGTTCCAGTTTTACGACCAGCTCCAATCCATCATCAAGAGTTGCTACTGCTTGGCAAACTTCAACGAACCTCAATCCTTGTCCTGGTGTCAGGGGCAATACGGACATGCCAAGATGATTGACGATGGGCGGCTTCTTGTATCTTACACCAGTATCTGTGCAACACCGATTCCTTCTTCCAGACTAAGCGGATCGGATCCCAGCCAAAGAGGATGCACCACACCAAGCTGGAGGGAACGACAAGACCTCTTACCTACAAAGATTATACTCCTTTACCTGTACCCTGTATGATTATCTGGTTACAGTACTTCCCCTGGGGGATGCCAAGTACAAATGGGGTTACCTGAGAGACACGCCGCTTCGTTAAAAAAGCAGGGGAAAAACGTTTGGGGTCAAAGCCCACTCCTGCGATCTCTTTTCGGTCTGAGTCACTTCTCCCTGCTCCAGTAATAAAAATTACCCACACCCCACACCAAACTGTCGTTTCCATTGTATTCCTTTTTTTTATTGTAAACCTAATTATGTGTTTAAATATAAATTGCCAAATATTCATTGATGTTGTGTGGTTATTAACGAACTGTGAGACCTCTTTTCTGGTTATCCCTGCACGTTTTAAATTTGGAGTCAACACATAACATTTACTGAAAAAAGTTTTTTAAAACTTTTTTGCCTCTCAAGCCCAATGGAATCTGCCAATGGAACAGTGACAATATTGTAACCGCAAACTATAGCAACAAGCCTATATTTCATGACTTCTACATACACAAGCTGTACAGCCGTTTACGCTTTGAACAACGGGTGTGACTGTTTGCCTATACATATGCATAAAGGGGATCAATGCTTGTAAGATTCCAATTAAAGACCTGTGAAAGTACATCTTTAGCAACACAATTCGGATAATGAAAACACAGCGACATATTGTGAGAAATGCATGCAGCATGCATGATATCAAAACATTTCCAGAGACTGCAAAAGAATATGTTTATCACAAAACAGCATTTCGCCCAAGTAGAGCCGATCCAGGTCGAGCACGACAGATGTTTTGATCCAATACTTATTTAACTTCTACCATAGTCGTCTATTGTGTTACTATTATGTTAACTACTGTATGCAGATTTAAACAATGGCAACTAAATCAGGAGCTTGTTCTATGAACCACAGTCGCGATCCGTCAAATGTCGGCTTTATTGAAGTGATGTGACAAATACATCTCCAGAACAGTGCCCACTTCCCGCCACCCACCATACACCACACAACCACACAGGATATTGTTCTATAAACCACAGTCGCGATCCGTCAAATGTCGCCTTTATTGAAGTGATGTGACAAATACATCTTCAGAACAGTGTCCACTTCCCGCCACCCACCATACACCATACAACCACACACTCTCACCAGCACATTGTGAAATTAGGCGGAAGTGAGCAGCTCAAATTATTCAGCATTGATATCACTACTGTTATCAGTTCATGGTTATATTTAGCTTTTACATGAATATCCAGTTGCACACGTGCGACAGCACAACAGAAGCGTGACGTACCCACGATTTTCCTACGACCGCTCTATTACCATTGAGGAATGAATGCGGGTTTGCAAACAATGACCTTGTAGACCATGTTAGAAAAGCTGCTACTGGGATGGACTTTATCAGTATTATTGCATGTAGTTGCTTTCGCAGCTGAGTAATGCCCGGGCGATACAAGAAATGTAGCGATACCTATTTACAGATGCCATTCATGTCAACATCCACGTAGTGCTTGTCACCAGGAAAGTTATCCCCTTATTGACGCACTCATAATGGGACCTTTATTCAAAAATCAATCATATCTCGATAACCAAATAATCATATCTCTTTAAACAAATAAATTATGTAAACGCGCCAACACCCTTTCCATTATCCATTGCACGATTCCGGCTATAACACAAGCAAGCGTTTATGAATCACCATCTGCTTGTGATGACTTCAGGTAAAAGCAAGTTGTCATTGAAGTATCATTGAGATACTGTGCTGATTTAGATGGTGAATAGTCCTACACTATACATTTTCCTTATATAAGCACACATTCCGCTCATATCCCATTACATGGGACACGGATAACACTTCGTTACACATTTATTTGAGTACGGATAAGAATTTAGGGATGAACAACTTCTTTATTACAAGGTTAGGTTAGGTGTAGGTTCTAACACCGTTATCAAGCAAGTGATATACAGAGTGTGGTTGACAAGTATATATTCAGGTAGGGGACAATGTTTATACAGTAGAGTAGATATCAGATGTAGTTATACTGGAGTGGAGAAGCCTGTTATGTATACACAAGGGTAGTGATGACAATCATCGGTGAAGTCAGTGACACGAACACAGGATGCAGCCAGTAATATAAACAACGGGATTATGGCTGATTGGGGTCTTTGATGAGTTGATGGTACGCCGGGTTTATGTAATAGCCTTGGTCATCTGCTGATACAACACACAGGGAACATATATGTTTGTTTCGAGCTTTATGACGGCGGTCTGAAAATAATCGAGTCTGGACCAGACAATCCAGTGATTGACATCATAAGCATCGATCTATGCAATAAGATTGTTGTTGGTTGATTTGTTGTTTAATGCCGCACTCAGCGGTATTCCAGCTATATGACGGCGGTCTGTAAATAATCGAGAGTCTGGACCAGACAATCCAGTGATTAATATCACGAGCATCGATTCACGCAATTGGGATCGACGACAAGCATCAACCAAGTCAGCGAGCCTCTACCACCCGACCCCGTTAGTCGCCTCTTACGACAAGCATAGTCGCCTTGTACGGCCCAGCATGGGTTGCTGAAGACCTATTCTACCGTGGATCTTCACGGGCTCTATACAATAAGGATGTGATGCCATGCATCAACCAAGTCAGCGAGCCTGACCACCCGATCCCGTTAGTCGCCTCTTGCGACAAGCATAGTCGTCTCTTGGGTTGCTGGGAACATATATGATTGGGTACATTAAAAGCGTGCATTAAAATTTTAGAACAGTAATATCAATGTCGAGAACAAAACTTGCTTACAGACAAACGTAAACCTGGCTATCTTTTACGCTTGATAACAATCGGTACAGATTAACAAGTCAAAGCTTGGCATCACAATGGACCACCTTGTACACCATGACGCAGCCCGTAACCACACCTTAAATTTCCTTTCACAACCTGTTGTTAACGAACGGGAATGTGTAGATGTGTAATCTCGGTAATCTATTTATACAAAACATGGTGAGGTTATATTTCCTTGTAAGGAATATGCACTGGTTGACTAGTTAGACAAGCTGCTGTGAGGAAGTGGGTTGGGTATAGACCTTAAAAGGTGGAATGACTTTCATGGAGGAGGTTGTATAGATTCATTTTTGGTTTAATGTGCTGTTTATGTGCTTTATGGGATGGTCGTTGAAATTAATCTACAGCACGTTTGGAACCATGATTAGTCAACACGTCATTGTTTTCCTGATCCTGGTGCTGGTATGGTGTCCGCAAGGTGAGATACACGTGTCTATCACACACACACGCACACGCACACGCACACGCACACGCACACACTCACACACTCACATACACACGGTGGTGGGTGGGGGCACGGGTGGCCCAGTCGTCTAAGGCGCCGCGATTCGCTGTGCAGAACTACGTCCCTTGGGTACGCCAGAAACCTATGATTGTGGGTTCGAATCCCGGCCCCGATTATGGTTCTCGGTTAATCAGTACACTACCCGTGCTCATAGGTTTCACGGAAGTGGTAAACGTCTGCGACCTACATCACCTCGGGTTTTTCGCCCACATTGGGCTGACACGCCGTGATATAACTGTCATACTGTTAAAAGCGGTGTTAAACACAACTCACTCACACACTCACACGCACACAAACACACACGCGCATACACGCACACACACACAAACTCACTCACTCACGCACACATACACACACTCACTGAATAAACATACGGTGCGCAACTTGCATTGTGTCTTGGACATTTGTTGTCAAAGGAAATTCTTTTGGTTATTAATTTATGTTTCTGCCGATATTCATATTCACCTAAACCTCAGGTATATACAGATGTGGACACATTTTAAGGATAATACCTTCTTTATTGTACTGTAAAAGTAACGTTCCTCATATATATACATATCTTTATACCGTTGTCAAGCTGAAATAAATTGTGTCTACTTTTCCATCCATCAACTTCTGAGAAATTCCTGTCAAACAACTCATACACAGTATATATGTTACAGTATCTGGTGAAGATGCGTGTCCCTGTGTGACTGGCTCCAACTGCCCCGAGAATTGTACCTTAGGTAAAGTCAGTTGTGTGAAATATTTGTGTGTGACTATCAGACCTTTGTGCGTGACTGTATCGGACTCTCGTAGTGGAAAATCGAGAGCGAACAGTGTTAGTAGTGACGTGACAAGCCAGTGACGTCACATTCAATAACAAGCCGTCAGAAGATATGTATTCGACGGCTAGCCGATTTTGTATAAAAAGACGACAACTGGCGAATAAGATAAGAAATTTGTTTAACATGTAATGATGAATCATATTCCATGCCAGATATGCATCATTCAAAAACCTTTCACATATAAGGTCTTAATTCAGAAGCCTACGATATCCATGTGCCTCAATTATGACAGCTATTGATAATTTATTGCTATAGATAACATTGACATATTAACCTGAAATATTTTTATGAGTATAGTTTATATTATAAAGATAAGCTAGTTACACTACTTTCTAAACAAAAGTTGTTTGACACGGATATTTGAAATCTATGCAAAGCTCTACTGCATGATTCCGATTATAGAATGAATGCTTTATGTACCAATGCATATTGTGATGGTAAGTAATATTCCTATGAGCACGGTTCCAGTTGTAGAACATTAACCAAATGATAGTAAGAAATAAATGTATGCGCATTGAACGTTCATTTTGTTATGTATAGCCTCGAAAACCTACACTACTCAAAACGGCAAACACATTTCTTATCAAAACGATGATGCCAGTGATAAATAAGTTAAATTGCAAAATGGATGCCAGCGCGCAAGTCGCCATTGACGTTGTAACACACAGTATTAAAATGATGTATCCAAAATATTTAAAACATGCACTATGCACTATACACTATGCAAAATGTAATATGCAATTTACAACAATGGTTGCCATAAGATGTAGGTGACTCTGATTAAGCTAGCCACATCCTCAGAAGGAGCATAACGAATAAAGAACCAAAATCACATTCAAATAGTCAAAATACGCATGTATACAATTTGGATTGTGTTATTGTAATCGTTAATGAGTACTTTGCGATATACAGAGGTCATATTTGGTTCATTCTGACTTCCCTTCATGCGTGTGAAGCCCATTTCTGGTGTCCCCCGCCGTGATATTGCTGGAATATTGCTAAAAGCGGCGTAAAGCCACACTCACCCACCCCATTCATGCATTCTATAACCCAGTCAATTAGGCACCGATACAGGTACGTAACTAGAGCTGTAATGGATGTGTTTTGATGTGTTGCCATACTTCTATATCAACGAAATTGCATAAAATACACAACGTTACGTATACAGTCTAACGACGGGATCATTAGCTGAACTATTCAATTTACACTCATTATGTTAGTACTCTTTTCTACTTTATTACACAGCGAAAACATTAAACTAACATTTTGATATCAGAGTACTTTTCGTTGAAACTTGAGATGTTTTCTGTTTTAGGTTTAGTGCAATGGCTGACGTCCCTTTTGACTGTAGACGAGGATCTAACAGTAACAGAGGTTAACGCTGAAAGATGATACAACTTGTGACATACTTAATATACAACCAATCATGATAACGTTCATTATTACAGTGAATATAGCCCCACAAGCAACGAGTAACTTTACATCTGGGGACAACAGTAACTACACCATCACCGGCCAGGCAGCCTGGGTTACTGACGGTGTGACGTCAGGGCCGTGTGCATCAGTCTCGTCCATATATCCCGCATGGAAGGCTGAGTTTGGACAGAACAGGACAGTCAGCGGGATCAAGATATTCTGGGAAGGTACAGTAACAATACCAGTGATGAAAGGGACGCAAATTATCGAAAGGACATCAGCATGAGGGCAAGGGTTGTCAGATAGTGACATATTGATATGGCATTAATATTGATGGGTTGTACTTGATATGAATCATATAGTTAATAGAGCAAACTGTATTATTGTTAACAGTAATAGTATATTCACCTGAACAGTATTTATTGCATGCACTTTTGTTCACGATCTTCAAAATATATTCCAGGTCAAAAAGATGACATAACTGTGACTGTAGATGGCAAAATATGTCACGCCCAGGACTCCAACTACACATGGATGTCAGAATACACCCTGGTCTGTGGTGCACCAGTGACGGGAAGCAACCTCCTGATGTATCGCCAACCTACAGTAGGGATGCTGAATCTGAGTCTCTGTGAGGTGGAAATATATGGTAATTGTAATTACATGTAATTAATAATACTAAGAAGAAGAAGAAGGAGAAAAAGAAGAAGAATATTCAGTGAAAGGTTATATACATCCTACGCATACGATGTTTTCGTTGATGATCCCTCACTCACCTCAGGGATACTGAAGCTGAGTTTCTGTGAGGTGGAAATATATGACAATATTGTAATTATATGAAAATAAACGTATTTATTGATACTGATGTTTTTATCATATTATGAATTAATATTATCACGTTTCTCATGTACCACCGTTTGTGTTTTTTTCTGAGAATAAACTGAACTTGAACTTGTTAGAAACTAGAATTAGGCCTAAAGCTACATACATGTACACATGCTAACAAAAATAAAAGCGACAAAACCCTTTCCATGTTTGTTCGATTGTACGAATCTGACTAGCAATAGCATGTGTTTGAGAGACATGAATCAGTTCACCTTGATTTAGCTGTAACTTACCTGACTACGGGGACCATTCACTAACGAAATCATAACCTCCCTATGAGGGGACATTATATGAAGGTCATCTGAAATACTGTTACGCCCAAGCTACATACAAGTATAAACGATCCATTTCCGTTTTTCAGCTTTGTCGGAAGTAACATCCTCTTCTATGTCTACCGCTACAACTACTCCCACACCAACAACATTGTCTACAACATTAGTGCCTACCCCATCGGTTGAATCATCGACAGAAAGTACAGTAACAACGACCACACCCATAACAAGCTTCGTCTCCCCTACCGCTACACCTATTCCAGCATCAGCATCAACGACGCCACATGATGGCCCCACTCCTTCATCCGATGAAAATACAGGTACATAAAGTGACATGTTTTTTAAGAGGGTCAAGACTGATAGACAATGCCTGAGTGAATAATTCGTGCAGGTTGTACATATTTGCATAGTAAGCATAAACGGAAACTGTTATGAATATAAATTTGACATTACACTTTTAAAAAAAGCAGCGATTGAGAAAGAATCTCTTTGATCATGACATTTCACCTGTAGAATTATGAAATATGTACGTGTTATGATGTGAGATAATGAATTTCTATTATTTATTTCAACTGGTAAATGGTCACATAATAACAAACGTAGCGAAACAATGAACTAATTGACATTATCTATTCGTTCATCTTTTGATGTGTAATGGTAGAACAAATATACACTCAGCCCCATAAAAACTACTTGTGCATGTCCTTTGAAATGACCTTTGCGCAGACTTCCAATGTACATCAGATAATATAATACCTGTGAAGATCCGGGGTAGATTAGGTCTTCAGCAACCCATGCTTGCAGTAAAAGGCGACTATGCTTGTCATAAGAGGCGATTAACGGGATCGGGTGGTCTGGCTCGCTGACTTGGTTGATGCATGTCATCGTATCCCAATTGCGTGGATCGATGCTCATGATGTCAATCACTGGACTGTCTGGTCCAGTCTCGATTATTTACAGACCGCCGTCATATAGCTTGAATATTGCTGAGTGCGGCGTTAAACAACAGACAAACAAACATTAGATAAAGTAAAAATGTTTGTTTAACTGAGCCCGTCTTGTGAAATGCATGCACATAATGTATTAATTCCATTTCATGATTTCAAATAATCTCTGAGAACATAGAAATTGTAATTCTAAATGTCCGTCTTTCTGTTTACTTAAACGTTTCTTCCTTACAATTTTAGCATATATCTTTCTTTTGTTCGGGTTATTGATTTTGTAAAAAGTTTCACGACAAAATATTAGCGGCAAAACCCTTTCCATATTCATAAGAAATCCCTGCCAAAAGCAGAACCGATTGTACGATTCCGACGATATCATGAGCATGTGTTCATGAATCACTATCAAATAGTGATGATAAAGCATGTTTGTCATGTTTTGACATTATATGAAGGGGTTGGTGTTTAACGCAGCTGTGAATATGGTTAAAGATGTATCTACGTATAATGTGAGAGGCAAACCATAATTATACGTTTGTTCAGTTCTGTATCTTCAGTAAAAATTATATTAATTGGAATCATTAATCCGAGGCTTAACGCTTTCATTCTTGTGAAACTACTACTAGTATATAATAGTTGGTATTTGGCCACGACGCTCTCTAGGACCAAGATGTTTCTATTCAGATGAATTGGTCACATCAGAAATAGTGTTTCGTCCAAGCTACAAATATGTGTAGACGATACATTCAGCTTTCCTGTAAGTAACATGTTCTTCTATGTCTACCTCTACATCTACTCCCACACCAGCAACATCCACGACATTACCTACAACCTCAGTGACTACCCCATCGATAGCATCCTCGACAGTGATTACAGAAACAACGACCACACACACAACAAGCCTCGTCTCCCCTACCGTTACACCTATTTCAGCATCATCATCAAAGACGCCACGTGCTGAACCCACGCCTCCATCCGGTGCAAGTACAGGTCAGTGACAAGTTTTTTAAGAGGCTCAAAACTGATAGACAATGACTGAGGGAATAATGCTCCAAGGTTGTAAATATTTGCACCCTAAGCATAAACGGAAACTGTAGTGATTATAAATTTGCACTTGTCAAAAAAGCAGTGATTGAGAAAGAATCACTTTGATCAGGACATTTCCCCTGTAAAATTATGAAATAGTTACTTGTTTTGATGTGAGATAATCGATTTCTTGCAACTGGTAAATGGCCACATAATAACAAACGTAGCGAAACAATGAACTAATTGATCATGAAATTATATATTTGTTCATCTTTTGATGTGAAATCGTAGAACAAATATACACTCAGCCCTATAAAAACTATTTGTGCATGTCCATTGAAATGGCCTTTGCGCAGGCGTCAATTAGATAAAATAACAATGTTTGTTAAACTGAGCCCCTGTCTTATGAAATGCATACACATAATGTATTTCCATTTCAAGATTTCAAAATAATCTCTCAGAACTAGAAATTGTTATTCTAAATGTCTGTCTTTCTGTTTATTTTAACGCTTCTTCCTCACAATTTTAGCATATATCTTTCTTTAGTTATTGATTTTGAAAAAAACGTGTTACTACAAAATGTAAGCGGCAAAACTTTCGATATTCATAAGAAATCCCTGCCAAAAGCAGAACCGATTGTACGATTCCGACGATATCATGAGCATGTGTTCATGAATCACTATCAAATAGCGATGATAACCCATGTTTGTCACTAAAATGATCATATGTGTGCATGTTAGATATGAACTTGAATAACAATACATGCATACGTTTCACTTTTACACCTTGTTGGAACCTGTTACGGCGGAAGATAAAGACTGATTCTTCTCTGACGTTGTCGTTTTGAAGTTGTATTGTCCTGCATTGTCGGTATTATCACACATGCGATGTAATACTTAACGTTCTGGTTACATCAGGTTTATATAAACTTGCTTAGAATCTTATATCTAATGACAAAATATTTCAAAAAGCAAATGTAAACAGATATACACTTTGAGTTGTTGAGTATGAGATATAAAGCGTTTTTCCAATATGTAACCACTTATAAATCACATTACACTGTGTTGAGTGTCCTCCATTTCCTTACGTCCCTTCAACCAATGTGAAGCTTGTCATATACCGACGCCCATTTATTTCAAATTTCCAGGGACGACGATAGGTGCAATAGTGGGAGTGGTCGTGCTGCTGATGATAATCATAGTACTGGCAGTTGTTTGCAGGTAAACCTCTACATGTCTACTTTGTACACGTTCATTGATATTCTCCTCACATGTCCATTTTAAATGTAATCGGCGGACACTATATTTATCAGTTTACTTCCGCCACAGGGAAATACAGGGCCTTAGAGGACTAGGTCCCCACCCCACCCCACCCCTAACACACACACTCACTCACTCACTCACTCATTCACTCACTCACTCACTCACCCACCCAAACTCACTCACTCACTCACACACATTTACACATTTTGACAGATTTTGATCTAGTCTGTCTGAACAGTTATTCAATGTCTTGTTGCATGTTTATATGAGTGTGTGTGTGTGTGTAATTATAGATGACTTATTTATAGATTCATTCTACTTTTGCAGAAAAAGGATTAAGGAAAAATACAACCCCTTGGATGCAGAGGCAAAAGGTGAGTGAGTGAGTGAGTGAGTGAGGGAGGGTCGGTTGGTGAGTGAGTGAGTGAGTGAGTGAGTGAGTGAGTGAGTGAGTGGTAGGCGAGGGAGGGTGGGTGGGTGGGTGAGTGAGTGAATGAATGAGTGAGTGAGTGCTCATCAACGACGAACTCTTATGTTTAGAAAATAAATAACTTTTCAATGCTCTACTCATGTTTACAGATATGATAAATATATGACATATATTATATACATAATGATACGTTTCGTTTGTACATTGTATGAGGTTTTGATAATCGCGGTATATAAACATGTTTTTTTCAGAGGCCGGCAAGAATCAAGCAATTGTGATCGACGAAGTCGACCAACCGAATTCCACTGTATTTGATCTTAATGAGTACCGAAGTGTGGAGCTTCCTGCTGACCCGGAAGCAGAACTTGCGTCTATCACTGGAACCTCCAAGAGTCATATCCCAAGTGCTGTTAGTGTGACGGATCTCCCAAACTACATCAGTGAGAGGCTAGATTCCATAATCAGTACAGAGTACTCGGCAAGTACCCCACTTGTTACATCACGGTTAGGACATATAGACCGCCGTCATATGCTTGCAATATTGCAGAGTGCGGCGTTAAACAACAAACAATGAATAAGGACATAGAGATTAATCGTATAAATCGTTAGTCTGTAATTATCTGTATGACATTAACAGGACCGGTGAAGTTTATTTAACGCCGTTTTGAACAATATATCAGTTATATCACGAACTGTCATCGAGTTGACGGGGAAGGGACTGAGGTGATGAAGGTCTTAGATTTTAAACTCTTTGGTGAGACCCATGAGCACGGTAATGACGCTGACAAAATCTCATAATCACGGCGAGTCTGTGATTCAAACTCACGATCATCAGTTTCTGGCATGTCTGTGTGACCAAGCCTAACAAGGCGAATGTACCAATGTTTGGCTTAAATATTAAGACATATTTAACTTATTGATAAATGAAATAATTTTCTGCACTCAAAGTCATTATTGTGATTAGACTGAATGTACATATATTACAAACTGCTTTAAAGACATATCAGTGGAAGCAGAGGAAGGATATCATAAGCAACAGCAAAATGTAAGAAAACTGCTATATATTTGATTCTTTTAAAATACGGGGTTTCAGATCTGACTACTGCTCATTTTCAGATGATGCCGGCCGGTCTAAGAAACACTCATACCTATGTGACGGCAACAACGGAGGGGAACCTGCACAAGAACCGTTACAAGAACCTTTTTGCATGTAACATATAATTTTACATAAGTTCTCAAGAAAAGCATGATGATCTCTTATATCCAGTTTGAATATATTACAATATCTTTACTATGAAGAAATGATACATATATAATCCACTGTGAGACACAATCGTGGCATTAATTCACTTACTCCCTTGCATGTGTTTGGGTGCCACCGGTCGGGTAGGATAGGCCCATCTTTCCGCAAACAGCTGGTATAATCTCTGTTAGATATCTATTCATAAAAAAATCTCCACGATAAAGTCGGAATTGCACAATGTACTCTGGGTTCAGAGATTTCATAAGATTAAAGAAAGAGTTTTCTTGCTTGTATTGTCATAGTATACTGAACAACAAAAAATCCTGTGACATTGAATAAGATTTAATGCAAAGTTATGTTTTATACCAAATGTGAAACAATTTCGGTTTGCAACAGATAAAAGACTCCTGTAAGTGTTCAAATGGTTTTATTTACCATACTGACTTCAGAAAATGCGTGATTTCATAAAAAAAAACATGGACATGCCAAAATGTCAATTTACAAATCAATAGAGTGTGTGTCCACCTCTGTTTGCGATGCAAGCAACACATCTTCATCGCATAGAATGGACCAGCCGTCGCACAAAGTCCTGTGGGATATCTTTCTTTATCATATAATGGGTAGGTTTCTCGGCAGGATATCGTTTTTATCCGTTGGGGTCATATGCGGATAAAGATGCAAATATCAAAGGTCAAGTAGGGAGTACTTTCACTGTTTATAAATCAACATGGCGTCGCCCTCGTCATTCGGCGATCGAGTCAGAATTAACCATCGGGAGTGTGGAGAAACTACAGCGATAATTGTTATCATTATGAAAAAGAGTCTAATGTACTGAAAATCAGTGTCTAACTGTGAAGTAGCTAAGGCATTTTACAAGTTTTGGCAACTTTGGAGATATAATTTGCGAAACAATTTAGCGAGGGCACTAGCCAAGCGGGATCACTTTGCATATCTGTTCATTTAGACCTCTGCGGCTTGGAACCTTTTCCACAAATTGAAACAGTTGGGTTTGGCCGAAATATGTTCGAATTTGTATCTTGTTCGTTTTGTCGCTGTGTGTATATTTGACTGCACTTCTAACGTTATGACAAAACAGGCCGACTGTCAACAACGTCTGACCGTAGCCGTGACGTCTCAGAGACTAGGGTTAGAGTAGCTTCCCTTTGACAAAGGGCAGTTACTCTAGCGGACAGACTGATGGATTGCCGCGAAAGGCAATTAAAAACAATTGTTGTTTTGCGTATATGTTGCTTCGCCACTGTATAAGAAACAGATTCCAGTTGGAACTTTATTGGCTACTGTCACTGCCCGTCTGACACATCACTTACCCTGTGACGTAATAAATATTAATGCGCGCATTCCAGGAAAACTCGCAATGTTTCGCTAATGTTTGTGAGAGAGGGAAAGCGATTTTGAAGCACAGAATTAAAGAAAGACATTAAACGATAAAGAGGTTATCACGCTTGTGTGTTTGGGGATGGTAAATATCCTGTATTAGGAATAAACACTATGTATTTAGCTCGCCAAGGCTCGCTAAATACAATGTTTATTCCTAATGCAGGATATTTACCATCCCCAAACACACTCGCGTGATAACCTCTATATATCTGCTGGAGCATGTTTCGAAGTTCCTGGAGTTTCTGTTGAACACGTGGTTGACGTCGAAGGCGCCGATCCATCTCATCCCACATGTGCTCGATTGGTGAGAGATCAAGGGAGCGAGCTGGCCAGGGGATGACATTCACATTGTTTTGTTGAAGAGAATCCTGAACAAGTCGAGCAATATGAGGCCGGGCCATGACGACACAAAAACGGTAGAACAACAGGGCCGATGATGTCGTCGCGGTAGCGCTGTGCATCGAGATTTCCCTATACCACTATCAAACGGGTCCTCTGTCTTGCTGTAATCCCACCCCATACCATAACGCTGCCGCCCCCGAAAAGATCTTCTTTCATGACATAATGATTGACGTAACGTTCACCTCGACGTCGCACTAATTGTAATAAAGAAGTTGTTCATCCATAGAACTTGTCTTACTTCATCACACCAACTTCCAAATGCCACTCAAAGAAGACAAACTTTACTTGTTTGAAAAATACACTAAAATATTGGTGTCACAGGAACTTTTGTTTTTGAGTATATTACTTTGGTCTCTTCATTCGTTAGACTTAGTACAATAAATATGAATGTATTGATGCATGAACATGTTATAAATTCTGTGCTTTCAAATACATCATCTTTGTCATGTACTGACAACAGATGACGATTCACTGGTGCCTCTGCAGAAGGAAGGTAGAGCAGATTACATCAACGCATCCTACATACACGTAGGTAGAGAGGGGCGATAAGTTAACGATCTTACAGATATAAACCTATGGATGTAAATATCAAAGAATTCATTCAGGATTAAAACACGTTGATGCGTATGGTACGTATGTTTTGTTACGAACCAACCCCAGTGTCAGTTTCGTTCGTGAACTTGACAGATAAACATTTTTGTTCTTTCAGGGTTTTAAAAGTCCGCTGAAATTTATAGCTACGCAAGGTAGGTTTTTCTTGTGTTTTACTTGTCCTGCATATTGCCTGCAGTAAGGAGTGACAGAAACCTATGATCGTTCATTCGATTTGCAGATTCTCCCTGAGTGTTATCCTTGTTGCATTAGCTCTTGCCCGGGCTTCTTGATTTTAAGAAAGTGACTATACGTTATATGAAGCATTGTCCTCAATTTTGGTGACCCAAATTCATCGCATTGGACAAACATTAGATTTTCTCATGGGAATTTATAAACATTTTAACAAGTTGTGGTTCCTACAAATTATCTACAGGTCCTATGAATTCGACAGTCGTCGATTTCTGGCGCATGGTCTGGCAGGAAGGATCCCGTGAGATCGTCATGCTCACCAATCTCTTGGAACAAGGCGTGGTGCGTGTATAAAATACTCTCAATGTTTGAATGCTATTCTTTCGAGGTAAAGGCAATAAACAATACACATTTTGCATTCGTCACGTGGAAAAGATTATCAGACATAAAGTGTAAATCTAAAAAGTACAACTGTCAATGGCAAATTAGCAATTCTGATCTAGTTTCATTTAGTGCACGCTGATTTAATATGTTGTATTAAACACTCCATAGTTACACATTATGCAATGGCATCTCTTCTGAATGGAGTGTGACTATGTTTTCAGCACAAGTGCCAATTGTATTGGCTAGCAAAAGGACAACGCGGGAGTTATGGCAACATCAACGTGACACAGGAGAAGGCTATAGAACTGGCTCACTACACAGTCCGTATCTTCTCGTTGCACCACCGTAAGGTATGTGTGATAGTCGGAAGTTCGCTGTACCAATGTTCAGAACTCCCGTTCCGAGGAGAGTCTAATATCACAATAGGACAAAGTGACTTGGAACCCCAGTCTCACAGATCATGTACGTATATTGTCGTTATGTTGGTCCGAGATGTTTACCATTTTGGTCAAATCCATGAACGCCATTCAGAGCGAACCTGGGATTCGAACCCTCGATTATCGGTTTCTGGCAAGAAAACTGGACGTAACTCGTTCAACGCGGTGTATGTAAATTAATCATTCAGCTGTTCATATTTTTAAAAAAATCAATGAGTATTAGTGATGTTCATTACACGCTTATTGAGCCACGGATTGGATTACCTCTCCCACTGCCCTGTGAAGATCCGGGGTAGCATAGGTCTTCAGCAATCCATGCTTGCTGTAAAAGGCGACTATGCTTGTCGTAAGAGGCGACTAACGGGATCAGGTGGTAAAGGCTCGCTGACTTGATTGATGCATATCATCGTATCCCAATTGCGTGGATAGATGTTCATGATGTCAATCACTGGATTGACTGGTCCAGACTCGATTGTCTTTATTCTGCTGCATAACCAAAACTTACTCACTCACATGTTTTCAGGACGACACTCGACGTGAGGTGACCCAGTACCACTTCACCTCGTGGCCAGACCATGGAGTTCCTACAGCGCCCTCTCTCGTCAGTTTCTGGAGACACGTCAAGACACGCAGTCATCCAAATGACGGACAAGCTGGACCAATAATTGTACACTGCAGGTACGATTGTATCGCATTTGTTATTCAGTGTTTTTCATAATTATCAAAATGAGGCTTAGACAAAAATGTATTTCCTATATATATTAAAGATTGAAGTTACGCGACGTTAGTAGTTTGTTAGTTACAATACTGGAGTTAGTTATTGTTGACCAGAATTGAATTTGATCAGATTTGATCATACATGACAGTAATTCATTCGAACATTCGTCGAACCGGGAATATATAAATACGATGATCATCGACCTATAGGAAAATTAGTAATTGCAGGTAAGTGCTCCATTCTGATAAGTGATACCAACTGAATAGAAAAGCAGCTGAAGAGGAAACAGAATCTTTAGATTGGACCGTTAAGTATTTAGCCAACCATTGAGTAACAGATGGTCTCCACCAGTGGAAGACGACTACTAGAACTCAAAGATCTATTTCTTTGTCCACTAGTGCTGGAGTCGGTCGGACAGGGACCTACATCGGTCTTGACATTCTGATGAATGAGGCGCTAGTGGAGGAGAAACTGAACTTCTTCATGACTGTCCTCAACATGAGGGAACATAGGCTGAACATGGTCCAGACACAGGTGTGGTAGATACGACTTGTCATTTCCAGATATCAACTGCTCCCTCGGGATGCAAAATCATGAACATAAACCATAGATTCTTTATTATGTGCAATGTATTGTGAATGTCTGTCGGCCTTTGTTCCAGGGACAGTATAAATTCCTCCACTGGGCTGTTCTTGAGGCACTCCTCTGCAGGAATACGCCGGTGATGGCCAGTGAACTGCCATCTATGTTGGATCCAGACAACAATGAAATTCAGGAAGAATACAAGGTGATAATGGGTCAATGTCGGGATAAAGGTTCACGTAAAACATTGTTCCGTCACACAGAATTAATCGTAATGCAATGTTGAGAAACAGGTTTAACGTCTGAGATAATATTAAGGGAAGAACATGATCAGAAATATAACAACATTACACTCAAACACCTAAGCTTAACAAATACTTGAATTTGTCCTAAATGGGAATATTGGATTTTGTTCTAGAATTTGGAAGTGATGATGTCTCTCCAGGGAGACCAGAAGGCTGATGGAAAGCCAGATCTCACACAAACAGATGGTACAACAAATTATGCTCCTAAATTCAAAAGCTGTTCACAAACACTTTTGTAGTTAACGTATATATCAACGTCTAAAATGTTTGCTCATATAAATCCAAAATAGCTGTTGACAGAATGGAAATGTACTGATGTAGAAATTGAACCTACACGTGTAAAGGGTAGTTACAGAGTTACAAAAAATACATTGTTTTCCTTTCGTTTTTATTCCCTTTCGTTTTCATTTATGTCCATTTACCTTGCATGGTTTGCGAAATTATTATGCATATATTTCTGTGTAGGTGATGACCTATTCAATCCGAATACAACATCTCTGCCGGTATGTACAGAAAGAAACTATTTTTTCATCTCGGATTTTGGTTCTTAATATTATGTAAAGTAAATACACGGCGAAATCAATCAAATGATTCCAATTGCATGAACGTATAATTTCTATTTTGCTTTTAACCCCAGTCGTATCACAACAAGAAGGGTTTCCTCCATATAGGACTAGTTAAGGAACCTTCTCCCGAAGAACTCTGGCGCGTGATATGCAGGAACAATACTGTTACCATCATCACCATCAACCAGGTATGTCAATCTCAAAGCAAATCATTAGAAACGAAATCCTTGGATACCTCATTGCCTATTACTATCCAGTTGTGCATCTGAGACATCTGGGAAAACTGAAATAGTACCAATGTGTTTCTTGTCTAGTTTCAAACCTGATTCAAATAATGTTTTATAGCTCTATTAATATTATATTTTCATCGGGCTATTTTGTAGTGTGTCTCGGCCCAATGAACATTTATGAGTTAATCTCCCTGTAACTGTTATTATATCTGTCCGTCAAGACATCCTCTGATGCCACGCCAAAGGATGTAGGAACATCGTTGACATTAGGAGAGTTTCAAGTGACCTTGACCTCTGCCGAAGACGTTTCTAAAGGTGTGACTGAGAAGAAGCTGACGGTCAAATCAGAGACAATGCAGCCATTTGGGGTATGTCAAATTCATCAAAATGATTCTGACTGTGAGATGATTGGCTGTCGTATTGTGATGTTGTTATTTAGTCATTTCAAATTATTTCAGAGACAATGCAGCCATTTGTCGTTTAACAACTGCATTAAAACGAGATATGAGATATGATTGGCTGCCTTTTGTCATTTTTGTTTTAAGCCATTTCAAACCTGAAAAATTAGGTTCAATGATATATGAAATGCTTGGTTTATGTGTAAATTTTGGTCGATATATTACAGGACAGTGGATCGGGTGTGACGTCTATCACCATGTACAATCTCAACTCCCCATCTACAGAACGTTACTTCGACAAGGCCCAACTGTTGGTTCTCATAGAGCTTCTGACTGAACGTCAACATATCCTTGGGCGCCATCCGGTTATCCTTCAGTGTCGGTAGGTCATAGTTATCCTGTTAGTGTCAGTAGGGCTTGTACTTCAGTCACCCTTTTATACTTCAGTGTCGGTAGATATCAGTTCTTCAGTAACCCTGTTATACTGCAGTGTCGGTAGATATCAGTTCTTCAGTCACCCTGTTATACTGCAGTGTCGGTAGATATCAGTTCTTCAGTCACCCTGTTATACTGCAGTGTCGGTAGGTCATAGTTATCCTGTTAGTGTCAGTAGGTCTTGTACTTCAGTCACCCTGTTATACTGCAGTGTCGGGAGATATCAGTTCTTCAGTCACCCTGTTATACTGCAGTGTCGGTAGATATCAGTTCTTCAGTCACCCTGTTATACTGCAGTTACGGTAGGTCATAGTTATCCTGTTAGTGTCAGTAGGTCTTGTACTTCAGTCACCCTGCTATACTGCAGTGTCGGTAGATATCAGTACTTCAGTCACCCTGTTATACTGCAGTGTCGGTAGATAAAAGTTCTTCAGTCACCCTGTTATACTGCAGTGTCGGTAGTTATCAGTTCTTCAGTCACCCTGTTATAGTGCAGTGTCGGTAGATATCAGTTCTTCAGTCACCCTGTTATACTGCAGTGTCGGTAGATATCAGTTCTTCAGTCACCCGGTTATCCTTCAGTGTCGGTAGGTCATAGTTATCCTGTTTGTGTCAGTAGGTCTTGTACTTTAGTCACCCTGCTATACTGCAGTGTCGGTAGGGTGTTGTGCCTCAGTCACCATCTTATCCTCCATTGTCCGTACCCCTTAGTCCTTCAGTCCAGACCATGCTCCAGTGCCGGCATGTGAAAGTGGCTCGGTCACTCAGTTATACCCCAGTGTCAGTGTACACCTGTACCTGTAACACATGCAGTCACTACGTTGAAACCTTCAGAGTATATTCTAATTTCATTAAACGAACATGTAATTGATAATATAGTAAGAATGTGAAATGGATTTTGGGTGTTTTTCCGTTTGTCTGCAATTTCCAACTAATCTGTCTCAACAAACGAAACGTAAGTTCAGGAAACAGGGAGCCCGTCGTAAACTTTTTCAAAATTCACAATGGTGACATTCTCAAAGACATAAACAAAATTAAAAACTGTCACTTTATTTGTGGTTAAAGGACAAATTTCAAGATTCCTGTAACGACTGTTTCCACTCTGGTGGCAATAATGTTACCAGGGTTGTAACCAGAAGTGTCACGCTCTAAGAAGGAGCTTAGAATAGTTGCTAATAATCAACTTTTACCCGACGAGTATGTCAAACACTTAGTAAGACAAACCTGATGATACCAATGGCCTTCTTGTCATCTGAAAGGTAGGAGACACTTTACACATATTTTTCGGTTACGTGTCGTTGATATCGAATGCATTGTTTCAACACCAGAGAAGATCCGAGGAAGTGCAGCCTGTTTGCCGCTGCAGTCAATGTTGTGAGCAGTCTGAGACTTGAAAAGGAAGTGGACATCTACTTGACTGTCCGGGAGATACAGTGTAGAAATGGGCAGCCCGTTGCCTCGCTGGTAAGCACAATTTTCCTGTTTTGTTAACATCTTTGTATGATAGAGCTGTTTGGCGACGCTTTTTGAACAATATTTTAGTTATACCACGGTGTTTCAGGACCAAGACGTCACACCTAGACAACTTCCACGTCAGTGAAAATAAAAGCCAAAAAAATCCATTTTAATAATCATAAGAAATCTTTGCTAATAGCAGAATAAGTTGTACGATTCAGAGAATACGGTATGCAAGTTTATATATAATCAGCATCAATTAGTGGTGAATGTGAGCGTATCCTGCCAAACTGGTGGCACCCGTCACACACCCATGCAACAGCAAGACAAGAACGGATGTCATGCTGACAAATTTTAAAAATATAATCACGGCGAACTGGTTTATCATAAATGTGGAACGTGATTGGAAAAAAACTCTCTTCTTTGTTACACAGGAGGACTACAGATACCTGTACGAGTTAGCCAGTCACCAGCTGCAGTCTACAAACCCCTTCACAAACAACTAATTCTCGACGGGCACCACGAATCTTTTTATATACCACTTTATGTTCTTTCAATGTCTCAGTGTTACATATGGAATTCACTGATGAATGCGTGTTTGTCAAATGTACAGTGATATTGATGAAATGTTACGAAGAGCATCGTAACGCCGGACTCATGGAAATGCACTATATACTTTTTCTGTCTGAATATTATGACATATTGTTTGTTGCTTCAAACATTCAGTGAACTGGTTACCGTTGACTCGCCTGATACGTTCATAACTGCATAAGCATCCAATTAAACTAAATACCTTCCTTCTGGATGTTACCTAAAACAATATGTGCACATCTGATGGCACACAAGTTCAGTAGCGTGTATGGCCACCATGGGCGTTGACAACTGCCACACAACGGCTCCGCATGGACCTTGTGATGCTTATGAACACATGATTGGGAAGACGACGCCATTGTTGCTGGAAAATGGTGCCAAGATCTTTCAAATTCTGTGGTTGGTTCTGGAGAGTGCGCAGACCTCTGCCAAAAGCATCCCAGATGGGATTGAGGTCGGGAGACCTTGACGGCCAGTCCATGACGTTGACTCCCGCATTCTGAAGGAAAATCCTTGTGGTTAAAATTCCTTTATCCACACAAGATCTTTCGCCGTTCAACGGCTCTTCAGGTGTTTCTTTTTTGTGTGATCCACACTCTCAGAATGTGTCACCTAATCGCCAGCACCAAAAGTCAGTGATCTAACCCAATCAGCCACCGAGGATTGTACAGAAATGGAAGTCCGACAAATGGTAGTCTGATTCACGTACTTTGTGTACCCCTCAGACAAGTGTACTTTGGCACGGCTCCCATGGCCGAAAGCCTTGAATACGCATTGCCTTTTGAAAAGCAATTATTTTTTTATATTTTATTTAAAGATTTATTTAAATGTTTTGTGCCTCGATCAAGGATAGAGTGCTGATTGAATACTATGCATTTCTTCCTGTTTCTATTTTAGCCTTTTCAGACACCTATTTCGTCTGACAGTGCCTTGTTTCTGACCGCTTCATTGTAAACACGATATTTTACCTTCACATCTGTAGCAAATAAAGACTCTGCAGAGCTGCTTCCTTTAGTCGTGCCTGAACAGTACGTTCATCGAATCGCAAAATCGGCCTGCCTATGATTCTTGGTTTGTCAGCACCATAGCCATGCTCGTTTGGTTAAATGTGCATCACCTTGGACCTTTCTGTCATATCATGCTGGCATGCCATGACATGACTGTTATACCCATCTCACTCGCGTGCTAATGCTCTTTAACCTTCAGGGACACGAGTTGCCAGGTTGTCTAAGGCGCCGCCAATCGCTGTGCAGAGTTACGTCCCGTGGGCAAGCCAGAAACTTCGATTGTGGGGTTCGAATCCCGGTTCGCCAAGATGATGTTTCTAAGTTTGTGAGCACCATAACCGTGCTTATGGGTTTCAGTGGTAAAGTGAGACCAGCATCACTTAGGGATTTTCTCTCACACGTGATAATGTAACTAGAATATTGTGCAAAGCGTCGTTTAACCCAACTCACTCACTGAAACGCGGGAATGATAACGCCTAATATTTCCGCGAATAAACTAGACTGTGAATATTTGTGGGAAGTAACTCATACAACTGCTTATCAAAATGTTTTGAATGACATTTAGAGTCGCAATAATTTTCCTGGTGCAGTACGGCCTTGTGCATTTGACATTTTGTCGACTGTTGTATAGTTGCTTTATGTGTTGCACGTCCCAGTAAAGCCTCACCATAATGAGTTGGATTAAATGTCGCTTTGCACAATATTTTGGTTGTATCAGGACGTAATACAGGTCTGAGAGACCACGTGCCACACAACAACATATTCCAACCTGTCAATCGGTATTTGTTTTGTTTTGTTTGTTTGTTTGTTGTCTTGCAGACTATTGTAACTTAGTATTTTGTGTTTGTTGCTTTAAGCCGCAAATTATTCCAGCTATCAGATGGCAGTCTCTAAATAGTCGAATTTGGACCAGTCAACCCACTGATTGACATCATGAGCATCAACATGTGTGTTGAGGTATGCATGAAGGAAAGGAGATGCAATGCAAATATATTGAGAAACATGTTTGCATGTACGAAAAGAATGTTCAATGCAAATATATTGAGAAACATGTATGCATGTACGAAAAGAATGTACAATGCATATATATGGAGCTATGCGTGTATGAAAAGGAGATGATAACATGTTTGTTGAGATGTGCATGTATGATACGGAGATACAATGCCTGTGTGTTGAGATATGCAGTTGTTATAAACTGCGAATGCCGCTTGGACCTGAAGGCGTCAGCCAAATGTTCACATCAGCAGTAGCATCCTCAGATCTGAAAACACATATATGTTTGGTGGAATTATTGATATTGTAAATACAAAAGTAATTGTCCAGTTTCGGTAATACTATCTCTCTAAAGTAAATTGTTTGATAGGCATTACTTAGAAGTTGACTGATGACAAAGTAGAGAGAATTCATGGAAAATAATTGTTTTAATTTTTGTAAAGGCGACGTTTCGGTATAGATCCTTATACCGTTGTCAAAGAAGTTATTATCGAGAAATTGTCTCTATTTTCTCTCTAAGGTAAATGAAACAGAAATGACGTCACCGTAGAATGAAGTGCCTTCATCACACGAATTAATAATATCATAGTATCATGAGATCACTTTATCATATATTTATTGAATGTTGCATAAACATCTACCGAAATTAATCAGTGAAAAGGAATACGTTCAAATTAAATGGAAATTATACATATTTGCTTGTGCATAAACATCAACAATTTCTTGGATAGCTGATTGAAGTGACAGGTTCAGCTGTGTCATTTAAATGTAAGGCATCTAACGTGCCAGCACTATGGTACAACGGCGTTATATGGGGCGGTGGGGGCCTTGGGGTTAAGTTGTTCGCTCGTTACGCCCAAGGCCCTGATTCGATTCCCCACATGGGTGCAATACCCACTTCTGGTATCCCCAGCCGCCATATTACTGGAACCGGCGTAAGACCATACTTACTTATTCTCTCGCATCGGCAGTATATAGAGACACCATTTACGGAGATAAAGCGCATATGTCCAACCTGGATGAACGTCTTGCATAAAGAGGAATATGAAGTCACGTCACAACGAAATGCTATCCGCTTCTTTTTCCTATCATCGTCATACTGCCTTTTGTCAGTTGTCCCGTCGCGCCCTCTTCTTCTTTCACCAATATATACTGATGATTCCAACGTACACAGTAAAAAATGTTCAAATGTTAACCTCGCATTATTTGCCAGGTAACAACAGTTCCTTGTATTTTAAGTCTAAACATCCATGTACTATCCATATTTGGTAGAATGAAGCCATCCAACTGACTTAAATGTTATAAGTCCGTATTGATTTAACTAAAGGTAATATTGACACGTTGTTTGAACGAGGAAATGTTATCTCATCTGTCGTTATTTGCACGTCATGAATAATGTAGATACCAATGTGATGAGGCAAGACAGAATGGCCACCTGTATTAGACATACTTCTTAAAAGGACCGAGGACCGATCATGTTCTATGGAGGCCCTGATTGTACCCTGCTTTATTTGTCAGGCACAAGTCGAGGAATGAGAAACGTTCCTTGTCAATGAAGACATTTGACTGTGCCATATTTTCGTTGCTGTAATTTATCGTTCAGTCAGTGTGTATTTAGGATATGTCCGCAGAGACTTTATTTTTTTGCGAACCACACATTGACCTAATAAATATCTGACTTTTCGTGAACAGGACAACATTAATATGTGATGTCTGAAAAATCTGCAGTTCAAGATATCGAGGAAACTTTTACGATCATGTATATCATTTACATATAGCACTTTCATTCGTGACCGGACTGTGATGTCTTTTTGTGACAAAATACTATTCAAACAATTACAACAATGTCATATCAGCTAACAATTCCCGACCTGAATTGAACAGATACATGTATAAAACAACCACTCCATCATCGTCGACACCCACATCTACCCAGGAAGACAAGACAGGCAGTATACTTCAAACGCTCCAGTGTTAAATTCTTTAATTAATGCATTATTATTATATCTGTTCAATAATAAAAGACGGTCAACATACATGTAAGTACAAGAATAATATCACGCCTTATATATCGTGTGAATAATGAACTTCAATCGGTTTCTATAATTAATTCCGTACATACTCAAGACAGGGCATCCATTTATGTGTGGTCATATCGAATTTGCCGTTTCTCTTCAGTGTTTCTTTGTTTCGTTCAATTTCATCCCAGACATGTTCGATTGGTGACATATCAGGGGATCTTGCAGGAGACGGTATCTTATTATTTTGTGTTTGTTGTTTTACGTGGCACAATATTCTAGCTATATGGCGATGTGCCTGTAAATAATCGAGTCTGGACTAGAAACTCCAGTGATTGACATCATGAGTATCGTTCCATGCAATTGGGATACAATGACATGCATCAACCAAGTCAGCGAGCCTGACCACCCCATTCCGATCACACGACATGCATAGATGACCGGTTCTAACCCGGATCTCGGTGACACATTAACATTCCCCTGGGTCATATCTTTTACAACCTGTGGTCAGACATGATCGTGCAGGAATGGCACTCACAGGCCGTTCTGTTGCAGCATGGGTACATGTCATTTCCAGAAACTGCAAATAAATGTATTTATCACAAAACAAAGTTTTATCCTCGAACTGTATTGTGAAGAAGTACATGACGCTTTGTAACCTGCAAAGAGTGTCTTTGTGTACCATGTTAGTCAGTGTCGTGCTCTTATACTCATGAAACTGCTTCTTATGTGGATGTTATCAATTATTACAGTAGTTGCATTGGCAGCTGAGTAATGTATGGGACATATATATATATATATATATATATATAGAATACTAAACGAGCTCCCGTGTAATGCCAATTTTATGAAACGAGTGAGTAGTTGTGGTATCTGACGAGCGAAAGCGAGTCAGATACCACAACTCTTCACGAGTTAGACTTCATGCACACTCGTTCCGCCTTGTGGAACGGGGCCTTGCACCTCAAAGTTTACAATCACGTCACAATACCCGATGACGTAATTTGTGGAATTTTGTTGCAAGATCCATCGGCGAAACAATGCCATGTGACGTCAGCCTAGCAACAAGGTTGCTGGGGTCATCGACTGTGCATAAGCTCCTCTCGGTGATCTATCAACTCCACACGCAATGTCGTTGAATAAGCCAAGGGATGTTGAGAGCTTTCAATATTTGTTCGTGAAACGTGTTCCGAGAGTACATAAGCACGCGTTTTGGTATTACACAATGTGTAATACAGCTGTATGTTTATTAAACGGGTGATCTCTTCACGGGCAAGTGGTAAATATAAAAATGTAGTGATGCATTTATACAGATACCATGAATGACAACATCCGCGTCAAAAATTTCTTATCACAAGGAAAGTGATCACACTATTGATGTACACACATTTTCCTGTACATGGTCCTTTTATACAGACAATTTTCGTTAAATAAGCACAGTTAAAGTTGGCCTAGTTCGCTGCATACATTCTACACTTTGTAGTCCATCACAAGTTTATTTAGGTGACAAAATGCACTTATACTTCTTATTTCCAGATTAGATTAACAAAATTCGGAATATCCCAATTGGTATGTTCATTAAAAGCAGTCCTGACTGCGAACCATAGACTCAACTACTTGTGAATATGAGCGCTAAAACCCTTTCCATATTCATAAGAAATCTCTACCAAAAGACATGTTGATTGTACGATTCTGACTATATCATGAACATGTGTTTGTCAATCACTATCAAATAGTGATGACACCAAGTGTGTCCTGTGAAACTGTGAGCGTATCCTGTGAATAGTGAACTCATATGGTTATGTAGTACCATGCAGACAACTATGAATATTTCTGAATTAAAGAAGCGTGCAGGAACATGTTAATAAAGTAACTACCGATGCCGAAACAAAAACTAACACAGATAGCTTAAACCCTGGATACTTGTCATGTTTAATAATAGTGACAGTTCAACAAGTTAGAGCATGGTATCACAATAAACACACACATATTCTCCTTGTATACCCATGGACCACGTGACGCAACTGTCAACACCCTGTTGTATTATATTGAATGTGTGTAATCTCTGTAAGTATTTTTTTCAACAATTGTGGAAATATATTTCCGTGTTGCTTACGAGGAATATCTAATGGCAATGTGTCGAGCCATTAAGCAAATGGCTGTGAGTGATTTGGCTGGGTATAGTAGCTCCTAGTAGGCCTAGTAGGAATAGCTTCCATGGTTCTGGTTCCATGTACTCATTGCGCTGGCTTTAATGGTAAGGCCTTTGGGATGAATTGATTTCATATCATATACAGCACGTCTGGAACCATGATTACTCAACATGCCATTGTTTACCTGATTCTGATGCTGGTATGGAGGCCGCAAGGTGAGATATATGTCTTTATTCCATACATACACCTGATGCCAATCAGGAAAAATCTACATTTCAAATAAATGGATTCATAACTAAACATGCAACAAAAGAAATATTTTAATTCTGACTAAACATACATTGTGAAAGTTGACAAAACCGTTTCTGAGAATAGCATTGTCCCTTGTTATTAACCAATGTATCAGCCGGTATTCATATTCAATCAATCCGGGGCGGTCGGGTAGCCTTGTGGTTAAAGCGGTCGATCGTCACACCGAAGACCCGGGTTCGATTCCCGATATGGGTACAATGTGTGAAGCCCATTTCTGGTGTCCCCCGCCGTGATATTGCTGGAATATTGCTAAAAGCGGCGTAAAACCATACTCACTCACTCAATCAATCCTGATGTTTGTTTCAGTTTCTGGTGAAGACGCTTGTCTCTGTGTGACTGGCTCCAACTGCCCCGGGGACTGTAACCTAGGTAATGTTGATACCGATTGTTTGAGTTATGTGGATCACTAGTGGCGTGTACGGGTTCTTATAATCACGCGCTTAACGGACATGTACATCATGGGATACATGTAACGAATTTATTATTACGAGTTCAAATGTTCCAAAGAGTTACTTCTGTGAAATATTTTGTGTGTGATAATCAGAACTGTATGGAGACTCTAGAGTGGTAAGTCGCTGGCGAACAGTGTCAGTAGTGACGTGACAAGCCAGTGAAGCAGCATTTATACAGTAAGACATAAGAATATCTGTGATTAATTGATTGAGTATGGTTTTACGCAGCTTTTAGCAAAATTCCAGCAATATCACGGCGGGGGACACCAGAAATGGATTTTACACATTATACTCATGTGGGGAATCGAGCCCGGATCTTCGGCGTGACGAGTGAACGCTTTACCACTGGGCTTCACCACCGCTCAATCTGTACTGGCCGGTCAGCCGATTTTGTATTGAGTTTTACAAGACGGTGACTGGCCAATCCGAACTATGATAAATCGAGAAGCGATAATTCCTATTCCATGCCAGACATGTATCGTTCAAAAAGCTTTTTCATGGAAGGTTTCAAATCAGAAGACTACGGCATACATGTGCCTCAGTTATGACAGGCATTCTGTAGATAACATTGATATATTTACCTAATGTATGTTTTTGAAATAAATATTATTTACAAAGATACGTATTAAATATACATGAAATAATGCTTTCCCAACCATTCACGATGGTTGTTTGATACTGATACCGTTATCATATAACAACCCCAACATATATAACTCTAAACTCGTTTTTGTGTGTATACTCAGCGTCATCATTGAAGGTTCACCTAGGTATGTAGGGCCTAAAAATGAACATCTGCCATCGAGCATCAGTAGGTCCGAGTATGTGATAAGCAGTTGTAGATTAAACAGGTTGTTTATGCCTATTTCACACTTATTGGATGCTTCTATGAAACTATAAAAAATACAACGGCTATTAAAATTATGTGAAGATTGAAGGTGATGGATAAAGCTATCCAAAACACACAACTGAACGCAAAAAGTGGTTTATCCCATGTATGTGCACTACATTATTAGTATCATTCAATATGAGTAAAGAATGTTTCATTCTAGATGAGGGGGCACGGGTGGCCCAGTCGTCTAAGGCGCGGCGATTCGCTGTGCAGAGTTGCGTCCCTTGGGCACGCCAGAAACCTTCGATTGTGGGTTTGAGTCCCGGTTCTCCCCGATTATGTTTCTAGGTTTGTCAGCACCATACCCGTGCTCGTGGGTTTCACCAAAGTGGTAAAGGTCTGAGACCTGCATCATTTCGGGCTTTCCTCCCGCATTATACTGACACGCCGCGATATAACTGGAATACTGTTAAAAGCGGCGTTAAACCCAACTAACTCACTCCTTCCTGAGAGTTGAAAATGCGACGATTTAATAATATGATTATCTCTTTATCTGCGCGAAACCCTTATAGTGTTTCTGAGTGCGTATCTTCAGGTTTGTGTGTATGCACATGTCTCGACCACACTTACACGTTCGCCCTTCTCCATCTCATGAGACGTGTAAATATCATGAATAGGAAACCGATAGCATTATTGAGGACAAGGGTTTGGACAAGACATGTTTTTTTAATTCCAGATGACTTTTAAATTGCATTAATAAATATATGCGACAAAACTCTTTCCATAATCATAAGAAATATCGGCGGAAAGCAGAGTCCATTGTACAGTTCCTACTGTATCATAAGCACGTGTTTCTGATTCACCATCAAATATTTATCACACGAGGTGCTCGCCAAAGGTTCTGCGTATCCTTCCCTACAGAGACATCCGTAATAAACACATGCATAGCCGTGTGAACTGTTTACCTGACAAGGCACGGGAACATTTTGCACAAGTGAAAGTAGGAAATTGAATCGGAAATAATTTTTGTCACTGATGCGTCAAATTTGGAAATATCCTCTACGTATATGAGATGAAACAAATATATATGAACATTTATGCCAGTATAAATACTGTGTCCACAGTTACAGTTACTATTACGAGTATCATAAAGGAGATATACTATACACAAACACATTGTCAAATTTACGTATTTACTTTTCATAATTCTTTTTCAATTTCGGGAATGAATGCCATAAGTAGCAATGCAATTCGTGATGGGAAATAATTTGACCATGAACACCCGTGGCAGAGCATTGACGAAATAACAACTTGAAGGTAATGCATGATGATTGATAGTTAACTGTGTTTGAACAGAACCGATACGTTACACTTGTGAAAAAAGACAAGACCCATTTCTAAACAAAACGAATTGGCTGTAAAGAATACGTTAAATTGCGAAAATATTATTACTAATAACTTACCCAGTGTGTATATATGTGCTATGCTCGTCTTGCCGTTAAGCTGGCTCAGTGGAACGGAGTCTATCTTAGCCAACCATAGCAGAATTGTGTAATGATACATTTTGTAACGAACATCACGTCTCCGTGGCTTAATCTTAGATAGTGTGCGCATGTAAATATTGTAAAATTGTAGGGTGATTTTTTTAATAAATAATTTTACCTCTGCCAATATGAAATATTTTCTTTTTACCCGTGTATTTCCCCTCATAAATTTAATCTTGTAGACTCGAATTTATACTGTGAAGGCTTAGAACAGTCACATTAAACTGTCTATATATTGAAAACATCAGTATATGGTGTTACCCCCTCGCGCTCTTTGATGGCCTGAACCCAACGTCGTTATCGTTGTTGTGGGAACTGGTGTCAGATCCGGTACCTGCGTCCTGAACGTCATATACTGGCAGATATCGTTGCTGGAATATTAGGCACAAATTGGCTCATGACAATATGAAACATTTAATATGCAATACTAACTTCCATACTCTGCAGGGGTAGAGTCAACCACGTTCTCAGATGGAGTATAATTCATTAAGAATCAATTGGAGCAAATCGCATTTCAACTATTCTAAATGCACAAGTAGGACTGTGTTATTGTATTAATTACTAGATACGCTTGACGAAATATGTACTTTGCTCTATACAAAGGTCAAGTCCATCTTTCTTTCATTCATACTTTCTGTCATTCAACCATTCAGACACCGATGTTAGCACTTAACTGGCACTGCAATTGTTTGTGACTAGATTTGGTACCTCACTTCTACATCAACAAAATTGAATAAAATACACACTGTTCCGTGTATGCAACTACACATCCTACCACCTTGCTTAGGAATGATTAACGTGAATATTTAATTCATAGTGAAAACGCTACAATCTTTTTTTAAAATTTGTCACGCAGCTGCTAGAACATTAAACTAACATTAAATAATGGGTTACTCTGCTCTGTTTGATGTGAAGTACAATGGCTGACCCGCAACAAGTACTTGACCACAAGCCAGTCAACATGAGGGGCAACACAAGATAAAGAATATATCACAGACAAAGATACATTAATAATGCCCTTATGTCCATAGACGAAAGATAATGCTACTTGAATTAAAGCTATAAACAACTTTAAATGAAAGGAGATATTATGAGACTGTATTCAGAGTAACTCCGGTAATTCATATCTGATACACTATATCGCAATGTGATGTTTCTAACATACAACACATTATGATAATGTTTATTAATACAGTGAATATAGCCCCACAAGCAAGGAGTACCTTTACATCTAGGGACAACAGTACCTACACCATCACCGGCCAGGCAACCTGGGTTACTGATGGTGTGACGTCACGGCGGTGTTCATCAGTCTCGTCCATATCTCCGGCATGGGAGGCTGAGTTTGGACAGAACAGGACAATCAGCAGGATCAAGATATTCTGGGAAGGTACTATAACAAAACCAGTGACCAAATGTATCAAATAACGACCGACATAATTGAAAGGAGTTGAGTTGTCATGGTAGTAATGAGTTTTCACATTAATAATGATGGGTTGTATTAATATGAGTCTATCAGTCATTTAACTGGCACGTTTTGAACTGTGATATGTTGCCATCTGGAAGTGTATTCATTGCAATCTCATTGCATTCATTGCAATCTCATTGCATTCATTGCAATCTCGTTTGTTCACATTCCTCAAAACATTTTCCAGAGCAACAGGGTGATATAACTATGTCTGTAGTTGGCAGGATATGTCATTTACAGGAATTTACGCGAAAATTTACATGATAATACCTAGTTTCTTCACGTTCTTCAATACACATTTCAGGTCCACAGAATGATGTTAGTGTGACGGTAGATGGCAGAATATGTCACAGTGAGAACAGCTCCAACACATGGATGTCAGAGTACACCCTGATCTGTGAAGTACCAGTGACAGGGGACAACCTCCTGATACGTCGCCAACCTACAGGACAATCCCTGAATTTGAGTCTCTGTGAAGTGGAAATATACGGTAATTTTAATCATATGTAATTAATTAATGATAATATGTGTTATTGTTCTTAGACACCTAAAATATTCTTAAAATTAAGACAAAACTTCATGCCACCTTTTAGTCATCTCAACTGACTTGATCAGGGACCATTCCCAAACGAAATCGCCAATTCTCTTTGATTGGACGTAATATGAATGTGTTGAGGATTAACTCAACTGTGAACATTTTCAAAAATATGTAAGATTAATGTGAGAGGAAAATCATATCATTTATATATGTTTCTATTCAGATGATTAATTTGTTATATCAGACATGTTGTTATGTTCTTACATATAGACATAGACGATACATTTCAGTTGTTTTTCTTAACTGTGTCGGTAGTAACATCTTCTAACATGTCTACCGCTGCAGCTACTTCCACACCAACAACATCCACAACATTGTCTACAACATCCGTGACTACCCCATTGATAGCATCTTCGACAGTGAGTACAGTATCGGGGGCCAGCATAGATAAGAGTACAACATCCATGCCATCCACCCCAGTAATATCCACAATTATGTCCACTTCAAGAAACGTATCCACAACAACAACCCCGAAAACAACAAAGACCACACCGACAACAACGACCACGTCCATAACAACGACCCCACCCACAACAAGCATCGTCCATTCACCAATTCCAACTGAGACATCAGCGACGTCATCTGCTGAACCAACCACGCCTCCATCTTATGCAGATACAAGTAAGTGTGATACGAGTGTTGGGGGTTCTTGAGAGACAAATGACAAGTACAAAATAGCAGTGTTAATATGTCGCGCTGGCTGTAGCTATTTGCAGCCCTGGACAAAAACGTTAGCTGTATATTATGAGTTCAAGTTGGCCTTACACTTGTCAAATTTGCGGTCATGGAGAGTCATTTCAACCGTAGACTGCATTATGAATTAGTTTTGTTTTAATGTGACGTGGACGATTGCTATTATTTCTATCAAGTTGTGAACTAATAACTTAAAAAAAAACATGGAGCCATACTTCGAACTATGGTAAATCGTACACTTGTTAAGCTTTTAATGTGTTATGGTAGAGTTAATGAATACACTCAGGAACTATGAAATATATTCGCTTCAGCAAAAATTTCCAAGGCGCTGACTTCGTATGCACATATATATGAAAAAGTGAGAATGACAATGTTTGTTTCTCTGAAACCTTGTCTTGGAAGCAGCTAACACATAATTTATATCCATTGCAAGAGCTTGAAGTGTTTTCAAAGAACGAGAAACCTTTAAAGACTAATTACAAATTTCTGACTTTTTGTGCTTTTCACAAAACAAAATCCTGACAATTTTGGCATATTTCCTTCTTAATTTCAGGTTATTGAATTTCAAATAATTGTTACCTAGACTTGAAATCTCTTAATGTACAATAACTGTACAAATCAGATATAGACTTGCCCTTTAATCTATACCAGAAATGCGCATGTTCTTGTGCATGTTCGCCTGCACGTTTTTCTTTACAAGCGTTTGGTTTGTTACTTGGAGATAAGGGTATATGACTGCCAAAAATAATAATCATAAAACTTATATTTATCTATATTAAAATATATGAATTACAATTGACGTTCGAGTTAATGTCAGAACTGTTTTACCTTTTACGCAAGATGGAATCCTGTGAAGGCAGATGGTCGAGACTGTTTGGCGTTGAAGTTTTGTATTTCTATGGTATTTCAATGTCGGTATTATCTTAAATTGTATTACTTGTTATCTATTACCTGTTGTTGCCAATGTAAATCTTCTGCTTATCACAACATATCATGCACATATACCTCTCATCACTTGGTTGCTGTCACTCAAGCTTGATGACGGTGTAAGAATCTACATCAAAACGTCGCTGTATGCAATAAAATTATTATCCTTAAAGTTGTACGTTTTCTTACTTACTTACCAACTTCTAGAACGACAATCAAACAGTAACTTAACGTTCCTGTTACATCAAATGTATAGGAACATAGGAAACTTTGCACTTGCATGCATTATTGTAGCGATCTATAATAACAGGGATGTAATATATCAGGAGAAAAACATTTCAACTCGGGTATCCATCTCTCGGGTATCCATCTGCATGTACAATGTATACACATATCCACTTCGAGTGTTAGATATGAGCATTTGAAGATTTTCAACACGCTGCTGAGTATGAGATATAAAGTATTAACAAACATGTTAACTTCTAAATCATATAATAAAGTATTTAGTGCTCTCCATTTTGTTTTGTCCCTGCAGCAACTTGAACTAATGTGAAGATAGTTTGATACTGAAGCCCAGTTACTTCAAAACACTGTCAATTGCAGGCACGACGATAGCTGCAGTCGTAGGAGTGGTCGTGCTGCTGCTGATAATCATAGTACTAGCAGTCGTTTGCAGGTAAACCTCTACACGTCTATTGTATATTCTATTTTGTCATATGTCCAAGACAATTTGATATGGTATCGATGGAATCCGGAATCTGTAAATGTGCATTCCAGTTTTATCAATAGGGACATTTTAAGGTAATATTGACCTCGATTTAGCTTGAGCATATTGTCACGATGGCTTGTCTAAACTGTTATTTAATGTCACGTGCGAGAACATATGTGTGTGTAACTATTCATACTACTTTTGCAGAAAGCAGTTTAAGGAAAGAGATAACCCCAAGGATGCAGAAACAAAAGGTAACCAGTAATGTTTGGTATATGGCGAGTGAGTGAGTGATCGAGAAACCCAAGGACGCAGACTTAGTGCTGTCAAACCTAGAAACATAAGTACCACATACATAATGGTTTTGGTATATTAACATCATCGACGTTAAATTCTTGGAAATATATAATCTTTTATTGTTCTTTTCATAAATATGTGCACATTCACACGGCTTTATATATGATGTATCTCATCTGCTGATATACTTTGGTTGTAAATTGTATAAGGTAAGGATAAGAATTTATGGATGAACAACTTCTTTATTACAATTAAGAGCGACGTTTCGGTGTAGGTTCTAACACCGTTATCAAGCAAGTGATGAGCCTACGTCGAAACGTCGCTCTTAATTGTAATAAAGAAGTTGTTTATCCATATATTATTATCCTTACTTAGTACTCCAACTTCTAAATGCCTATCAAAGAAATGTTACTTGTGTGTTTACATAATGCTTGATAATCACGGAATCCAGAGGCCGGCAGGAATCAAGCGATAGGGATCGATGAAGTCACCCAACCCAACTCCACGGTATTTAATCTTAATGAGTTCCAAAGTATGGAACTTCCTGCTTACCCGGAGGAATATCCTGCGTCTATTACTGGAACCTCCCAGAGCCATATCCCGAGTGTTGTTGGTGTAAAATATCTCCCAAGCTACATCAGAGAGAGGCTGGATTCTATTATCAGTACAGAGTACAAGGTAAGTAATTTACCCCCGGGATAGTTATACCGATTGTTCCTATTAATTTGAAATAATATATACGACTCATGGAAGAGAGAGGTTTGTCGAATGCTTCTTTGAACAGTTTCAGTTATTTCAGTTATTTCACGGAATGCCATCTTGATGTTGTAGGAAGGTCCGAAGTAATTAAGGTTTTAGACGTATAGAAACATTATTGGAATCATTTGGGATTCGATAATCACTGGTCCACAATATGATTTATTCTAACCTAACGATAAAGATACATTATTCAACTGACATATGAAAGGATTTATGTAATAAATAATGTACTCAAAATCTCTATTAATTTAGTAATTAGAGTATATGGTATTCAAAAATTATTTAAACAAGAACCCATAGCTTCTTGTAAGAAACTGAATATCATGATCAGTGGAAGCAGCGCAACAGAAGGCTGTTATAAGCAGCTGCAAAATGTAAGAATAAGACCTTATTTTTGTATGCTTTCACGCTGAAAAACGGGTTTTCGGATATGATACCGCTCACTTTCAGATGATGCCGACCGGTCTGAGAAGCACTCATAAATACGAGACGGCAACAAGGGAGGAGAATATGTACAAGAACCGCTACACTAACATATTACCAAGTAACACTTCATTTAAAAGTTCTCAAGAAATCGCATTATGATTCCTTATATCTAGTTTGATTCTCTTACATTTTTATTAAGAAATTAAGAATTATTAGAATAATATGAGACAGTTATCCAATTCACCTGCCTATTCATGTGTATGTGACGGGTGTCACCGTAGGGTCAGGATACGTAACCTTTTCTCGAAAACATGGTATCATCAGTATTTGAAAGTGGCTCGTGGACAGAAGCCTATGATACAGTCTGAATCGTTCGATGGTTTAGCAGTGTTTTCTTATTATTATGAAAGTATTGTTGCTTATATTGTCATAGTCTTCCTTTGGTGTCTCTTCATTCTATTAAAGCATCTGTAGTACAATACATCTGAATATATGACATGTGTTGATGCGTCACAATGTTATAATTGCCATGCTACGAAGTATAGCATCTTTATCATGTACTGTCAACAGATGACGACTCACTGGTGCCTCTACGGAAGGAAGGTGGAGCGGATTACATCAACGCATCCTACATTCACGTAGGTAGAGAGGGGCGATAAGTTAACGATCTTACAGATATAGATATTTATCATTATGGGTATGTTTCACAGCAGCGTAAAGCCAACGGATAAAAAGGGTATTCGTTAGGGTCATACACGGATAAAGATGCAAATATGAACTTGTTTACAAACAAAGGCTTTGTCCTTGCCAACCGGCAATCGAGTCAGAAATAACCATCGTGAATCTTGAGAAACTGCTGGGACAATTGTTATCATTTCCAAAACAATAGCCTGAGATACGGAAATTCAGTGTCTTACTGGTGCGTGACTGAGACATTTTAGAAGTTTCGGCAACTTTGAGATATAAATTGCGAAACAATTTAGCGAGGACACTAGCATTGTGGGATCAGTTTCCGTATCTTTGCGAACAGGCCTCTGCGGCTTTGGGTCCATTCCCCTAATATAAAAAGTTGGATTTGGCCGAAATATGTCCTAATTGTTACCATGTTTCAATTTGTCGCTGCGTGTACACCTGACTACGCACTGCCTAACATTATAGCAGGGCAGACTCCATGGATTGACTCGAAAGGCAAGTAGAAACAATAAGTATAGGCAATTGTAATTTGTCCTATTCGTAGTTACTATCTACAGAAAAGGGTTTCAGTTGGAACTATATTGACTGTTGTCACTTGTCACTGACAAATCATCGACGTTCTGGCGTAATATATTTCAATGCGCACATTCCAGGAAAACTTGCAATGTTTAGGTAATGCCTGCGAGAGATGAGAATACGTTTTGCGATGACAAAATTTAGAAATAACATTTTATGATGAAGAGGGATATCAAGCTTGTGTGTCTTTGGATGGTAGATGTCCTGTATGAGGAATAAACACTGCATATTTAGCTCACCAAGTTTTTGTAATTACAACGTTTATTCTTAATACAGGAACGTTTACCATCCCAAAACACCCTCGCGTGATAACCTCTCTTCAACTTTTACAGATATAAAGTAATCATCATAAATATTATATAATGTATTCAGGTTTACAATATGTTAATATGTATGTCAATGTTCGACATACGAATCAACGTCCTTGTCGGTTTCTATCATTTTGTAGAATAAAACATTTTGTTCTTTCAGGGTTTTAAAAGTCCGCGAAAATTCATATCTACGCAAGGTAGGTAATGCTAGGGGTCGCGTTACTTTTCCAATTTGTTGTTTAAGCTACTGCAAAATGTCCGCAACTTCACACGTGCATACGTACATAGGGGGTACACGGGGCAGAATCGTTTAAGGCACCGCAATTCGCTGTTCAGATTTGCATCACCGAGGGGTTTCAGAAACTTTTTATCGTGGGTTCAAATAATAGATTCGTCCTTACTAATATCCTTTGTCCGCACCATACCCATGTTAGTGTTTTCTTTCCAAAGTTGCATTAATTTGCTTCAGGCTTCTCTCACTCTTGAAACTGAAACACTGTTCGGGTGTCGTTAAACTCAAATCGGACACACATAAGATATTGCCATCGGAAATATAATTTCTTTGCACTAAAACGTTTGTAGAGATAAATGGTTTCTTTAAAATGATAATGGGGCGGTGCGGTAGCCTTGTGGTCACGCCAAAGGCAAGGTTTCGATTCCCCACATGGATACAATCTGTGAAGACAATTTCTGGTGTCCTCCACCATGTGATTGCTGGCATGTTGCTGGAAGCGGAATAGAACTATACTCAACCATAATTATCCGCAGGCCCTATGAACTCGACAGTCGTGGACTTCTGGCGCATGGTCTGGCAGGAAGGATCCCGTGAGATCGTCATGGTCACCAATCTATTGGAACAAGGCGTGGTGCGTGGAAATGCTCTCCTTAAAGATCGCTGGGTTTTTGTTCGAGGAAAGGACAATAAACAATACTCTTGTATCCGTCAGGTGGAAAACGAAGATATCAGATATACTGTGTCCATCGACAAATAACAGTCGTAACATTAGCAAGTTTGAGCAAGTTTGGTTTTCTACACTGTGCTTTAATAGCTTTTATTTGAATAAAGCAGTGCATTGACAAAGTACAGTCGTAACATAAGCAATTTTGATCATTTTTAGTTTTATACACTGTGCTTTGATATCTTATGTTTGAATTAAGCAGTCTATAGTAATATATTACTGAGTGCAATGGGATATCTTTGACCGAAGTGTGACTATGTTTACAGCACAAGTGTCACATGTATTGGCTACCAAAGGGAGAAAACGGGTGTTATGGTAACATCAACGTGACACAGGAGAAGACCATACAACGTGCTTACTACACAGTCCGGATCTTCTCGCTGCATCACCGCAAAGTACGTGTGGTAGTCAGAGCGCTTCACCAAAGTCCAAATTATAGCAATATATATAGCTATCCATAGATTTTCGATATGGTGGCTGTTTGACGCATCTTTAATCGCCTTTCAATAATCGGTCAGTTGATCAATGATGACTAACACATGTAACCGCCACAGGTTCATTAACAACTTCGGAAATCCTCCGGTCACGTTTATCGTGTCGGCTATTTTGACGTCTTGTACTTGATGTAAATGTATTACGACGCGCTGTCATTGTGACCTACTTACTGAGGTAGTTCATTGCAGACCTTTCTCATCTAATGGGGATATTATATGAACACATGTGTTGCGTAAGATGTTTATAAAGAGCAAGTTCTGCATCCATACGCTCATGTCACCTCTCTTTTTGGGGAACAATTTTATTCCGCGATATATCTGGTTGTTGTTTGGCTGTCAGTGGAAACATGAAGTCACTCGTACTAAATAGAATTGTGTTTAGATCTTGGCCTACATGGCCTACATTGGCTTGACTTTCACTTTGTGTGAGTTCATTGGAGTATGAACCTTCATAGAGTGAGGGCCAAACATTGTATGAACATCGTCGCATATTGTGGTACCTCTCCAACTGTCTTTATTCAGTTTCTTGAATGACATGTTTTCAGGACGACACTCGACGTGAGGTGACCCAGTATCACTTCACCTCGTGGCCAGACCATGGAGTTCCTACAGCGCCCTCTCTCGTCAGTTTCTGGAGACACGTCAAGACACGCAGTCATCCAAATGACGGACAAGCTGGACCAATAATTGTACACTGCAGGTACGACTGTATTGTATTTGTTATTCAGGTTGGGCTTATATATCGAACTACCGGAATTAGCATCCATTTTGGATTAAATCTAACATACAAAAATGTGTGATCTTAAACATATGAAACATTGATGTTGATACATTAGTGTTGTTTGTAGTGTTGGTGAAATCGACTCAAATATATTTGATTTTAAAAATACCAATAAATCATTCTAACATTAACTGAAAAGGGAAAAAAATAAATTTAGTAATTCAGGTATTGGCTTCATTCTGATAAGGACCGCCTCCGTGGTCTAGTGGTACAGCGTCCGCCCGGAGAGCGGAAGGTCCAGGGTTCGATCCCGGGCCGCGTCATACAAAAAGACGTTAAAAGATTGTACTTGTTGTTACCCTGTCTGGCGCTCGGCATTAAGGGGCTAAAACAAGGACTGGTCGGCTCGGAGTCAGTATACTGTGTCTGAGTGGGGTATTCATGTTAAACTGCGGCATGGTATCTCAGTGAGCTAGCACTATAAATCGGCATCAGTCCGGACTAGTACAAGCAGCCACACACACACATACACGTGCATGCACGTCGCTATATAAGTGCAATAATCTTGGACGCGACGTTAAACCCAATTTCACCTCACCTTATTCTGATAAGGGATTACCAATTAAATAGAAAGGCAGCAGAAGAAGACACGCAATCTTTATACCGATCAAACGTATCATTCACTATCTGCGACTCTCTGGACTGAACCATAGAAAGATTTTACCCCTGAACATCATATGTCATGACGCATGTCGTTCTTACCATTTCATGAAACCAATTAAATAGGTTTTAAAGTGATAGGTACATCACAACACCTGGCAAAGTCTTGTAAGTATAACTCAATCTCCCAAGTCAGTTCAAAAGGAGTTGGGCTTCTCGCTGCTCTGAAGGGTCTAATAATTTGACAACTAAATTTGGGAAGAAAGCCAGATGTTATAAGCAGGAATTATTTCAGAGAAGGACCAGTGAATGTAGTAGCTGAGATATGCAACTGCGCACATCAACCAATGGACTACAAAAGCCATTGGTGCAAAAAGACCTGTTTAATGCCAAAGTATCACCAAACGTACCCATTGGACAACAAGAGGTCTGTATCTGTAGCAGAAATATAGTAATAGTACTACAGCACATATCTGTTTGTCCACTAGTGCTGGAGTCGGTCGGACAGGGACCTACATCGGTCTTGACATTCTGATGAATGAGGCCCTGGCGGAGGAGAAAGTGAACTTCTTCATGACCGTCATCAACATGAGAGAACACAGGCTGAACATGGTCCAGACAAAGGTGTGGTAGACACGATTAGAAATCTCCAGACATGAACTATGTTAATGACATTGTCGTATATGCAAACATAAATCATCGGTTCTATATTATGTGCAATGGGTTGTGAATGTTTGTCGGCCTTTGTTCCAGGGACAGTACAAATTCCTCCACTGGGCTGTTCTTGAGGCACTCTTCTGCAGGGAAACGCCGGTGATGGCCAGTGAACTCCCATCTATGTTGGATGCAAACAACATTGAAATCCAGGAAGAATATCAGGTGATAATGGGTCAATGGTGGGATAAAGGTGCACGTATACCGTTGTTCTCGCTTAATGTTGAGGAACAGGTTTAAAGTATGAGCGAATTATTAAGGGTAGAACATGATTAGTAATCTAAAGTTTTGCGCATATTTGAATGTATCCTAAATGGGAATATTGGATTCTTTCTAGAATTTGGAAGTGATGATGTCTCTCCAGGGATACCAGAAGGCTGGAGCAAAGCCCGATATTTCACACACAGATGGTACAACAAATCGTGCACTGCGCCTTAATTATCAAGCCGTTTACAAAATATTGACTTGGTTAACGTATATATGACTCCTATGTCAGCTCATTTAAATCCAAAATAGCAGCTGACGGAATGTTAATGTACTCATGTAGAAATTGAACCTAAACGTGTACCTTGTGTCGAATTTCATAAAGACAAATTGTGTATTTTCATTGTGTTTTAATTCCCTTCGTACGCAAACATTTATGCTGTTTTACCTTGTTTGTCTTTAGAAAATAACATGACCATGCTTTTTTAGGTGATGACCTGTTTAATTTCAACATATCATCCCTGCCGGTATGTTCTGAACAATGTATTTTTTATCATCACGGATTTTGGTAATCAATAATATAAAAAGTAAATACACGACAAAATCAAACAAATAGTTCTAATTGTATGAATGTATAACATGTATTTGCTTTTATCCACAGTCGTATTTCAGCAAGAAGGGCTTCGTCCACATTGGGGTTGTTAAGGAACCTTCTCCCGAAGAAATCTGGCAAACAGTATGCAGGAACAATGTTGCTACCATCATCACCATCAACCAGGTAACTATACTGTGGTTTCCTTTTCAAGACATATCATCAGAAACGTCTTGGGTAGGCTTATTGTCTATCATCACCCTTCACCCTAAACAACTCTAGCTGTGTATTTGTTGATGGCTCTAAACCTGAATCAAATAAAAGCGACAAAAACATGTCCATAATCATAAGAACTCTCTGCAAAAAGTAGAGTTGATGGTACGATTCCGACTATATTATTCATCATCATAATTGATTATGTCAAATAAGGTTTAAAAGCTACATCACATACGTATCGAGCCAATGAACATATGCGTTAATCTCCCTGTGCATTTGATTCCAACTGTCTCTCTAGAATTCCTCTGATGCCATGCCAAAGGATGTAGGAACGTCGTTGACATTAGGAGAGTTTCACGTGACCTTGAACTCCATTGAAACAGTTTCTGAAAGGGTAACTGAGAAGAGGCTAACCATGAAATCAGAGACAATGCAAACATTTTGGGTAAGGAAAATTCATGAACACAATTCCTCCTGAGATATGATTGCCTGTCGAATTGGAATTTCATTTTTAGCCATTTCAAACCAGAAACGATTGGATGTTATGTCATAAGTTCATGATTCAATTTCGATTCAAATATTACAGGACAGTGGATCGGGCGTGACGTCTGTCACCATCTTCAACCTCGACTCCCCATCTTCAGAACGTTACTTCGACAAGGACTGTCTCCTGGTGCTCATAGAATTATTGACTGAACGTCAACAGGTCACTGGGCGACACCCGGTTATACTCCTGTGTCGGTAGGTCATAGTCCCTCGGTAACACCGCTTTACTCCTGTGTCGGTAGGTCATAGTCCCTCGGTAACGCCGCTTTACTCCTGTGTCGGTACGTCATAGTCCATCGGTAACACCGCTTTACTCCAGTGCCGGTAGGTCATAGTCCCTCCTTAACACCGCTATACTCAAGTGTCGGTAGGTTATAGTCTCTCGGTAACACCGCTATACTCCAGTGTCGGTAGGTCATAGTCCCTCCTTAACACCGCTATACTCAAGTGTCGGTAGGTCATAGTCCCTCGGTAACACCGATATACTCCAGTGTCGGTAGGTCATAGTCCCTCGGTAACGCCGCTATACTCGAGTGTCGGTAGGTCATAGTCCCTCGGTAACACCGATATACTCCAATGTCGGTAGGTCATAGTCCCTCCGTAACACCGTTATACTTCAGTGTCGGTAGGTCATAGTCCCTCGGTACCACCGCTATACTCCAGTGTCGGTAGGTCATAGTCCCTCCTTAACACCGCTATACTCCAGTTTCGGTAGGTCATAGTCCCTCCTTAACACCGTTATACTCCAGTGTCGGTAGGTCATAGTCCCTCCATAACACCGCTATACTCCAGTGTTGGTAGGTCATAGTCCCTCGCTAACACCGCTATACTTCAGTGTCGGTAGGTCATAGTCCCTCGGTAACACCGCTATACTCCAGTGTCGGTAGGTCATAGTCCCTCCTTAACACCGCTATACTCCAGTGTCTCGGTAGGTCATAGTCCCTCGGTAACACCGCTATACTCCAGTGTCGGTAGGTCATAGTCCCTCGCTAACACCGTTATACTCCAGTGTCGGTAGGTCATAGTCCCTCGGTAACACCGCTATACTGCAGTGTCGGTAGGTCATAGTCCCTCGGTAACACCGCTATACTCCAGTGTCGGTAGGTCATAGTCCCTCGCTAACACCGTTATACTCCAGTGTCGGTAGGTCATGGTCCCTCGCTAACACTGTTATACTCCAGTTTCGGTAGGTAATAGTCCCTCGGTAACACCATTATACTCCAATGTTGGTTGGTCATAGTCCCTCGATAACACCGTTATACTCCAGTGTCCGTAGGTCATAGTCTCTCGCTAACACCGTTATACTCCAATGTCATAGTCCATCGGTAACACCGTCATACTCCAATGTCGGTAGGTCATAGTCCTTCCGTAACACCGTTATACTCCAGTGTCGGTAGGTCATAGTCCCTCCGTAACGCCGTTATACTCCAGTATCGGTAGGTCATAGTCCCTCGGTAACACCGCTATACTGCAGTGTCGGTAGGTCATAGTCCTTCCGTAACACCGTTATACTCCAGTGTCGGTAGGTCATAGTCCCTCCGTAACACCGCTATACTGCAGTGTCGGTAGGTCATGGTCCCTCGCTAACACCATTATACTCCAATGTTGGTTGGTCATAGCCCCTCGGTAACACCGTTATACTCCAGTGTCGGTAGGTCATAGTCCATCGCTAACACCGCTATACTCCAGTGTCCGTAGGTCATAGTCCATCGCTAACATCGTTATGCTCCAGTGTCCGTATGTCATGGTCCCAAGGCGTTCGCTCGTCACGCCGATGACCCGGGTTCGATTCCTGACATGGGTACAATGTGTGAAACTCATTTCTGGTGTCCCCCGCCGTTATATTGCTGAAATATTTCTAAAAGCGGCGTAAAACAAAACTCACTCACTTTGTATTTAGTCACCCTTTAATACTCGTGTCGATAGGTCATAACCATTAATCACCCTGTCACTTTCAAGTGTCGGTGGTTGTTATTCTCTCAGTTACCATCTTATATTCCAGTGTCGGAAGGACTTATTCCCTCTCTTACCATCTTATACTCTTGTGTCGGTAGGTCTTATTCTCTCACTTACCATCTTATACTCTTGTGTCGGTAGGTCTTATTCCCTCACTTACCATCTTATACTCTAGTGTCGGTAGGTCTTATTCTCTCACTTACCATCTTATACTCTAGTGTTGGTAGGTCTTATTCTCTCACTTACCATCTTATACACCAGTGTCGGTAGGACTTATTCTCTCACTTACCATCTTATACTCCAGTGTCGGTAGATCTTATTCTCTCAGTTACCATCTAATACTCCAGTGTCGGTAGGTCTTATTCTCTCACTTACCATCTTATACTCCAGTGTCGGTAGGTCTAATTCTCTCACTTACCATCTTATACACCAGTGTCGGTAGGACTTATTCTCTCACTTACCATCTTATACTCCAGTGTCGGTAGATCTTATTCTCTCAGTTACCATCTAATACTCCAGTGTCGGTAGGTCTTATTCTCTCACTTACCATCTTATACTCCAGTGTCGGTAGGTCTAATTCTCTCACTTACCATCTTATACACCAGTGTCGGTAGGACTTATTCTCTCACTTACCATCTTATACTCCAGTGTCGGTAGATCTTATTCTCTCAGTTACCATCTAATACTCCAGTGTCGGTAGGTCTTATTCTCTCAGTTACCATCTAATACTCCAGTGTCGGTAGGTCTTATTCTCCCACTTACCATCTTATACTCCAGTGTCGGTAGGTCTAATTCTCTCACTTACCATCTTATACTCCAGTGTCGGTAGGTCTTATTCTCTCAGTTACCATCTAATACTCCAGTGTCGGTAGGTCTTATTCTCCCACTTACCATCTAATACTCCAGTGTCGGTAGGTCTTATTCTCTCACTTACCATCTAATACTCCAGTGTCGGTAGGTCTTATTCTCTCACTTACCATCTTATACTCCAGTGTCGGTAGGTCTTATTCTCTCACTTACCATCTTATTCTCCAGTGTCGGTAGGTCTTATTCTCTCACTTATCATCTTATACTCCAGTGTCGATAGGTCTTCTTCTCTCAGTTACTATCTAATACTCCAATGTCGGTAGGTCTTTTTCTATCAAGTAAACAGCCTTCAGCGGCGGCAGGTGTACATGACTTCATGATACCCTAGTGGCAATGGATCATCCAGTACTTGCATCAAACGCAATCAACACATTCACACCTTTAGTGTATGAAGTCATATTGAGTTTGACACGCGATCACGGTCTTTCGATGCTAATATCATAGGGGAAACAGTTCATTAGCAACGACCATGTCAGACACACTTTCACATAAATCTGATACCAGTGGGCTTACGCGGTACAAGAAGTTTTACATACTATTTCATCGTACGTTATGGGCGTTGATGTCGAATACGTTGTTTCCACACCAGGGACGATCCGAGGAAGTGCAGCCTGTTTGCCGCAGCAGTCAATGTGGTGACCAGCCTGAGACTGGACAAGGAAGTGGACATCTACTTGACTGTCCGGGAGATACAGTGTAGAAATGGACACCCCGTTACCTCGCAGGTGAGCAACCTTATTATGTTGATAGCTATGATCTGATGGAGCTATGTAGAACAATTTTTCAGATATACCACAGCGTGTCACCTTGGTGTGGAAGGAAAGCCAAGTCCCAGACGTTTACCACTTTCGTGAAAATACCAGTAAAAGAGACAATACCATTTCCGTAATCATAAGAACCCTCCGATCATAGCCCTTCCGTTGTGCGAATCAAACGTTTACTCTAAGCAGGTGTTTATGAATCCCTATATCACAAGATGTACGCGAAAAGGTCAGCGCATCCTGCCCCACATGTTACATCTGCCATATACACAGGCAAAGGCAAGGCAAGAACAAGTATGGTGCTTACAAACCTAGACAGAAATGGTGGGCCGGGATTACAAGCCACGGTTATTGGTTTACGAAGCATATAAATATATTTTTTACGCAACGTGTAACAATAAATCACATCACTCATTTCTGCATTTATATAGGAATGTGGAATTTGATAGGATATAAACTCTCTTGACGAAATAATTATCCACGGTTTTTTTTACCCAGGAGGACTACAGATTCCTGTACGAGTTAGCCAGTCATCAGGTGCAGTCTACAAACTACTTCATCACCAACTGATTTTTGACGGGCACCACAGATCTGTTTATAATGTTCACTCAAAGTCTCAGTGGTATATATCGGTTTGACTTACTTTGTCAAATGTACCGTGATATTGATGTAAGAGCACACTCATTTGTATGAGACTTATATTTATTTTCTGTATTGATATTATGACACATTGTTTGTTGTTCAAACATTCAGTAAACTGGTTACTGTTGGCTGACATGATACTTACATAATTGCAGATTCATCCGATCCAACTATTCAATGAAATACCTTCCTTCTGGACGTGAACGTAACATTCTAAATGCTGTAGATTTGTGTTCAAACTACATTAGAAACCTTTACCGAAGATTCTGTATTTATACTCTCTCCAAATAGCATATTAAATCAAAAGCTTTTCGAGTTGAAGTTGCATCTCAGTCAAAGTTATGTTGTTTACTGAAATGGTATGTTGCTGTGTTTTGGAATCAGTGTTGTTGTCCATGTTGTTGAACTTACATTGAATTTGCCTTTGACCTAGTGAAGAATTTGGTAGTTTTACCCGGCGAATAATAAGTGATAGTTGTCATAGTTAAAATATGCATAATATAATGAATATAGATGTAATGACAAAGCAGCCATGATAATATTTTTATAGTTTTTATCAAGGTATATCAATGTTATTTTAACATTTTCAACATTTTATTTTCTCAAGCTAATTCATTTAATGAATCACTGTTCAACCACCAATTTATGTTACGCTGTTCTACAACTCAAGTTCTGTTTCTTTCACCCTAGCAATAAATGATAACATGTATCCTATAGTTCTTACAGACGTTAGACCAATGATGGGCGCCCGCCCTGAAATAAAACTATATTTATGGTCAATTATAAAACTACGGAAGCGTAGTAGGGCCACGGTGAATTGTTTTGTCCAAGTATCTCCTACGTAGGACTTAGTATCTCCTACGTAGGACTTAATATCTTCTACGTAGGACTTACTATCTGTTATACGTAGGAGATAGTAATTCTAGGCCATACGAAGTCCTACGTAGGAGATAGTAAGTCCTACGTAGGAGATAGTAAGTCCTACGTAGGAGATAGTAAGTCCTTCGTAGGAGATAGTAAGTCCTACGTGGAAGATACTAATTCCTACGTAGGAAATACTTCGACAAAAAATATTCACCATGGCCCCACTACGCTTCCGTATAAAACAGTTGTAAACTTAAACGGGTATATAACTTGAGATTGGTCATACTGTTAACAATCGTTGGTGACAATTAGTATTTCTGTATTGAAATATGCAACGGAATATATATGCAACAGAATATAGAAATGTACGTCGTTCGTTAATTTGTATTTTCTGATAACTCATATCTATTTATGTTAAGAAACATTGATGAAAGTTAATCACTGCTTTGTAAACGACTTATCTCTTGATAATTAAAGCATGCATAGAATAAATTGGTTTTGTTTTGACTTCGTTCATAATAATATCGTTGCCCTCAAATGATGTTGTAGAGTATAATAAGTCTTCTGCGATATCATGGACGAACAAGTACGTAGAATATAGCTATTACTATATCATGCATGCCTTATTTAAGCAAATCGTGTCCCTCAATCAGGAATACAATTCTGATTCAATACTGAGCATTGGGGATATTTAATTTTCTTGTCTTTAAAGACATTTCTCACTCTTGAAGGTGTCTCGCTTTTTACCGTTGTATTGTAGACTATAATTTGGGCATTCGCATTTTATCCTACAAGGTGCAGCCTTCAGTCGAGCCTGATGCTTATTTGAGTTCGAATCCAAAATTTGCCCTGATTATGATTTTCGGTTTGACAACACCACACCTAAGCTCGTTTAGTTTCACCTGCGTTACGCCACGTCACGTTTCTCCCATACCAAGCTAACACACCGCGATACATGTATGACTGACATTATAACAGCAAGACATTATACCCAGTTACTAATGCTGGACAGAAATATACCAGGTTGTTCGTTATATGTACGTGAACGCCTCGTGTATGTGCCCATAGCATCTGATGTTAATGTATGTATGAAATAACAACTACAACTGCTTATCAAATTGTTTGAATGACATTATGGCATACGTTTTCCGGGGGAAGTACAGCCTTGTGTACTCGATGCTTTGTCCACTACGGTATAGCTGTTATATATGTTCTACGTCCTTGTTCAACCAGTATCCCTTTTATCAAAGGACAATATTTGCAGATCACTAAGCCTTGTAAGTTTTATAGATATGGTTGATATAGTTGGTGATTCCTGCAGTGAGTGAGTGGGTTAAGGGATTAAACGCCGCTTTGAACAATATTGTGGTTATGTCAGGGAGTAATACATATCTTAGACATTTATCACTTTGGTGAAACCTGTGAAATTGTCGATTTGATTCCTTGTGACTGAAATGCTTAGATCTGTAGATACTTGATGTTTCAATAGCAACAGTCTGTGTAACATCCGACCTTGTTTCAACGGGCAAAAAGCATTTTCCTGGCATTTCCGGCATTACGTTTAATGACGATCGATCAATGTGATCTGATATATTCAATAAATGATATCATGATACATATTAATTTACATGCATTTATTTACACACACACGTATATATATAATATATATTTAATACTTATACACCTGATGAAATCACTTGTATATATATTACTCTGTGCTTGCAGTCTATATATATATATATAAGAACTTTTGACGCAAAATACAGAGGGAGAACGTTATTCCTGTCAGATGAGTCTTAAAAAGATTTTTTACGTACGCTTCAGTGAATAATGGGTATTGATACCATAATATTGATACAGTTGTACATGTGTGCTAACATCGTGATTTGATATGTATTTTTAATGTTGGTTTGTTTTGGTAAGTGTGTGTTAGCCTAATGAGCTGGGCATAGCTTTTGCCAGAGCGAGTATGTTATGTATTGTCATGTATATGCGATTTTATGCTCACAGAGGATGTTTGGCACCCTGCTGGTTCTCCGAATCAAGGTTCTTTGGGGTTTTTTTTTGTGTGCCTTTTCAAGGCAGCAGCAGGATCCTCGAATATGCTTTGAGCTTGCTTGTGTATATTTCGAAAGGTCCTTTATCCAAGGAAGGCGTTGTTTTGCATCACGTTAGTCTCAAATGCCTCAACTCAATGTCTCTTCTTTGCATCGTTTGAACCGTATAATCAGTTGGTTAAAACCGACATGGATCGCTTTGCGAGCATGTTTTACTGTGAGACTTTGTATACACACAAGTGAATAATTGAAATTGGCTTTTGTTATATTTCAATGGTTTAAGTTTTTTAACCTTCCAAGTCTTGGAAAATACAGGTTGGGTGCTTTTCCGGAGCATAATATATAACCTGTTCAACATTAATTTTGAATTAACTTCACCACTTTGGTATACACATCTGACAGAGGCCGAATTGGTGTCTTTTGCTATCTAGGAATGAAAATAAATATATTTTGATTGCGTTCCTTGTAGATTCAAGTGCTTTTAAGAAATTTCTCGGTTTTATCGAATATTTTAACAGCTGCTTGTACTGTGAGTGAGCGTCAATAAGTTTCAAGACGAGGTGAAGTGAATTGGTAAACACTGCCCAAGCAGAAGTTTGTTTTGTTTTTAGTTTTGTTGTTTAACACCGCACTCAGCAATATTACTGAGGGCGCATTGTAAATAATCGCGTCTGGAATGGACAATGCAGAGATGGACATCATGATCATCGATCTACGCAATTAGGATACCAAGTCAGCAAGCCTCACCACCCGATCCCGTTGGTCGCCTCTTAAGACAAATATGGGTTGCTGTAGACAAATTCTAACCAAGGTATTCACGGGTATCCAGGCTTAACACATATAAACATCGTTTACCTTAACGGAGACATCATGTACGTGTAGCAGGTATGCATATTTCAACTCTCATTTAGCATTATTCCAGCTGTCACGACAGACACCAATGCTACACACATGGTAGGCGTGGGGATCGAACCTGGACCTCCAGTGTGACGACCCAACACTTTAACAGCAAGGCTACCACACCACTTCCTGGTATGCGCGGTAACGATCAATAACTTACAGCAGTATTAAACAGGTTAAGTATTGCGGAAATAAATGATCGTGTGCGAGGTAAGGCTCCTATTTATAAGTTAGCTGTAATCTTGTTGCATAGTGAGACTACAGAGGTATGGGTTGTTAACGTTGCATTGCTGATCATGCGCAGACACACATTCGTCACGTGACCACACAGACAAACTAGTTATCTGTATGTTGTGTTTCTTTGTGATAAGTGCCCGTTTGTTGAAACCAAAGCTTTTCGAAATGATATATTGAATATTTTAACAGCTTGCACTGTGAGTGAACGTCAATATATTTCCAGAAAACTGTCCAATCGCTGTTCCAATCAGCCCCTGGAATAGCTGACTGTTCTGCCCCAGTCTTGTCCGAATCGGAGTTGGCCAGAGAGTGTTCCACTCATCTATGACACCTCGCTACTGTTGTTGCTGGCGAAGTTGACTTTACCGCAAGAGACATCATCCCAAGTGATACGTCGACGTAAGTAACGGAATGAACTGCGCATAACCATGTTTATTGGAATAGGACACTACTTCCTAGATAAACATATAGTTAGTTAACATTTGTTGGTGATAACTCTTAACATCGGGTTTTGTTTGTTTGTTTGTTGTTTAACGACGCACTCAGCAATATTCCAGCTATATGATGGCGGCCTATAAATAATCGGGTCTGGACGAGACAATCCAGTGATTACTGTTTAGAGCAACTGTGGAGATATGATGACACGTGATCGCCAAAGTCACCGTGCCTGACCACCCGATCCCTTCAGCGGGCATTAAGACGTAAATGACTAAGCTACGGCATGCTATTGCCAGTCAGTACATATAGGTACATTTCGCCCCCTATGAATTGCTCTATCTTGCCCATTGCCGATATATTGATACGTATTGATTTTAGCTGAGAGCCACTAAGCTGTTGAGTGAATGGTTGTATTTATTGGCGTGTGATCTGCTCATATCGTGTAGGAGATACGGTGTAGTACTTACTTCAGTTGTCGAGCGCAAGCTTTATGTGGAGGAACAGCCCAAAGTGATATAAGTCTTTAACGAATTTGGTGAATTCCATGAGCACGGGCATGTTTCTGTCATTCGGATTGAGTGCTGGATTCCGGACAACAACCACCAAATACGATAATTTGGTGCTGGTTTTCTTTTTTAAAGACATTAGAAATACTGGAAAAATATAATTTGACTTCAAGGTTTCCAAAAGAAAATATATATGTAGTTCACTGGGTAAGTGATCTGTCGGTACTGCCACAGCTACTTTCCACATCGAGTATCTCAGCGATCTGTCTGTACTGCCACATCTATGTCTAATATCGAGTATCTCAGCGATCCATCTGTACTGCTTCAGCTACGTCTAACATCGAGTATCTCAGTGATCTGGTTGTACTGCTTCAGCTACGTCTAACATCGAGTATCTCAGTGATCTGTCTGTACTGCTTCAGCTATGTCTAACATCGAGTATCTCAGTGATCTGTCTGTTCTGCTTCATCTACGTCTAAAATCGAGTCACACAGTTGTCTATCTGTACTTATTCAGCTACGTCTAACATCGAGTATCTCAGTGATCTGGTTGTACTGCTTCAGCTACGTCTAACATCGAGTATCTCAGTGATCTGGTTGTACTGCTTCAGCTATGTCTAACATCGAGTATCTCAGTGATCTGGTTGTACTACTTCAGCTACGTCTAACATCGAGTCACACAGTGGTCTGTCTGTACTGCTTCAGCTACGTCTAACATCGAGTATCTCAGTGATCTGTCTGTATTGCCACATCTATGTCTAATATCGAGTATCTCAGCGATCCATCCGTCCTGCTTCAGCTACGTCTAACATCGAGTATCTCAGTGATCTGGTTGTACTGCTTCAGCTACGTCTAACATCGAGTCACACAGTTGTCTATCTGTACTGCTTCAGCT